TCCTGGGACTTTGGTTTTGCTCTCAATTTCTTCTCTCCTTCTTTTATTTTTTCCAAGATTTTATCTTTCTTTTCATTTTGACTTCTCTTCTTTATTGCATTCTGTTGTATCAAAAACCCTCTCATCACGGCTTTGCTTGCGTCCCAGATTACTCTTTTTTCTACATTGGTATTCATATTTATTTCAAAGTAATCTCTCAAAGTCTTTTGGGCCTTTTTGTAAACTTCTTCATCTCTAAATAAGGTGTCATTCATCCTCCATCTAAAGGATCCGGTTGTTGTTTGTTTCATCTCCATCCTTACAGCATTATGGTCGGAACAAGTTTTTGGGCAGATTTCTACCTTCTTTATCTTTGGTGCCATTCCTCTAGTTATCCATATTTGGTCAATTCTAGTCCATGTCATCTTGGCTTCAGAAAAGAAGGTTCCTTCTCTTCCCAGGGGGTTCTTTACCCTCCAGATGTCCACTAAGTCCATATTGTCTGTCATCTCAAAAAATGTTTTCGGTAGTCTACCATCCTTGGTGACTACCTGTCTTTGAGCCTTGTCCATATTTGTAGATACTACTCCATTCATGTCCCCCATCAAAATCAAATTATAGTCCAAATGATCCAGTAAAGTCTCATGCAACTTTTTATAGAATTCAGATTTCCCTCGTTCGGTGCATAAATTCCCACGATTAAGAATTTCTCTCCTTGTAGTTGAATTTCAATTGCCAAAAATCTTCCTTGATCATCTTTAAAGATAAATTTCGGTAAGAGTCTCTCCTTTGCATAAATCACAACTCCTCTTTTTTAACTTTGTCAGATGAGACAAACTCCTGTCCTAATCTTTTATTAATCAATAACTTCCTATGTGCCCTTGTTATATGTGTCTCTTGTAGACAAATCAAGTCCAATTGTTCTTTTTTAATAAATGAAACACACTTTTTCTTTTCGAGGAGAATTCAAACCGTTACAATTCCAGCTTAATAGTTGCAGAGCCATGGTGGGGGCTACTTCACTTTACCTCCAACTGCCCCAAGTGCCGCTTCTTGTTCTGTGGGTAGTATCACTTTTTCTGGACCGTGCAGTCCGAAAGATAAATTTGATATGTCTAGTATGCCTTTTGGTTCTTCTTCAGATTCCCCTTCTTTCAGTAGATCTTCCTCGTGATCTTTCAAGAATCTGTCTTTTCCTCAGTTGATTTTATTTTTATCTTTCTCCCTTTATATTTGAAGGACAGGCCTTGCGGAAATTCCCACCTGAAAAGAATTCTGTTTCTTTTCAATAAGGTCACTAGGTCTCCGTAATTGGACCTTAAGTCCAGCAAATGCTTTGGGATGTCCTTAAAAATCACTAGTCTTGAGTCATCAATTTCCAAAGTTTTTTGATAGTGCAAATTCAGAATTTTATCTCTCTCTTCTTTTGTTCGAAAGGTAATCAAACAGTCTCTCACCTTGCCCTTGCCTTGTCTTCTTCCGAGCCTAAATGCATTCACTATCTTAAATTCTTCCTTCCCCGGGTCCAATTGCCAAAAATCTGTAAATTCCTGTGTAAGAAAATCAACCAAATTATCTTTCTCCCGCTCTGGAACAGCCCTAATTCTCAGATTTCTCTGTCTATCTTTTAATTCAAACATAGAAAATGTCACATCATGGTCCTCCAATTTCTTGTATACAGGTGGAATTTTCTCCTGAGTAGCAATTGCAATATCTTTTGCTTCCTGTGCAGTTTGTCGAATCAAGGCAGATTCCTGTAGTAATTTTTCGATAGTCTCTGTGTTGGCATTCACCTTCTGTCCCAAGGTATTAATACTTGCAGTATTTAAATCAATTTTATTTGATGCTTCCACAACTTGTCTATTTGTCTCAACTACTTGCCTATTTGTTTCTGCTACTTGTCTATTTGTCTCAGTTACCTGTTTACTTAGGCTTTCCAAAGATTCATTAATTTTTGCCAGTGCCTGTGCCAAAACTTCTTCTGACGTCATAACTTTTGATTTAGACTGTGGGAGTGGGGCCCCTGATGCTCCGGATGCTCCAGATGTTGAGCCCCTTCGCGGCAACGCAGTATCTATCCGATAATGTCTGCCAGACCTAGTAATTTTTTCCTGCGATTCCGCCTTCTTATCCTCTGCCATAACAGTCTCATAGACATTCAAGGTCGCTCCCACAGTCAACCAATTGTTTTGACATAGAGTGGAATTTTCCTCTTTGTAACTATTGTTGTAACAATGTCCAATCTCCTCTAGGGGGACACAGTAACAGCCAGAACTTGTAACTTTTTAGAAACAAAAATAGTCTTTATAAATCCCCCAATTTACTTTCAGAGTCCACAGTCTCAATACATTTAAACAGTTACTTTTAAGCCAAAAGAGGTTCAGAAACACTGTATCACTTTTGCAGAATTGGCTGTCAGAAATAAGCTTTCACTTTAGACCTCTATCTTAAGTCAGTCCGTTCCGAATCTTAAATTGTAAATTCTTCCTTCCTCTCCCCTTCTTTACTGCAGGGAAATTCAGCTCAGTCTTTTTCCCCCTCCTCTCCTGCAATCCGGAGGGGGAACCACTTTCAAGATGTTGGAATTTAGCACATTTAAGTGACTTTCAGAGTTTCTGCTTTGAAGTCTCTTTGCATAGATCTATTTACAATTCAGGGGAGATAGACTTCCTGGTTGTACTTTCCCCGCTCCGTGACAAATTAACTTTTTTCCCCTTTAAATCCAATATACTCATACTCACGGTTAGTTGTTTTCAGTGCCAATTATCCCAGGAAAAAGGCAGCGCTCTCCGGTAACAGCTTCGCGGCTTCACTCCACGGAAGAAGCAATTTGCTCACAGCACCACGCCACCCCCGCTCCGCTCCGGAGCCCGTTGCCGAGCTCCTTTAGCAATTGGGGGGGCGCAAACGGTGCCCGCTGAGTCCCACGTTCACAGGCTTCACCCGCCTGTGATTTATTTGGGGGTCCCCGCTGCGCCGTAGCGACAGGACCCAAATTCCGTAGAGCTAGTTCTCTCCAAATTAGAGAGAAGCAGCCATTACCGTTGGCTCCACCTCCGGAAGTTCGATGTACGGCAGTCATTTTATGGAATATTAATTGTAGAAATTGGTCTTCTTACAGTCTGCATCTCCTGTATTTTATCGCCTTTCATCTTACTGGCTTGATGTTAGGTGTGGGACAGGTGAAAACATGTCTGAGACAAGAAGGGGTTCGTTATATGGCAGGGCCATAGCGCCATTTGTATGAAAATTGTGCCGTCCTGGTAACCTGAAGGAAAACACAACCATGCATGCTTTCCTAGGAACCTGAATTAGCAGCTTTCTGTTAATGCACACAGAGGAAAGTTACAGTTCTATGGAAAATACAAGTATTATATCCCACTTACTATATTTATATGGACTCCTGTGCTTTAGGCTAAAGGCAGCAGACTTGCCCTGCTGTAGTAGTTCTTGCTTTCATTGCTTGGCGCTTGTCTCCCAAGTCCTGGCCACTCTCTTTAGCCAGTGCTAGGCCATGTCAGGGGTAAAGGTAAAGGTAAAGGGACCCCTGACCATTAGTTCCAGTCATGGCTGACTTTGGGGTTGCGGTGCTCATCTCGCTTTATTGGCCGGCGGCGTACAGCTTCCAGGTCATGTGGCCAGCATGACTAAGCCGCTTCTGGCAAACCAGAGCAGCGCACAGAAACGCCATTTACCTTCCCACCGGAGCGGTACCTATTTATCTACTTGCACTTTGACGTGCTTTCGAACTGCTAGGGTGGCAGGAGCAAGGACTGAGCAATGGGAGCTCACCCTGGTGTGGGGATTCGAACCGCCGACCTTCTGATTGGCAAGTCCTAGGCTCTGTGGTTTAACCCACAGCGCCACCCGCGTCCCTGTCAGGAGCTTGTATTTAAGCCCTTCTCTACATTATGGCATTTGCATCCAGACCTCCCGTACCAAAAATGGGGTCTGATTTCAGCAATCCCACTGCCCTCCCACCCTCCCACATACCTGTCTTCCAGTGCTAACTCTATGCTTCTGTCCTCCAACCTGCTTTTCAGCATCAGAATCCGTGGCTTTTGGTGGTCAAGTTTGATTGTTTTAGATCCTGTAACATGACAGGAGAAAGTGTGCCTAGTGTTCAGTCCCTTGGAGTTGCTGTGGTGTAAGCAACCAAGTTTATACTACTGAAATATAATCTGAAAACTCTCTAAAAAAATTCAAAGAAAAGGAACTAGAAATTGGGAAAAGCAAACACCCTAGATGCAATGTAGATTAAAATTACTCAGTGATTTGGATATGGGAATGTATATTTTAAATTTGAATGTGTATAGGAGGTGGAAATACTATTTCAATGCTTTTTTACTTCAGCTGTTTTTGCATACACTCAGTGTAGTCAGTTTGAGCCTCCATCTTCCTTGCTTTTTGCTCTTTCTTTGGTTCCCAGACCTGTTCCATCTCTCTTTGTTCAGCACTACCAAGCTACAGGATAAGGCACAGCCCCTTTACACCAGGCTTTCTTACTTTCAGAGTGGAATTTTGGGATGACCAGCACACCCTCCCACTTAAGCCAACCTTGGGGGGGGGGGGAGTTTATTAAGCAGACTTTCTTATTCTGGGGAGTAAAACCCACAGTCCTATGGAGTACAGCTGTGGCTTCATTGTAGAAATAAATTATATCAGGGAGCAACAGGACAGTGAGCAAAAGGTTATGATTGCATCATCTTGACTTAGGCTATCAAGTGAATCACCATGATGTGAATTGGGATTCCAATTCTCTTCTGTAGGCAAACTATGGTTTGTCTGTACCAGGAAGTGCAGGTGGGAGCAAGTGCACAAGATGAGGATGTGAGAGGGGCCAAATCCTTCAAAGGGCAGCTAAATCATGGTTTGGTCACTCTCTGTACATACAGGGAAATCTACCCAACTTTGGTCTGTTTATATGACGACTTGCCCTATAGATAGGCTGCTTTACATTTTGAAGGCAGGTCGCTTCTTACAGCATTCTGAATGTAAGTTTATTTCCCATTTCTACCAAAGGAAAGAGAAAACTATCAAAGACCACCAAAAATCAGTCAGCAGTAAAAATTATACTTTTATTTTCAAATTGGCGTCAACCAGAAGAGAACTGGTACTACATTTGATTCTATGGTGCCATTGAAAAAGGCCAAATGACTTTTGGAGAGGGCGTGCAAGCCCACAAAGAAGAAATACACAAAGAACAGATGAAAACCCCAAAATATACTCCAAAGAAAAAAAATCATTCTAAGTTCAGACACTGAAATCTTATTTGAAAAGCTACAATGTACAAGAGACTTGACATGAATAAAAATGGCTACACAGATGCAAGTTAGCTGTTTTTCTTTTTTTTAACATTTTATTTAAATACAGGTTTAGGTGCTATTGGGGAAAAAGGCAAAAGTGCATAAAGAAGGCAGGAAAAAAAAAATCAAGCAGTGAGAAACCATTTCTCCCAGGGCAGGGTTGAAAAGACTAGGAGATTTATAAAATAATGAGAGAGTATTTTATTGTAACTTTATTTGGTCCTCTAAAAATATTTATTCACATTACGTTATTTTTGTATCTTCCTCACAAAAAGCTGTCCTCTTAAGGATTGTCTATACATGATTTTGTCTTTTTCAGTTAGGAAATCAGCCAGTACTAAGGTTGTGCTTCTGTCTTAGCACCAAGAAGAATGTGATTTCTCTTCACCCATCAGTCATTCTCGTTGGCACCTTTAGAAAGTTCACCCTAAGATTAGGTGGTCCCTAGACACCTGTATCCCTCTAAAAATGGTTGCGTTATAGAAAAACTTGTCACCATTCTTGTTGACCTTTTCATTTCTACAAATGGATCTCTCTGGGACATGGATATGGTGAAGAGGAGACCAAAACCCTCCTCCCTTTAATCACTAGTGCAAAGGAAAAGTAGGGACCAGGGCTTTTTATTTTTGAGAAAGTATGCTAAAATGTTTGTGCTTCTATGACTTTATGAAAAGAATGATTTGGTCATTATTTCTGCCACTGATCTGAGGGGTGTGCAGGAACTTCATCATTTTAAACTTGGATAGGGAGCCCCAAAGGGATTTAAAACCCTCCTGAGAGATTTAGCTACAAATCACTAGTGTGCGGTACTCCACCAGTCACGAAGATATGCAAGAGTACTTTGGGAATGACGAAATGTAGCATCCCTTTGCTTTCAAACTTCAGGGGCCTAAACATTGAGCAGGCAAGTTCTCCTTAACTCTTGCTTAACGTAAGCCTATTTCACACCTCTTGTAAAGAGACTAAGCTCGTGCTTTTAACATTGCATATGTATGTTCTCTCTGTACCACAAAGTCCACAGGCAAGAGGGGATGCAATGTGAGGGAAAGGCAAGGTCCTGATATGCCACTATGCACAGAAGGGGAGGAAAGGGGAAAAGGAAGAGCACATACATGCAAACAGCACTGGAATGGGAGAATGTGTGAGGGCGGCACGCGTCTTTTAACTTGGTCCTTGTACTTTCCAGGTGCTTGAGAGGCGACGACTAAAAACCACCAGAGGATTCAGTGGACTGAGCACCTCTCTCTCTGTATGTGCCTCTGATGGACGTTCTTAAAAACGAAAAGGTAAGAAGTGTGCCTCCAGAGGTCCACTTGCCAAACATTTCAGTTATCCCAGTAAGAGACAACTACCAAATAAAGTGGTTTAGAGCCACTTCTCATGTTAGATTTAAAGACACTAGATGTTTTCCAGGGGCCTCTTCCATAGGTAGAGCTTTGCAATCACATCACAGCTAAATGAGTTATTAGACACAGGCTCTAAGACCTACTTTTAAGGGTTTGTTGCCGGCTGTTTAACTGGATTTGCCTTCTGTCCCAACACAGAAGTGACCTCGGGGAGTCACTGAGCTTCTTTAAAAGTAACAGGAGAAGCAGCAATCAATATGCAGAGAAGGATGACTTTCAAGAATCTTTCTCCTGCTTAGAGGAGCTCAGCCTTTGCTCTTCCATCACAGCAGCACAGCCCTATAAATTTCCAGTTATATCGTAGTTCCCTGCTATACTGACAGCAACACTCCAAAGAATTTGCTTTTGGTCCATGAGACTATCCCAAGCCAGCAACAGCATCTTGAGGGGGAGGAAGAGGTATGTTTCTAGTGCAAGGCAGTAGTTCCCCTGATCCCTTCATCCAATTGCCAGGCTGGCTTGGGGGGCAGTAGAAAGAGGAGGAAGGATTGTAAACATTGCTTGGCTCAAAAAGTACAAGAAAGGGAGATGATGCTTTCTGCAAGTCTGCCTTTGGGCTGACAGGAATGTGGGTTCAGGAGAAAAGCTCCACATACGGATCTGCCTTCAGTAAGAGCCCTAAAGCAAGGAGCAATTGGTCCCTATGCTTACATCTCCACAGTAACTGGGATTCTTCTTGCCCAAGGCTGCTGTAGTCAAGGTTATTCAGAGGAGTGCCCACCTGCCTCTCTACAGGTTAGGTGTCAACAGAATTTGGAATTCTACAAAAACAGAGCGGGAAGGGCATTGATAAACACCAGGAATCTGCGAGAAATGACTATTTGCAGGCATTAAGCTAGGGGAGTCTTGCATAGGCCAGTTCAAAAGTTTACTTGAAGCTACTTTTGGGGTGGTGAGGAGGGCAGCAGGAATGGTCAGAAGCATCTGCAATATGCTTCTCTTCCTCCTCAAACACTCTCAACTCAAGGGGGTAGCACCAAATTAAGCTGTGCAGAGTAGTATCCCTTAGCTGCAGAAACTTGGGCAACAGTTTAGGTCCTGTGCACATTCTACTCCAAACTAATTTCCCCCAGGAATGCAGGGTGCATGTTTTCCTCATGCCCTATAATATTAAGCCTAAAGTAAATGTACACTCTTATTAAGACATGGCATCCAAGAGTCCTGGATAGAATTATTATTTTTCTCCTAAACCTTCCCTTCTGTACCTCTGCACCAGCTACTGCTTTCGCTTTCATCTCCCTTCTAGTTATGACAGATGCGCTGGTTCCTTTTGACTCCAAAAGCTCTCCTGCTTTTAACAAATGGTTTGACTTATTTCCAGCTGATAAAGATTTATAGAAAGGAAAATTAATGAGCAAGAGTCGACATGCAAACAGAGGCCTTGGACAATTTTTTTCAATGGGAATGATCAGAGACTTGCGCAAGTTACTCAAAGCTCCACTCTCCCAAAAGGAAGCATGGCAGTGGTTCCTGTCCCTGGGCCTCCCTACACCAATTCTGGTTCCACATAGCAGTTTGGTTAAGTTGTGCACATTTCAATCGGCATCAAAATCAATTCCCCAAAGGGCAGGTCCCTAGGGAAGGAGGAGGGCACAGTGCCATGCTTCATGAAAGCTGCGGGAGAGGATGGAAAGACAATTGATCTTTGATAGTAAAAAAGACACCCACCCCAAGTTCAAATGCCTCCAAAACAAGGCTATGTTGGCAGAAGATTTTTTTAAAATGGCCATGTCAGAGGTTCGGAACAAAATAACTGATGTGTGACAAGACAGCAGAGAAGGGATAATGGAACAAGAAGCACACAAGAGCCCTCCCCCTGCTTCTTTTCAGGGTGGCACCCGAGTGGAGCTCATATAGCCTCCACATAGTTGGCTGGAAGCATGCCTGTGTCACCGGTCCGCTCAACGGTGCCATACATCCAGCCGTCATCAATCTGCTGCACATTGATTATGGTGTCACCGTCCTGGAAGGAGACCTCGTCCTCATCGGCTGCGTTGTAATCGTAGACTGCACGGAACCGCTTCTGGGGCGGGGAAGAAAAGAGGGATAGATTAGTGTTCAGTGACTTTGGGGGCTCCTCACCCACCCTTTGTTTTAAGTACATTGGACCTCCAAAACTTGTGGTTCCTGAATCCCAACAAAAAGGTACATCCCACCTTATTTTTCTCTTAAATCACTGTTCCAAGCTGCTGGTAGTAGCCTAGAGTGCTCCAGCAGCCATGCTTTATGATCTTTTGCATGCGTGTATGCAAACACACACACATATGGCAATAAAAACTTAGGTTTGTTGCTGGCATGTGGCACAATCAGAGTTAACACCAACATGCTGCTTTACAAGTTTATTTCTAAAATTTATACCCTTCCCGTTCAGTGGTCAACTGGCATTTCCAGGATGGCTTAACAGAACGGGACATAAAACTAATTACATGCAATACGTAGTAAGACTGAAGGAAGGTCGGGAACCATCTGTTCCACAGGTTAGGTTTATGGAATGCTGTTCTGTGAGATGATCTGCAATGTATGATGGGATCTGGTCAAAGGATCTACCTTGACACACAGGGCTGGACTTAAAACTTATCTTAGGATCCTTTCGAGCCACATCATTGTAAAGACACTAATGTGAACAATGTTTCAAAGGCTGGAAACTGAGGTGTAACGGTGGCTTCAGATCAGTATCTAAAGGACGGAGTCATAGAGCCAACAGGCAGCTCAGGGCAGGATATTGCCATCTCTTGGCCTATGTTTTACATGGTTTCCCACAAATGCACCTGTAAAGCACTTTGTTCACTTCCAATCAGATTATATCTGCTATATACACGCCTGCACACTTTTTCCTGCCTTCCCCACTACTCAACCTTAGAGATGGAACATTTCACAGGGAAGAGCCAGGCTACGTATTTCAGAGTACACAGTCAAACCTTTTGCATCCTTGCGTGTGCGTGTGTGTGTGTGTCTATGTCTAGGCAGGCAGGCAGGCAGACTTCTGCAAAAGGCCAGGTTTAATTAACATTTCAGTTTCATTTCTTCCTTCCTCCCACAACTGTCAGCTGATGACTGGCTACTTTCCTTCTTCCTAGATCACACTTACCCCTCCGCCAGATGGGGCGTTACGCTGTATTGAGACAGGTGCTGCTGGTTCCTTGTAGCTGTAAGACTGAGAGGCTGGTTGTGCTGGTGGCTGGTGGTGGTAAACTGTGGGACAAAAAGATTACTGTTAATTGTCTATTGATCAGATTGAAACTGCAGAACCTGCCTCAGGAACGCAGAATTTTTGCAGGTGAGTAAATCTGCAATGAGTAAATGTTACAGGTAGAAATATTTGACAGCCACTGTCCAGACATAAATCTGGTACAACATAAGAGCTCCGCCCGCCCCCCAGGCCTTTACTAGCTTTGGTGGAAAAAACTAGTTGGGTTCCTTTTCACTCAAGAACTTTCTGCACCTTGTTTGGAAATGACTGCAGTTTGGCATCTCCTTGTTGCAGAAATCACTGTTTTATCTTTGCAAAGCACACAAGGTTGCTCCTTTTTTAGTTTACCTTTGGAACATGGAACTCTGTATTTTGCTGCTAAGGTCCAGAAAATGTTCAGGTAGCTATCTTAGTCTGCCTGTTCCTTGAACAAAATGCTATCAAATTCAATCAAGTTATTCTCTAACAAACCTTGAATGAATTTTAATAAATACTAAATTCTAACAACTCATAAAACATGCTGTTAAATGCATAATCATAAAATGGCCTAACTATAAATTAAATAAAGGAAAGGAGACCAGACAATTGTAATTTGTTACTTTCAGCACTTTCACATTCTTCTGTAGTCTCTTGAATTAATAGTTTCTCCTAATACTTTCCCACACATCTGCAGATACACCTAACCCAGAGCTCTCACACAGTACTGACAGACCTAGTCTAAAGTGGTTTCCTTCATTTCAGACTCTCAGCCCTCACTCTGTCAGCTGTCCACATTTGGCTAGGACTACAATTCACAGATGCATAGTACATTTGAAGAAGCTGCAAATGGATAGCTGCAATACCCGACATGACTTGGAATATTCTCTTTCCGCTAATGTCTGCCTTACCTTTCAGTCTACTTTGACTCTACCTTCAGCTTAAGCCCCACCCTCCATCTCCTTAACTGCCATGGAATTTTCCTGATCAGAAAAGCAATTCAATCATTCTAATAGGTCCTTACAAAGGCACTACCTTATCATCAAACAGTGAACAGAGTCAAACTGTTGGATTTCCCTCCCTTTTTTGGGGTGGTGGGGTTGCTAAATGCCACAGGAAGACCCAGTCAAGTATGCAGGGTTGATTGCTGGTATTCTCCCCACCCCTTTTCTCCAGCACAACTTATTACCAGGGGTACTTGGTTGGACATGATGAAGTTGCTGGTGTGGTGGTGGCTGCTGCTCCACTGGCCTCCTGTAGTTGGCGCCCTCCTGGGAGTTCTGGCGTTCCGATTCGCCTCCCTCTCCACCAGGTGCACCCATCCTGCTCTTCTCAAACTCTTCATGGTACTTTATCTGCAGAGGAAGGGGAAGAAAATATTAGAGCAGCACCAATAACACACATAGTGACAAAGTTTTCGTGTTGTTTAATATATTCCCCACACAACCAGAAGGTGCCTTTCTGCCTGGTCTATAAAGTTCTTACAATGCAAGGCTTCTCCCCCCCTCCCCCCCAGTCTCCACTGCTTTCAGCCCTCTCTCTCGTATTCCAGATAAAACTCAGTGGTTGTGAATGGTAAACTGGCAGCTGCAAGTGAATGAACTGATAATCCCAAGGGTGGAAGGCTCAGTAATATAGTCCTATCATTCTCTCTTCAGAAACGCCCCCTTCAACCTCCCTCCCCATCTGAGAAGTCACTGCAGCACTGCATATAAACCAGAAGGTGGCAGTGGACAACTAGCACTTCACGTACTGTGAACTGTTACCTCCCCCTTCTCCTGTGGCTGGAGAGTACAAGCAAAGGAATGGCTTGGCACATACCGCCAAGCTCAGTGCTAGGCTCTCCCTCCAGACATTTCAGCTGCCTTTTTATTCAGTAGATGTAAGACAGAAATTCTACAATCAGGAATACCAAAGCATCACTACTGTGGTTACTTGCTCCTGCATCTTAGCTGCTTTGATGTACAGACATTAAACATCTGCTACCTGAAGATGCAGGGCCAGGGCCAGCGTCAACATCCTTGGGCAACGTCCAGGGCCTGCTACCCACGCCTGCCCCGGCCCTCCATTTAATTTTACAGGCCTAGCACTTCAAACAGCACTATAGTGTCTAGCCACCATTTACATTTTCCCCAATGTAGTGTCACTTTACAGCAGGCCTGGGGACCCATTTTTGGCTGGTGGGTCAGATCTTTATCTCCCCACTGCCCTCCTGACAACCACCTGATGTCATAGTGACATCAGGCAACGCTGTACTTTGAAGCCCCGACAGTCATGACTTCAAAATGCGGCATCGGGCTGTTTGAAAGGTCTTTTGCAAACAGCCCAGCACTGCTCTTACAATGTCTGAAAACCAGAGGTTTAAAAGAGCAACACAGGACAGTCTGAAAAGGGCTTTCAAGCGACCCCGTCATGAGCTTTGGGTAACTGCACCAAACTCCAGCAGGGGAATAGTGGCACACAGCCAAAATGCTGAGCAAGCTTTAACCCAGGGGGCAGCAACCTTTTTCAGCCATGGGCCGGTCCACCGTCCCTCAGACCATGTGGTGGGCCGGACTATATTTTTTGGGGGGGGGAATGAATTTCTATGCCCCACAAATGCATTTTAAATAAAAGCACACATTCTACTCATGTAAAAACACATTGATTCCCAGACCGTCTGCGGGCTGGATTGAGAAGGCAATTGGGCCGCATCCAGCCCACGGGCCTTAGGTTGCCTACTCCTGCTTTAACCCCTGCTCATCAGCTTATAAACTGAAGTCAAATCTTGATGCTTTAGCTGTGCATTACTGTTCCCAGCAAGGGAACTGGTGTACACAGTGAATTCAGAATAAAATCCTGTGCCCCCCCCCAATGATATCATTTGGATTGAGTGATGTCAACTGGTGGCAGATGGACATTTTTTAAAAATGGCTTTGTGGGCCATGTCTGACAGCTTAAAGGGTCAGAAGTTCCTCACCTCTAGAGTCTAGGGCACTGTGGGATATTAAAATAGGTACCGTATTGGCCTGAATATAAGCCACACTTTTTTCCAATTTCGGACCCTGAAAAGTTAAAGTGTGGCTTACATTTGCAACTTTTTACCATATGCTGCTGAAAGCGGCTGGGGATCGTGTGCGTTCCTTAGCTGCTTGGCGGAGGGGGGGAGCATGTGCAGGCCAAGCAGCTAGGGAGCATGCGCACCGCCAAGCAGCTAGGAGGTGGGCACCCAGCTCCCCAAGCCGGTGCCGGCGCTCGACTCCGCCCGCCTCCTGGCACTGGCACCAGCTTGGAGAGCGGGGCGCTGAGCATCGGCACCGGCTTGGTGGCCACACCTGCAAATAAGCCTTGAATTTTAAGGGTGCAGCTTATATGCCGGTGCAGCTTATATTCAAGCCAATACAGTAAACCCAGCCATCTAGTGTAACTTGCAGCATGGCTACCACCACCACCAGGCAAGCCTGCCAGAGCCTACCGACAAAGCAAGGGGCAACACCAGAGCCCATGTTGCCCACTCAAAATCTGAGGCACTCTGTCCAACATAAAATCACAACTTTTTCAATAATTAAGGTCAGTCCCCAATTTCTAAAGTGAGAAAAGTTGGGCCCTAAACCAGTGAGGAACTTGAGTTTTCTACCTGGGAAGAAGCCCTTGTGAGTGTTTTTATTTAAATATGTATAAAATGCAGCAAGGTGGTACACAGCATATAAAATTGCAGTAACACTGATAAAGCATGAAAAAAAACTGGTTGGGAAAAAGAAACGAATGTTTCAAAGGCCTGTCTGAATAACAGAGTTTTCAATAGATGTTTAAAAGTCAAAGCACCCCTCTAGCACCCCTCTACTTCAGACATGGGGAACTTTTGTGGTCTGGTGGACCAGATCGCTCCCTCTCCCCCAACCTGCAAGCAAACTTTGACAGGTGGGTGTCAGTGCTGATGGGAGGGGCAAGGATATTTCCCTTCAGGAAATATGCTGCTGAAGCAGCACCCAGCATGATCACTCAGTGATGTCAGCTGATTGACATGTGGGCATGGCTGGAGGGAAATGGCCTGTGTGCTGGAGGTCCCCCATCTTTGGTCTGCTGGCAAGGCCTGCTACAGCAAACGCCAACACAACCTCAGAGCAGCCCCGCATAAAACACAATACTCATTGATGAGGGTATGGTTCTCTGTGTATGTTTAAAGATATGCTCATTACAGTCTACGGCACGCCCACAGCCGCACAGGAAGCTAGCTATCATAAACGTTTGGGAAAACCCTGCACTGCCAAAGAAAGGTTGCTATTGGTAACAGTCCTCTATCTCCAGTTGTGTTTAGCAAGGGCAAAGTCTGGCTGCAAATTCCCTACATGTGAACATATCTGCGGTCACAACTCTAACAACCCTAGGTATTCTTCCACCATTACATGTTATGCCTCATCCTCCTCCATAGCAACACGGTACCTGAAGTGGTAAGAGTAAAGGAGGTGGAATAAGGGCACATTTTGTGCAGGGATAGATCTGAGCCTTTATTTGGGTGAGCATCCTCTGCTTGATTAGGGAGCATAAGGATCAAAACCTCATCCCATCATGTGATATATACTTTCCACACCTTTTGGGGTTCAGAGGTATTAGCCAGGCACCACTCACATTTTATTAAAGATTATCTTTGCTACCATTATAGGAACATACACAGCCATACTTTAACTTCTCTTTATATAGCAGTGGCCCACTGTCTCCTTTAAAAAACAACAAAAAACCCACCTAACAGGATGGAAAAAGCCTTTCCAAGGTATCTGGCTCTCTTAAGAATCATGCAAACCATGCAAAATAGCTGGAATCTACAGAGACAGCCCCACGTGTGGTTTTGTTGCTTCCACGGGTTTCTCTAAGGAGGGGGCGCCAAACTGGGTTTTGCTATAAGCATCAGACAAGCCCTTTCCCAAGACATCCAATTGCAAACCTGGGAGGTTTGCAGCCAAGAGGGGACAGAACTAAGTCTGCAACCAAAGAGGAAAAAAGCAGAAAAGGGCAATTACTGTACTTAAAAGCTCAAAGTGTGTCTGGCAAAAGAGACTGTGGAGCAGAGGGCCTGGGAAGGGAATTCCTGTGGGATTAAACTCATCCTGCAGGGCTCCCCCCCCCCCCCCGAATTAACCCCCAGAGCGCCAGCTCACGCCAGATGGCCAAAGCAAATTATTAAGGCCAGATTAGTCAACAGACCTCAAAAAAAGTATTTTGCAGCTAGGATTAAACAGAAGAAATCACCACACACTAATTTTAACCATGGAAGTCTTGATATTTCACATTCTCCTTGCTTACTTTATGCCTTTTGTCACTTCCTTGTTTTTGATCTTCAGAACTCTTCACCCCTACTGTATGTAAATTCCTTGTAGGGTTAGGGTTAGGGTTAGGCTTTAGTCACCTAGTGCAGTCTCATCCACCCAAATCAGTATGAAAAATGGTGCTCACAGCTTGGTACTGGGGAACATGGGTTCAACTCCAACCTTAAAATAATTACTGGGTGGCCTTCAGAAAATTGAATGCTTTGTCCACCATTACCCACTTAGTAAAATGGAAATAAAACCTCTTACTGGGCTTTGAGAATAATAAGTAACTACTACAGTCAAACCTCGAATCCTGGACGCCTCTGTTTTGGAACGTTTCAACTCCCGAACACCGAAAACCTGGAAGTAAATGCTCCAGTTTTCGAGCGTTTTTCAGAAGCCAAACATCCGGTGCAGCTTCTGCTTGAGTGCAGGAAGCTCCTGCAGCCAAACCACACCTTGGTTGTCAAACATTTTGGAAGCCAAACGGGCTTCCAGAATGGATTAGGTTCGACAAGAGAGGTTTGACTGTATAAAGAGTCACAGGTGCCTGGTCACATTGTTAATTAGTGCATTCAGAAATTGGAACATTTTCTTCCACCCCATTTGGAAGCTCTGTGTAGCTAGGGTTACCATCTCCCACCAACCTCAAAACTGTGGTGTGGTAGGAGTTGTAGACCACACCATGTACTAAAAACTATATAAAATATCCATGGAAGAAGATAAGACTATTTTTGCTGTTTTCCTGAAAGAGGAAATCAAACTGGTCATCTCTTCCCACTGGCTCTCTACAAGGCGTCAGGCTGTCTCTGTCCCATTCCATCACAGTTTCCAGGAAGAGCAGGTGCTGGGAAGGCTGGGCCCATGTCCTTCCAGCACATATGGAAGGAATACATAACGGAAGAAAGCTAGCAGCTGGTTCAAATCCTCCAGTGCCTGGGCTGCTGGAGCCCTCTGTGTGCAGCTGGGGGTGGAACAGAGGTCAAGAGGGAAAACAGCCAAAGATGACAATACGTAGGCAGTCTCAGAGTGGGAGGGAGAAATGTGCCTGCATTGGCTCATAGGAGCCAACTCCAGGGAGCCATGGGTGCCTGGGCACCCACAATAATATAACTGTGGGGGCCAGGTACCCACAAAGTCAATGAGAAAAGCCGGCAGGTGGCCGCGTTGCAGTGGCAGGCACCCACAATCCTGAGCACGAGAAGGCACCCCTGCATTGGCTAGAGACACAATACAGCAGGGTTAAGCCACAGCTACTCAGTCTGCTTATGGGAGAATTTGGATTCATGGATCCCTGTCGTCTGATTCTTCAGCTACATATGGTTGATTACTATATCCTGTTGTGGAACAGTCACAAGATGTTTAGTTCAAGGTCTCATGGACGGTGTTTTTCGGAAAAGCAGGTCAAGTTCTGCTACTGTTTCCTCATTTTGCAAATCACTCATAGCAAAGGGGAGGAGAAGTGAGAGCTCAAACAGTAAAAAATGTTCCAGGCTATGCTGTTGGTTCAGCCCTCAGGAGGGGGGGGGGGACATTTCAAGCCCTCCTGGCCAAAAAACCCCTGGAGGCTGGTAAATAATTTACAGGCAAATGCAAGGGAAAGAGGTCTGGGAGACATTAGGGCTATTCAGAGAATGGTACCTGACTCAGAAAAAGTACTTCATTTCTTCTCATGGGTAGAACTGACTGCCTCCAAGATTCCTATCATTTGTATACTACAAGTTCAAATGCTACTCTGCCTGCAGGAAAAGAAAGTAGTCAAGATCCAAAAATTAGTTTATATTTCTTGCCAGTTATTTTCTTTCTATGCCTTGGTGAAATTGTTTACTAAGTTGTATGTGGGAGGAAACAGTTATGTAACCCAGTTCTTCAGCAACATTGGACATTTAGTAACCTGAGTCCACAGTTCCTGCTTAAACCCACCCACTTCCTATTCCTTTGTTTCAAAGAAAAATTCAATGTAGTGAGCGATCACCAGAATGGGTATTTTATTTTTCCTTAGGAAAAACAAAACACATGCTGTTGTTAACAATTAAGACTTTTTGCATAAAGTTGTCTTCTTTTATCAAGTTCTGAGAAATAGGTACAATCTAGATTTTCTAAAGCACCAAGCTTTTCTAGAATATAAATTAAGATGCTGAATGGTCTTAAGAAATATTGTTGAAATAGTGTATATACTTCCTGTTTTTATATTATATTCCAACATGATAAAGCTCAAGTAGTTTTATACTATTTGCAATAAAGAGAGAGAGAAAAGACACTTCTGTGTAACACACAAACTCACAGTCAGCATTTGAAACTTTTGATAATACCTTTAGCTGTATTGTTTTCTGTGCTGTACAGAACAAGTAAGGCTAAGGCTGCCAGAAAAATTCTGCAACACTGCCCAGTTTCAAAACAACTATAGAATTTGGGAGGTTTGCAGCAGGGATTTTGAAAGCAAAAACTGTGCTGCAGTAGTACTTGTCAAGGGGAAAACCAAAGCTAAACAGTATAAAATATGCAGACAGAAAGTAGAATATGCAGGGTGGCTTACATTACTGATCTGATCCTGGGTCTTCTTGATTCGCTGCAATTCCGGGGTGTCAGCCACCACGCTGAAGCCCTTCCCTTTATTCTTTTCGAACTCCTCCTTGTAGCGGACCTGTGTATGTGAATGAGGAAGCATATATATGTATCACAGTACTCTCCTACTATCAGCAATTTCTTTAAAAAATACAATCCCTGACTTGCAGGGGCAGCAAGTGGGACACCTCCACGGCAAGAAAACCTAACAGTCAGCCAAAACTCAGGGTTGCAAGACCTTGCAGGGTTTTGTCTCTGAAAGTATAGCATAGAGTCATCCAACCTCAGGAGGAAGGATGGAGTTAATCCATCTCAAAGTGCATTTTTTAGGTGTTCAGAAAACTTCCTAAAGGCAGTACAACAGAAGGGAAGCTTGGATGTGAAGAAGGAAGGATGACTGTCACTACAGCTGCACTGCTCCCAAGGTGAACTGAGCACCTCAGAACCACAACACAACTGTGGGAAGAATTCCCCATCTTCACTCTTTAAAGAACTGAGACTCTCAACATGGACAAAGGAAGGAAAGAATAGGTTGTCCAGCAAGGCATTGGAATTTGTAGACTACTGCCCCCCCCCCCCCACTGTCTAAACATACCTATAGGCTCAGGTCATTAAGTGGATATACATATACAGTGGTGCCTCGCAAGACGAAAAGAATCCGTTCTGTGAGTCTCTTCGTCTAGCGGTTTTTTCGTCTTGCGAAGCAAGCCCATTGACGGATTAGCGGATTAGCGCTATTAGCGGCTTTTAGCGGCTTATCAGCTTATCAGATAAGCAGATAAAGCGGCTTAACGGCTTAGAAAAAGGGGGGGGGAAAGGGAAAAAAAACCGCAGGAACTCAGCAAGACATTTTCGTCTTGCGAAGCAAGCCCATAGGAGCTTCGTTTTGCGAAGCACCTCCAAAACGGAAAACTCTTTCGTCTAGCGAGTTTTCCGTCTTGCGAGGCATTCGTCTTGCGGGGCACCACTGTACCACCCACCTCCAAATGATTTAGCAATATGAGCACGACAAATTCTGTTCTATGCTTCTCGAATATGTCAACATCACAGTTCAACTATCTTGTGAGTCTCCAATACAGACATCTGGTACAATGGTGTTCTGTATCATCTTCCAATGCCATCAAGATTGATAGAAATTTACAGTTATCAGGACATCAGGCCCCAAAATACTGTCTAATATGTGCTTCGGCTATCTAAAAATAGACATGCAAAGGCAAATGCAGAGGGTATTTTATCCAGCAAGGTTCTTGGTGGTTTAAATCTCCCTAAAAAACATCATTTCATGAACTCTTATCTCAAGCTACCCAACAAGAGTGCAGAGGCTCAGATCAAGTTCCAGTATGGAGACATCTGGAAAGTTTTCTCCTCTTTAGGTTTGCTTGAAATAATAGTTGTTGATAGCCTGGGCTCACACAGAACACTTCTCAAAACGTTTGCAATTCACAAATGCTGATCAAAGATTGCTGGGAGGTTTCAATCTGAACCAAATGATCATATGAAACAGGTTTTATGGAAAAACCATAGGCATGTAAGAAGAGTCTGCTGGATCAGGCCAATGGCTCATCTAGACCAGCATCCTGCTCTCACAGTGGCCAATCAGATGCCTGAGTGAAACCAACAAGAAGGATTTGAGCACAAGAGCATTCTCTCCTCCTGTGGTTTCCAGCAACTGGTATTCAGAAACATTGCAGCTTCAGACTGTGGTGGCAGAGCATAGCCATTGTGGCTAGTGACCATTAATAGCCCTCTCCTCAATGAATTGGTCCCATCTTCTTTTAAAACCATACAAGCTGGTGGCCATTGCCGCCCCTGTGGCAACAAGTTCCATAGTGGAGGCAAACTGGATACAAAAAAACCCCAAGCAAAAACAAATATTTTGTTTCAAAGCAGCTGACTGGCCTATGTGATAGATTTTAAATAAAATTCCTCCTCATTTCCACTTACTAACTGATCAAATAATTGATTGTCTTAACATAAGCCTGAATAATGCCTACAGACAGACTGCTCCACATATATGTAAGATAATGAAGTTTTAAGACTCTCTTCACTTAAAGATTTCTCAACCTGGCCAGAATGTTATATATGCATGTGTCACAGTGGCTGCCATGTTGGCCCCACAACAGACAAGAGTTACAAAATAATTACAATGAATTTTATGGACTCAATTTTGTCCATCCCCTAAGTTTGATTTTCTTGAATGCTTCTGCCTGATGACATTTCCCGTGAAACTCAAAAATAAAGATACAATATAATTCCTTACCCAATAACTCAACTCTGTCCTCCAAGCAAGGACAAAAACCCTAAAATCATCTGCTTGGTGGATGCGAACAGCTTCACTGGCAGTCCCAATGGGAGCCAGAATGGAAAAGAAGAGAGGGAGCCTTGTTCTCATAGGCTGTGGAGAGACAGCCACAGCTGCAAGCAGCTTCCTAGATCTCAAATGGTTGAGAAACTTCAAATAAATAGAGCATGCCAATACAGAAGAGTAGTGTGGGGTTAACAGGGACAGAGACATAAATGACTGCAATTTTAGCAAGCCATGAGGGATCATTCTCAGGGGTGTGCCAAGTTGTGCATAGCCTAGTAGCAATGTAAGAGCTGCTTCAGGAGAACTACTTGCCAGTGCAAGAAGTCTAAAAAAACCACTTGTTTGTTTGCAATTGTACCAAGTGTTAAAAATTCTGTAGGTGATGGCTGCCACATTGGTCCCAAAGGCAGGCTGTGTGGTGTAGGCAAAATGAAAATATGATGCCTTAGGTTGGTACAATATGCAAAGTTTTGACAATACACATAAGAGCCAATATATGTAGAGCATGCTGCCTTACAAGTAAGTATATTTGCACAATGCGAACATCAGTTACCATGATCCGTTATGTACTGGTGCAGTAGCCAGTTGCTCTGCAGAATTCTGCAATTTGGCTCCTTTGAATTCTGCCTGCGGCCGAGCTTTTTGGAAAAAAAACCTTACAGGGTTGCTTACTGCTACACTGACCCATGTTAGTCCAAAGTTACCAAGATAACTATTTCCAAACATCAGAAGACTTCCAGCTGCCACTTGGACTCAAACTCACCTGGGTTAACACAGAAGACAGTTATCTAAGCATAACAATCCAACATTCCAGTATGATGTAAAACAATTGCCAACTTCTCTTCTGCAAGGTGACCTGAGTCTCACCTGCTAGGGCTGGGCAATATCTGCTTTTCAACATCGTGATGTATCACCAGCGAAACATTGTGATACACTGTTGTGATATATCTGAAAATGAGGAGGAAGGAGGACTGCAAAGTGGTTTGAACTGGCTCGGTAGCCAGCCAGCCCACTAACCGCTTCTGCCGCTTAGTGAATGTATTGGTAAAAAGGTAAAGGTAAAGGTACCCCTGCCCGTACGGGCCAGTCGTGTCCGACTCTAGGGTTGTGCGCCCATCTCACTTAAGAGGGGGCCAGCGCTGTCCGGAGACACTTCCGGGTCACATGGCCAGCGTGACGAAGCTGCTCTGGCGAGCCAGCACTAGTGCAGCACACGGAAACCTTCCCGCTATAAAGCGGTACCTGTTTATCTACTTGCACTTAGGGGTGCTTTCGAACTGCTAGGTGGGCAGGAGCTGGGACCGAAAGACGGGAGCTCACCCCGCCGCGGGGATTCGAACCGCCGACCATACGATCGGCAAGTCCTAGCCACTGAGGTTTTACCCACAGCGCCACCCGCGTCCCCCGAATGTATTGGTAGGTATTGCTTAAGAATTCCATCCCACTATTTTATTCCATTAACGTCTATTTTCACCGTGAAGGGCCGGGGATGGAAGCAAAGAATTTCCCCTTATCTTGACCTTGCACCTCCGTCATCAAATTAAAGCTCAGGCACAAACTCACTGACATAAGGCAAATAATACAATGAGTTCCTGACTCTATCTGTAAAATCAGAAATCAAATCTCCCAGAGTTGTGAGAATTAGAGAAAGGATTAAAATGTACCTTGTAAAAGGGCTACTGTATCAATTATAACTGAGAATTCAACAGAGAAGTGTGATCCCTGCTGAAGTTTTGCAGACTGTGCGCAAAGGGAGACATTTCTTTTGCACACCAGAGAGTGAAGCAACAGAGTGCTACATGCAGAGGAAGTGCTCAGACAAGGCAGGCTTTCAGTTTTTTCTGTCCTTTTATGGGCACTCAGCTGGAATCAACTCAGTTCTGATGCTTACGGAAGGCCAGACATGAGTGAGTCAGGCAAACTTGTTAGCTTTTTCCCATGTCCTGCTCAATGCTGGGCTATTATGAGTTGCTAAAAAGGACTGTGAGGGTGGAAGACAACAAGAAAGCGGGAACACAATGGGGCAGCCAGAAGAAGAAGTCTAGAAGTCATCAACCAGTCTCAGTAAAGAAGCGATTCTATTCACCAGATCAAAAAGTATGCATTTTCCGCCCAGTTAGTCACACCAGCTAAAGAGCTATGGAAGTTTAAGCAAGCCATGCCTACAGTTCCCTTGCCCCAGAACAGTTCTAAAATTAACCCCAGTCAGCTCCAGAATAAGTGGCCATCTTCAATTGTCTCCACTAGTTCAGAACTGGGTACTGGACACAAATCACCATCTTGACAATCTCAACCTTCATTTTAAAAAAAGATGAAAATCAAGCTTCTAGCTCTTAATTAAATAACATGCTTGAAAATTTGGGAAGTATCAGAAACTAAGTTGGGTGGTCTGAAGATTTCCCTAGAACAAGCAGAATGAACCCTGCAAAATGAACACACATGTAAGTTTCCAAGGTTCACAAAGATTGTAGCCAGCATTTGAAATTCACCAGGTGCCAGGCACATTTTGCACCTGGCCACTTGCAACCATGTGAAGATGCCTGGGCGCCAGGATGGCACCTGATGTCTCCACTATCTGGAAGTGCATGCCTGGGGATCCGTGGACCTTGACTGTTTTCACACAGTAGTTACACACCCTGTAGAATTCTATCCGTTATATTTTATCTGCACAATCACACTGAATTTCAGGAACCAAAAAGTTGTGCAGTGGTACCTTGGGTTACAGACGCTTCAGGTTACAGAATCCGCTAACCCAGAAATAGTACCTTGGGTTAAGAACTTTGCTTCAGGATGAGAACAGAAATCACACGGCAGCAGCGGGAGGCCCCATTAGCTAAAGTGGTACCTCAGGTTAAGAACAGTTTCAGGTTAAGAACGGACCTCCAGAATGAATTAAGTTCTTAACCTGAGGTACCACTGTATTGAAAAATAGGACCTTCCAGCTGTTTGACCCAAAAATGACAACTAGGCATTCCGTTTTGGTGACTATAACCATGGTTTAAAGAGCCATTTGGCACTTAAATTGTGTAGCTGAGTTTCTATCACTGGTTGTAGCCTCCAGCTTTCCCTGGTACAGATTTTTGTGTGTTTTTTAGTCGCGCAGAGTATACTGACAGGGCTGTTCCGATACTACACTGACAATATGCAAAAAGAAAAAAAGAGTTTAACAAGCAGTAAGCCATTCTGCTCTAAATAACACAATACAGGTTTATCTTTTCATAAAAAACCCAAAGTCTGTACTAAAGACTAGAAAAGTCAAAATATATTAATGGCTGCCTTCACCTGAACAAAGGCAAACTGCCTTAATTCTCTTACAGAGAATATCCCCTACTTCACATGCTCTCATTTTTACAGAAACATTTACCCCTCAAGAAGGATTGTACTCCATTAAGCAATTCTATCCCAAAGTTCTCATCTTCCAGGAAGGAACTGGCACTCTCTATGGTGGAGATGGGTACCATATGAAGGAGTGGACCTTATGCTCATTTCACAAGTACCAAAAGTTCATGGTTAAGACCTCACTTTTGGTGACACTGAAGGAAACATGCTAGTAACAAACCTGTGCAAATTTACTGCATGAAGAAAGTTGGTCAGGTACAATAAGAAGCTGCCTCACACCTGCCATGGGAAAGTTTGGACAACCATCTTTCATGCATGATTAAAATAAGCCATCCAACATTTGAGCAGAAAGGACTCTTAAGTCCCAGGCGCTATCTTGCCTCAAAGTATTCCCCACTCCCCGCAAGGTACTATTTTCAACACATAAGAAAGCCAAGCCACAGGAAATAAGCCCTCTTATTTCATGGTCATATGTGGGCTGAAGGCGTTAAAATTAGTCCAACTGGTGGACTTGTTTACTCACACAGAAAGTAATTGTGTGCTTCTGGCAAGCTATCGGAACTAGCTACGCCTTCTTGGCTACTCAAAATAAATACACAGAACTCACAGAGGTATGTGGGAGGGCCTTCAGTGTGGTTATTTCTGCCCTAGATGCCCTTGGGGGAGGTCTAGTAGGAGTTACCAGATGGACAAGTGGACAAAAAAGTCTAAACCCTCTGGCAAGAAATAAGCCACTTTTGCATCCAGCGGTTTCTAGAATTCCTCTCACACAAAAAGCAAACCTAGAGCTATCTGCCTCAGCCAGCAAACTTACAACACAACACTATTTCACCTGTGGGGCAGCTCAGTCCTCCTCCTGACCTAACACTTCAGGGCTACCACCTCCCCTGTGTCAACTCCAACTCATAGTGGTTTTGTGTTCCCCAACATGCTCACACATAACGTCATTAGAAAAAGAAAATGTGAAGAAGACAGGGTTTTACTACTACCTCAAGCAGCAAAATATATGGAACACAGAAAATGAAAAGGAATAAAAGGCTCAGAAGGCCTAATGTGTGCAAGGGCCATGTACTGAGGAACAGGAATATAAAACTAAAAATGTCAGAACAGTGCAGCCACATGTATGCGAATGTGTAGAAATAGCAATGACAAGCATTTATAACAGTGATGGCCAAACTTGGCCCTCCAGCTGTTTTGGGACTACAATTCCCATCATCCCTGACCACTGGTCCTGTTAGCTAGGGATGATGGGAGTTGTGGTCCCAAAACAGCTGGAGGGTCAAGTTTGGCCACCACTGATTTATAACATAGACATAATAGTCACTATAATTTGCTACCTTTCACACATCCACATACCTGTGGTTTGTTAATTTCGGTTTTATTTTATATTTGTTAAACAGTGATCTATAATTGTATATGAACCGAGTATATTGCCCCCAGATCCTGTTTGATAACATTGTATTTTGTAGAAGAAATAAAAAAGAAAAAGAAAAACAGTGAGTTCTACTATTCTTCAGTTAGAGAAGATATACGTGTTGGAGGGGGGAGAGTAGGGAAGAAGAGTATGAGTGATCCTTTTCAATCCAATGCTATGTGCTCTGCTGAAATGTTTTAATAACCTTCACACTGCTGTCCAAAAGGGAAAAAAATCTAAAACTTCCCATGAATTTTCTAATAGTTGAGTTGCTTTTAGATAAGAGATTGCAACACTAAGAACAGGCACCACACAGCAGATTCAAGTACTGAGTCACTCCTCTCACTAGGCCTTGAGCTCTGGGCATCCGGGACAGAAACTTCTGGGTCACTTTGTTAGGCTATACAAAGCTCTCCTCTAAGAGAACATCTTGGCACTTAGCTGTGCATCCTTCATTCCCTGAAGCCACTACAATTGGGTACAGATGATGAAATCAAAACCTAGCCTCCCCAGGTGGCAGATTAAAACAGAAAGGGGCCACATCAGACTTCCTAGAGAAAAACAGCACTCCCATCTAGATGAGGCTACAAATTCAGAGAGCAGTTAACTGGCAACATGCAATCAAGCTGGCAGCCTCCTTGTCTCTCACATGGCATGAAGAGGAGAAAAAGAACCATTCCTTGATGGCCTCCCTCTCACAAGCTGCCTTGCAAAAAACTACACAGGCTTGTCTTCTAAAGTGCATTCCTCTGATCTCCTGACCTGAACCCCCTGATCTAATTATTTTAATTGCTATTTAAACAGGTTTTATTGTGCATTTTATTATGAATGTTTTCTTTTTTAAAAAAAATAATTTTTATTAAGTTTCCATTTACCAAATTAAACATATCATACCAATTAGTCCAAATTGTATCAATACACATGATAAAGTCCAAATGTTTTCCAAATTAATTTTTTTTGTGGGGGTACCATGCTTTTCGATCGTCAGGAGTCCAATCATCCATATTTCTGCTGCTTTCCTGTTTACAATGATGTTTTCAGCCCCATCTTCTCAACTCTTTGTCGTTACTCATTTTCCTTTTCAGTCACCTCCGAGTTCTCTCCACAAGTGGATTGAAAGAAACAGTCTTATTTATATCTCTGTGTGGGCTTATTATGAATGTTTTCAATGTTTTAATAAAATGGTTTTATTGCATATTTTGATTGTGTGCTGATATATTTTTATAACTGCTTAGAAACCATTTTAGCAAGTAAGTGGTATAAGAAACAACAACATTCCCACCTTAGAAGTCAGATTACCTGCCTCAGTACAAAAATGTTGCCTCAGCAAAGAGGATTTCTAGGTAGAGGAACCCAGAGCAAGACCATTCCAAAAAGTACAGCTGCACAAAAAGTAACACCTCAAGAACTTCAGCATTAAAACACATACAAACTGCTGAAAGACTTCCTGATTGCAATCCACAATCAATAGCATTTAGGTAGAATGTCTGCTACCTCTGCTAAACATGGCACTGTGTGACCCTCTTTCAGATGACTTTGAGATCAAGGTTAAGATAAGAAAAACAGCGATTTTGGGGAAAGAAATCCAGTCAGGGATTGAAAATGACAAGGGAGAGATTAAGCAGCTGAAAAAAAACAACCTACCTAGCCATTGTGGAACCCTATTTATTTAACTTAGCCTAATAAAGGGTCTGCCGTCCTTTCTGAAGGAGTAGACATGTTATGAATTTTGAGACGGTGCTGTGGGCACTGGTCACAAAATGGCTGCCATGGGGATGTGGCATAACACAACTTAAGAGCAAAAGTCATAGGTGCTTGATTACTCCACTGCCCCCAGAAAATATCATGATTGCTGTGGGAAGTCACCTATGTCCTGTTGGTCCTGAATGTGGGGATCATACATTACACAGATACACACAGTTGCCATCTAACAGGGAGCTTTCTTTAGTACAGTTGTACCTTGGAAGGCGAATGGAATCCATTCCGGAAGTCCGTTTGACTTCCAAAATGTTTGGAAACCAAAGTGCAGCTTCTGATCGGCTGCAGGAAGCTCCTGCAGCCAATCAGAAGCCGCGGAAGCCCCGCTGGATGTTCGGGTTCCAAAGAATGTTTGCAAACCGCAACACCTACTTCCTGGTTTGCGGCATTTGGGAGTCAAAACATCCGAGTACCAAGGCATTCAGGATCCAAGGTACGACTGTACAGTCAAACCTTGCTTGTCAAACCGTTCTGGAAGCCTGTTCGGCTTCTGAAATGCCCAACAACTGAGGCATGGCTTTCAATTGGTTGCAAGAGCTTCCTGCACTGAAGTGGAAGCTGCGTCGGATGTTTGGCTTCCAAAAAATGCTCGAAAACCAGAGCATTTACAGTGGTACCTCGGGTTAAGAACTTACTTCGTTCTGGAGGTCTGTTCTTAACCTGAAGCACCACTTTAGCTAATGAGGCCTCCCGCTGCCACTGCACGATTTCTGTTCTCACCCTGAAGCAAATTTCTTAACCCGAGGTAATATTTCTGGGTTAGCGGAGTCTGTAACCTGCGGAGTCTGTAACCTGAAGCGTCTGTAACCCGAGGTACTACTGTACTTCCAGGTTTTCAACGTTCGGGAGCTGAAACGTTCCAAAACGGAGCCGTTCGGGAACCGAGGTTTGACTGTACCAGGATACATGTTGACCACACCACACACATGTATTTCTCTCTCATACATTAATGTACTTCACATATGCACCTCTCCCAAGTGCCTCTCTCCCCCTCACAGACCACATATACGGTATACCGCCTTCTCAGTTACTCATACAAACCACACAAGCCACACGAATCTCTTTCTTTGTCCATCTCTCTTAATCACACACCGTGCACCCCCTCTGAAAGGCCCCTTTACCAGTGAAGAAGTGCCTGCCATTTCAACCACCCCCCTCCAAAGCTATTCACATGACAACTGGTTGGCAATCACTGCCCTAATGGTTGACTGAACCCTAAGTTAGAGTAGCATACGAATTCCCAAAAACTGAGGAATCTAGACCCAAAAAAATAGCATTAAAACAATTACAAAGAAGGACAAGATGTATTTGTGTGCAGGTATATCAAGAGAATCTACAATCTCATACCATCATATCTAAGCATCAAATTCTGTAGCCAAATCACATTAAAAGCTTCAACACAACATGCTTTCCCCCTCTTCAAGCTATCCAATGTTTCTTGTGGCTCATAACAATTCCTAGTCAAGTAGGGAATAGGACAGGATAAATTATCACACCCCTCAGAGGGAGAGATACCAATAATAAACTGTCACTATTAATATTTAAAGCACCAAGCAGCATCCTCTAGTTGGACATTCCAGGATAACTGCTTTTCTTTAGGCGGTTGTTGTCACCCACTCACAGGGAAGAAATGTTTCCCTCCTCTACCAAGTAGGTACTCTATGCACCCTGCCCACTCCTCCTCGACTAAAGGTCACTAAGCATACTATGCACCAGGGAACTAGGATCACTATCCAGACAATTAGTTGACTGCCACCGACAGCAAGCACTGCTTTGTCATTTTCAGGAGTGGCTGAGATTCAAAGTATGCCTACAAATGGACATTTTGCTCTGCAGATTTACAAAGATGGCTTCAAAACTGATCCACAGAGAAAACTGTTTGCAGGCATGGTTTGAATTCAAACTGTATCTGCAAATGGGGCTCACCGACCAGTTGACCAATCAGGGTTTTCTGCTTTGCCAAGGAACCATCGGAAACTGAAAGTATGCTCTTGATAGTTCCTTTGCAGCTGCATACTTACCTGCCCCACACCTGACATCACATATAACATCAGGTACGTGCAGTTTGGGGGAAGCAGCTTCATGGGCCAAATTAGCACTAATTAGGTCCATGAGCTAAAGGTTCCTCACTGATGTTATACACAATGTACAACATCCCAGATTCTATTCTTGCTCTGGTAACCTTCTCTGGCATTTCTAGCACGCAAAGAGCTTTCCAGTCATTTGCCCAGCCTTCCAACAAACCTGTGCAGCAGATTATTTGTCTACCCACTTACAGCGAAGAAACAGGCTAAAGGATGAATGCATCCTGAGGTGCCATTATGATCATGATAGAGTGTGCTATGTGAAAAATAATTTGTGTCCTGTAACCCTCAGAGTTGACTATGGCAGCCAGTACTTTGTTCAGGGTATGAAACTCATTGATCTCATCCCCCAATGCCACTTAATTTCTGGCCATACTGCTCCGCCTTCATCTTATCCCCATCTTGACTATAATATTCTAGAGTGCTTGGCTTGTGTGCTACACCACAACTTATTTGCTCACCTAATTACTGCACACTTGCAACCTGCACTTTACACTGAGCAGTTTTATTGGGTACATTTTAATCTGCAACTCCTTTCATTTCTCCAGATTCCTCAGCTGCTGCTTCTTCTTCTTCTTCTTTTTTTTTTTTTTTGGTGCTTCAAATTCTTGTCCATCAATTATTGTATCATAAATATCATCTGTTTGTAGGGGGGATGCTTGTCAGAGCTTGTTAATTTCATTTCAGCTTTGATAATTTCATTTCCTCAGGCAATATTTTAGTAGTTTTCCTTTCTGACAGCTAAGGAGAGAGTTCTATTTTTAAAAGAGGTTGAATATACACACATCCTCTTTGGGTGCTGTTTTCAGAAGATCACTGAGGAAAATACTGTAACTGAGAGAATATAGCAGTAGGAAACATGTGAAGAAACTTTAATAACCTTACTTGACTCTGAAGCTCGCTCTGCTGTTTAAGGCGCAGGTTTTCGGGAGTGTCTGCCACCATAGTGAAGGACTGCTTTGGGTAGTGTCTGCAAAGAGGGAAAAAAATAGGCTGTGTTAAAAAGGAATCATTCTTAATCTGGTTTGGCCAGATTAGATGAAACCAACACCAGCACAGTCTCTATACATATCAGCTGCCCCCCAGTTTGTGCCACTATGATCTTGCTCCTAAACAGACCAATTGTGGATTTTACTCAGCTGTTCAAGGTACCTCTGTCCACCTAAGATTGTGGAAGATTGATAGGAATAATGCAAAAACCTAAAGGAAAATTTTGACGTAGCGTCTGTGACATCACTGAATTGGCTCAGCTACAGTGTACCAAAATCCAGGGAGTAGGGAAAGAAGTAAGAGCAGATAAAATGTATTCCTGCACAGATACCTTGTGAAAACTATACCCTTAGTTGGCAAGTTTTGTACTTATGCCTCTCCCCACAATTTAGCTCATTTAAATATATCCAAATTTAGATGCAATTATCCATTGCCTACCTTAAGAGCCAAGTGTAAAAGCAGCTGGGGGCAACTGAGACAAATCAGGCCAGTCAAAATTTGTCAAACAACCTGCAATGCTTCCCTAATTGCTGCTGTTTGGTAGCTAAGTTAAGCATTGGTCCATGAATTCAGAGGGGGCTCTATGTGCAAAACCACTGAAGATGTGCATAAGGCTAACCTAGTACAGTATCATGAATTAGAATCATAGAATCATAGAGTTGGAAGAGACCACAAGGGCCATCGAGTCCAACCCCCTGCCAAGCAGGAAACACCATCAGAGCACTCCTGACACATGGTTGACAAGCCTCTGCTTAAAGACCTCCAAAGAAGGGGACTCCAACACACTCCTTGGCAGCAAATTCCACTGTCGAACAGCTCTTACTGTCAGGAAGTTCTTCCTAATGTTTAGGTGGAATCTTCTTTCTTGTAGTTTGGATCCATTGCTCCGTGTCCACTTCTCTGGAGCAGCAGAAAACAACCTTTCTCCCTCCTCTATGTGACATCCTTTTATATATTTGAACATGGCTATCATATCACCCCTTAACCTCCTCTTCTCCAGGCTAAACAGGCCCAGCTCCCTTAGCCGTTCCTCATAAGGCATCGTTTCCAGGCCTTTGACCATTTTGGTTGCCCTCCTCTGGACACGTTCCAGCTTGTCAGTGTCCTTCTTGAACTGTGGTGCCCAGAACTGGACACAGTACTCCAGGTGAGGTCTGACCAGAGCAGAATACAGTGGCACTATTACTTCCCTTGATCTAGATGCTATACTCCTATTGATGCAGCCCAGAATTGCATTGGCTTTTTTAGCTGCCGCGTCACACTGTTGGCTCATGTCAAGTTTGTGGTCAACCAAGACTCCTAGATCCTTTTCACATGTACTGCTTCCATGAGCATAAAACTATCATGTGATTCTTCCTCCAGAAGAGCCAACAAATCAGAGAGCTCAACAGGGGACCTGTTTCACATATATCTAAGGTGCTTGGCAAATAAGGGATACATTTCAAACTTTAATCCATAAATTTCGCTTTCATAGCATTTCCCTTCTGGAACAACTTTTTATTGGATTTTATTTAAAAGGATCATAGGAATGATAAATAATACAAATGAATAGACCAAGTCTTCTCATGTTATCTGTATATCACAAAAATGGCACAATAAATTTGCAGTAATATCTACAATGTATGGTTCATTATTAGTGGTCAATGTATAGGTTCTTGGTTCATGAACTGATTAAACAAAACCAAAAGGGAAACAGGATACAACAGAGTTAACAGATAACATTCAACATTGCACAACTAAACACCTAATCAGGAGCCCTTGTGGTTGTGTTTTTCCTCTTACGTTACCAATGAAACAATATAAAGCATTGGTATTTTGATGAATGTGGGAAGGGGGTTCAAAGAGAAGGTAATAATTTATGTTTAAGTTAAAATTTAGATAAACCAGACTAAGCCAAATGCTGATGGGTTGTTTATTTTCTGGAATACTGGGATATGTTATGAAATTACACCATACAGTGTAAAGCCATTTTTCTTGATCTGCCCACAAGTCAACCGTAGTTTATTTGTTAATCTTTCAAGGAGGGCTGTTTCCCAAACTGCTTTGTATCAACTGTCTATCATTGTGCCAGAAAGGTGTTTCCAGTGTCTGGTTATGTTGTGTCTCACTGCTTGTAGTAACTGGCATGTTAATTCTTTATTATTATGTAAATCCAGATTGTTATCTTGAAATATATTTAATAAAATTATTTCTGGTTTGACTTCTAATTGTTGTTTTCTTCTGGGAAACCTAGCTGTCTTATGCAGAACATTTAGCCATGATTGCAAAGTCAGCATCAGTCTGCTAAAAATTCAGAAAGTAGAAGGATGTTACATGTGGGTATACAGTGGTTGTTTCTGCATACTTAATGCCCCACAACCTTGACTTAAATGAGCACACAACCACACACAAAAAAAAAGAATAGCGAGATCTTGCAGCTACAATAATTTGGGGAAATTAATGGTTGTTATTTGGCCTACATCTACATAGTTGGACAATTTTTGTGCCTTCATTGCACAAAAATAAAGGTTCTCCAACCTAGAGGGCATTGTAGCCAATCAAAACCGCTTAGAAGAACATGCCTACAGAAATTCAAAGTTATTTGGTGCCGAATCTTTAGATCAGGGCTCGTTTTCTTTAAAAGCAAATTTCTAGCCCTTATGTGTAACGTTTGAAAATGCGGCCAGTGATTGGTGAATTTATGATCACATGAACACGATTTCAGTTGCTAAGGAGTGGAAGTTTTAGCACCCTTCTTTACAGCTAGCAAAATAAAACAAGCAAGGATCTACAAATATTCACAATTCTTTTGCACCACAACATTTGGGTTACCTTGATGCAAAATTCAGAGGCCTTTTAAAATGCAGTCTACATAGAACTGTTTGGCTCTGTGAATCTCATCTGTCCTTGGGCCACACCGATGAAACAGCCAATCGCTTTCCCCACCCCCTTCATGAGCACTACCAGTGTTGCTTTCTTGGCATATAAAGTTCCACTATATTCTTGTGACGAGAATTAGCCTCCGCTCATTGGATAACCTCCACTTTTAACACTCTGGATGAACCCATTAGAAGTTAAATACTCCAGGAGCAGAGAGCCCCCTGCCCTTTCTGATTTCAAAGCACCCACTGGATTTTATTACATTCAAGTTTATGCACAGGCAGACCTCTATACCACACCTTTGCAAAGCTGCAGAACATCACAGTATTATCCACCGATACCACACAAAGATAAGCCACTAGCCACAGCAAGGATGAAAAATAACCTGTGAGCACAATGTAGCAGAAAGGCAGGAAATTCAGGGTTAAAAATAGAACTGACTACTCAGAAAGACCAATTAAGAATGAGTATATGTTTAACTGTGCTTACAAAATAAGCAAGCAGCAAGCAACTGCATGCTCAGTACCAGCACTCCCCTCCCCACAAGTTGTGGGGTACAAAGTATACAATTCCAGGCCATGCTGTTATTTCTGGGAAGGAGAGGGGAATGGCCCCCTCTTGTGCAATTTAAGGACATCAGCGGTAGATTACACTGGGTGACATGACACAGAAGGGACCACCTAGCTAAGGGTATTACATCCCACATATTAAAAAGTGAAGGAGGAAGAGACAAAAGAAGTGAAACTGTGGCAGCTAAATGCTATTCAATAAGATCTATGGAGAAGTCTAATCCTGAAGGGAGAAAATAGGAAGGGGAACAGAAAACCACCCTTTAAAAAAAAAAGTGGAAAATGTGCCTTAATTTAAGGGCTGTCTGACAATGCACTACGATTTTGAGTACTGGTGAAACAGAAAGCAGCTTGCCTGCTTGAAGACCATCTCCTAGCCTGCATACCTGACAAGACTAATGCATGAGCAAGAATTATGCAGTTCCTATGTTTGCCCTAAAATATAAACCCCCAAAATTCCCCTTAATCCCAATTCAGGTTAACCCGCTTAGAGCAGCGAGATATTCTGCGTACACACACAGTATCGTCACAGAACAGGAGGGATAGCTAGCTTGAGCCCACATAAGAGCATTAGACCTTGAAGATTTAGGTTTTAGTTCTTCAGCTACAGCCTTGTAGCAAACCACTCTCACTCAGTGCCCCAATATGTAGTATGGAACAGAAATAGTATTTCAAAGAATAATTGTCAATGAATGAAATTAAGATAGCATCTCAATACAGTATGTGGATTAGAGTTAGATATGGTTTTCACTTTTCCTTCTCGATTAATGAGAGCATAAAAATGCTAAGTGATTTTGCAATTCTGAATCCCTTTCAAGGCAATCTTGTAATACAGTGTAACGAGATTGCTAGGAACCCAAGCTGAAATCCCTGAAGAGCAGGATCATCATGTGGACAGAAGGCTGCCATTTTGAATCCTTGTCACTTCTCTGCTCCAATTAGCTTAGGGCCAAATTTGAAGTTAAACCTGCATCTGCTGCCAAAAAAAGCCAGATGTCTAGCTCTCCCTTTTCGTGAATCTGCAGCAGAACTCTTCTATGTTGTAATGCTGTGTACTACCACTAGGATTGGAGGTGGCATATGGGAGTGCTAGTTGATGAGGAATGGAAGTAGAGAGAGTGCTCTTGCATTCATATCCTGCTTCAGATGCGACAGAGGGGAAGGTGGAAGCAAGACATCTGAATTTTTTTTAAAAAAAATTGCCAGCAGTTAGAGCAACATGCAGGGTCTGTAGTAAGTTTAGTATTAAGATTCTAAGTGGGAGGCTTGAGAAATTGCTCCTCTTGAACCAATTCCAAGCCTAAATCTGAACATGTGTCTTGACTGGGCCAGGTGGAATGATACTGACTTTGAATAGTGTACTGCACCACAAACATCAACTCTGCAAGAAACAATCAAAGCTGTCACACACACCCATCTTCTGGCCATTTATATTTTAGGTTATATTTGGTTTATATTTCAGTTAGATAAAATTAAGGTAACCTTTTAGTCCCTGTCTAATTGGCAGTAGTTAATCCAAGTAGCACTTCCTGGGAGCTGGCAGGGATCTACATTTTGGGTGGTGCAGGCTCTTATATTAAAGCTTATGGCCACAGCTAGTCTATATATCAACATATTCTAGCCTTGGTGCAAATGCATTTCTAGGTTGAGAGAAGTCCTGATCATACACAGTGTATTTATAATTAACAAGTCTAGGTGGTGGATATGGTTAGAGTGTATTTTAATTTTTATATTTATCTGGTTATCCTCAATATGCATTTTTGTACTTTAAAATTAAATATTATTTGTGGGGTAGGTGGAAGGGTGGCTGCTGCAGTCTAGCTACCATTCACTGTTTGTTGGGTAGCAAGATACAACAGAAGCCAGCAATAACAGAGTAAAAGGGACAAATAAGAGAGGAAATATAGGTTTCATCAGGACATTTTAACTGTCAGTATTTGCTTGTCAATGAGAAAAGATTCTATGGAAGGCAGCTACCAGATGTTCATTCAAACCTGTTTTTTTAAAAAAAAACTTACTAAAGATACAGACTATAGACAGACACACTGGGACATTTATGGTTGTGCAGTGAGCTTTATGTTGCTGCTATGAAGAGCCAAATTTCTTAGCTTGCCATGGCAACCACTTCCAGTGCTTGTGTTCCAGAAGGGGGTTCCCAGTAGTGGCCACGTGTTTTGGTGCAGAAGATTTTTTTTAAAAAACAAACAAACAGGCAAACACACAAACTCCCCAAAGAGATCTGTTAGCATTCTAAAGAGATGTACAATTCAGTTCTGGGAGTTGGTACTTGAAATCCTAGTATCGCTGCCAATAATTGCAGTTGAAGAGTATTTGCAGGGTAATGCGAGGGAAAATTTCACAACCACAGACTTGGCTTATCAGAATCAGGAATTAAAACATTCATGTTTAAACTTAGTTTTCTATTCTCTAAATAACTTCTGCATCAAAAACACCCAATTTCACCAGCATTTAATTGTTACCTGTACATATCAGGTTGGCATAGTCCCATAAACTACTGAAGGAAACAATAAGGGTAAGGGTCTGATACTACCTCATAATTTAAAAAATTATTCTGAATGCTAAATGTTTCACATATTGCAGGGTTGTTTGGAATCACTACTTGAATCCACGTGGCAGCGTAATGGATTTAACAGTGAACAGTCACTGTGGAAATTCATCCTTACAGCAGGAACATTGTCAGTGGTTGACCTAACAGCTAGAGCAGGGGTCAGCCAACTTTTTCAGCAGGGGGCTGGTCCACTGTCCCTCAGACCTTGTGGGGGGCCAGACTATATTTTGAAGGGGGGGGGACGAATTCCTATGCCCCACAAATAACCCAGAGATGCATTTTAAACAAAAGCACACATTCTACTCATGTAAAAACACGCTGATTCCTGGACCGTCCACAGGCTGGATTGAGAAGGCGATTGGGCTGGATCTGGCCCCCGGGCCTTAGTTTGTCTACCTATGAGCTAGACTAGAGCAAAGATACTTTCTTACTAAATGCAGCATGTCCACATAGATTTCAGTTTCTCAAAAGATACTTAAGTACTGGCATTAGCAATGAATTTTTGGAATCAGGACCAGAAGACTAAATATTTGGGGGGAAACCCAAAACCAGCCACTTTCAGTAAGAGGCCCAAGTGAACAGCAGCAAGTTATTTTGGCAGAACCAGTTGTTGAAATCTGCTCTGTGGAAAATGTATATTGCTACCATAATTACTAAGCAAGAGACAGAAAATGAGTCCAAATGTAAAGGAGGAAAAGTTTAGATTCTCCTTCATAATATGAATAAGAGTGGCCATGTAACTCTTGAATAGCTAGCATAAATACAAATGCTTAGAATAAGGCAGAAGCAAATCTCATCTGCACAAGAACTCAAGACACAAGAACTGCAGTAAATGCACTGCAGTTATTTTAAATGTTTTAATTAGCAAGTGATGTGGTCTCCTATAACATAAGCCATTTTTGTGGCTCCTACCTCTTAGTTCTACCAGACAAATGTGGCCTTCACTTCCATACTTATGCCATTCCTAAAAAACCCAAAACCCTCCCCTATCATCTGCTATCACTTAGCAAATGTCCACCTTCAGCCTTTGTAGATTCTACTTCTTGCTACCTCATAGCAAGGGGCGGCGGGGGGGGGGGGAATTTGTATTGCTCACTTTCTATTGTGTAAGCTAGTTATGAAAGTATACCTACATTTTCCCCCACACAAGATAAAGAGATGAAACTGGCACACTTTTATAATGTATCAAAAGGTAGTAAGGTGCAGTGGCAGCAGGAGGCCCCATTAGCTAAAGTGGTGCTTCAGGTTAAGAACAGTTTCAGGTTAAGAACGGACCTCCGGAACGAGTTAAGTACTTAACCCGAGGTACCACTGTACTGTATTAATTCCTTAAGTCACAAACTGGCTTGCACACATTTCAGAACACTGAGGAGGAACTCTTTAATGGAGAAAATTAATCTGAGAGTGTGCAAAATTTGGGGAAAATATGTTGAGTAGAGGGGCTTAACAACAATGCAAAAAGTTCGAGGCCTTTTCTAAAAATGTGGTGCACTTCAACCCTCATTACTAAAATGTATTTCCACATGAAACTTTAGAAAGCTTTTAGATAAAAAATTAAATATGAAAGTTCTGCCATTTCCACCTTTATCTTTACTGCAGGTGCTTGTGATCAGTCTTAGTTTATATAATACTGTGCTACCAGCAACTCCTTTGTAAGTTGCAAAAAAGCAACTAATAAGTCAAATAAATAATAATATCATCCATTGTCCTAAATTCTTGAAGGCAGGCTCCAAAGCAGGGGTTGAAAGAAAACAAAGTAACAGGTGGGAAGCATGCTGATCAAATACTTGACACCACACATCCTATAATACTTTGGAGGTGTGGATATGACATTGGGTTGTATACTGGAAGATCTGTATTTAAAAGGGAAAACAAAATTGGAAAATATGACAAGTTTTTTACAGTTACCTAGAAGCAGACACAATAGGTAAGTGACAGCTATTTAAAATCTTCCTACTCTACTGAAAGCAAATCATTAGCATCATGCATTGCAAAATGTGACATTTGTATGAAGGCTTGCAATTCTGAGAAAAAGCTTTCAAGAACTGAAAAAGCAGGCTATGAGGTTGATTTGGAAGGGGGGTACAATATAAATCCAATAAATAATACAGCAGATTAACTTGGAGCACAGATTCATGAATGGAGAGATTTCAAATAGTCACTCTTAACTAAACATGTGTGTTAAAATGCCATAGTTTTCCAGAAAGTCCTGTATACAGCTCAGGAGATAGTCTTTGACAACCTTAACATCCTGCAAGTTCCATACAATTCAATCATAGATTCTGATTCAGTTTGGGAATCATTCATTTCCTTCTTGAGTTAGAAATGAAAGTATCCTTTATTCACCACCAGCAACAGAACAATTCCCATATTGATTTCTAGTGAGAATCAATTTCAAGTCATACATGCTGTTTGTGACTAATCCAGGCTCAACCTTCACCTAAAGGAAAGGTTCAAGATGAGATGATACTCCCAAAATATCATTCCAAGAGGAAGACAATTTTATATATTTAAAGAATTTTCATCCCACACTTTAGTCAAAAAAGCTCCCAGAGCAGCTTACAGTTTACTACAGAAAGTGCCTATCCTCAGGCTTACAATCTAAAATAAAAAATAATAAAAATTGACACAAAAATAAAATGGATTGGAAGGGGGAGAAGTAAATCCATGTTCAAGTTCTCAGTTACAAGTTCCTAAAATGACCTGCTAGGACTGAAGAATTCAAGAACAGAAGTCAAAAGCTGCTGGTCTCTTAGCTGTACAATGGACCCTCTGGTTATGAACTTAATTCATTCCAGGGGTCCATCCATACCCCGAAAAGTCCGCATCTAGAGGTGCCACTTCTGTGCATGTGCGCGGTGCGATATAGCGCTTCTGCACATATGGCGAAACCTGGAAGTTTGACACGTTCGCAACCCGAATGTTACATTACCTGAAGGTAACATAACCAGAGGGTCCACTGTACTGATAGAGTGGCTCTGCATCCCTTCTTTACTACAGTCTGATGTAATGGTTGCTGCCAAGCAATAACTGATGGAAGGAAGAGCCTGGATTCTCAGCAAAGCTAGTAAGGGAAATGAAGAAAAGATCACTTCTGGGATGGTTTCTTCCAAATGACAGGGGCTAATTGAATAATAGTTATTCATTCATCAAGCAAAGCATTCATCAAACATTTAGCACTCCAGCAGCACAACAGAGTAATAAGATCTCCCCAGTACAGTGCCATTTTTAAGAGCAACAGGGAAGCTGCAATATTCAGATCAGAGAAATAGCACTAGACAGTTGAGGATTATAAAACAAATGCTTTGAACATGTCCCCAAAGAGAGCAAAGACCTAAAAGTGCTGATCTTACAGAGCACCACAGCATTTGACTTCCTATGTGCAATTATAACTGCAAAACAGAGGAAGGACATGGGGACAGCCACATGGAGTCTAAGAATGATGATAAAGTATATGGGTGGTGTGTTGACCCACCAGAACAGCAACAAAAGAGACCAAAGAGGCAAACCAGTCATGCATTTCCGCCCTCCATGACAATAATAAATCGCTTCTACTAAAAGGAACCACATATATTAGTTTTCCAAAACAGAGAAACAAGAAATAGATGCTACTGAAAGAAACACGGAAATGTAGTCATCCAATAGTATTAATTCATCCAGTAAAAGTCGCAACAAATAAACAGACAAAAACCGTTTTAAAGCAGCTGTTCTGCAGAAAGGAATGCGTATCTTCCTTCCAAGCAGGGGGAAGAGGAAATAACTGTGCAACTAGGCCACTCACTTCCTGCCATCTATTCTACAGCATTTCAAGAAATAAAGAGGTCTGCTCAGTGGAGTGTACATAAGTGAGCCTTCCAGATTCACCACACTCAAGCAATTCATTACCAGCACCCACTTCCTTTTAGTGTGGACGGACAATAGCCTGTTCCAGAACTCTAGGAAACTTTGCTGCTTCTGTGCAGAAAAATCATGTTCTGTTCTGAACTTTCCTCTTCTTACTAGTAAACTGGAGATGTAGAGAATGAAGTGTGCTTTCGTGCAATAGTGTGCATTGTTGCTCTGTAGAATATCATGAGGCATTCACTAGTGACAAGGTATGTTTTGTTTCTGAAGTAAATGTATATGTGAGAAATGAAGAGCCATATTTTACACGCCTCCCCACTACTGTATTATAACTAGTCAAAACCGCAAAAACCTAGCCTACTTGCTCCTATGACATAGCTGCATCGCAACAGGAACAGACTCCAGCCTGCAGCCTCCTCTGGCAAACCAGCAGAGTCTCATTTTGATCAATGGAATTATAAACACACTTTTTGCAGAAGCTACAGTGGTGCCTCGCAAGACGAAAAGAATCCGTTCCGCGAGTCTCTTCGTCTTGCGGTTTTTTCGTCTTGCGAAGCAAGCCCATTAGCGGCTTAGCGCTATTAGCGGCTTAGCGGATCAGCTGATAAGCGGCTTAGCGGCTTAGCTGTTAAGCAGCTTAGCGGATCAGCTGTTAAGCGGCTTAGCGGATCAGCTGATAAGCGGCTTAGCGGATCAGCTGATAAGCGGCTTAGCGGCTTAGGATCAGCTGATAAGCGGCTTAGCGGCTTGGGAAAAAGGGGGGGGAGGAAAAAACCCCGCAGGAACTCGCAAGACATTTTCGTCTTGCGAAGCAAGCCCATAGGAAATTCGTTTTGCGAAGCACCTCCAAAACGGAAAACCCTTTCGTCTAGCGGGTTTTCCGTCTTGCGAGGCATTCGTTTTGCGGGGCACCACTGTACTTTAGTTCTGGGTCACAAAACACAGAAGTTTTAAAGGACGTGTTTTCTTTCATCACAAGTAATAACTTTTATACTAACACGCCCTTCAGAGGTTTGCATATTTAAATGTAATCAATACAGCATGTACGTAACCCAAACCCCTTAGTAAAATGACACCTAAAACAGAACATTTGTTTGTCTCGAAATCAAAACTGGGGTGAGCCATTTATTCCAAATTAAGGTACTTCCAAAACAGCTAGAAAGCTGAAGTATTGTATACATGAAGTCACATAAAACTCAATTACTGAAAAAATCTGAGCGCATGGCATTTTTATATCTTAATAGTCAACACTTTGGGCATGATCCTTTCATTTTATGCTAGGACTGCACTAGCATAATAGGAGAAGCTAGATATAATGTTGGCTTGTGGAAGTTTCCCCTTCACACTTGAATCAGTCTTAGCTTGAAGGGGGGGGCGGGCAAAGGGAACTGAGCTGCTGCAGGATGTTTCTTTTCATACATTAAGAATCCTTGAACTGAAGAAGAGAGAATTATACAATCTCTCAAATGGAAAAATTAGAGATGGGAGAGTTCTGAGTCAGCACTGTCCAAGGAGTTCACATGCCCACACAGCCATGAAGTTAACTAGGTAACCTTGGGCCAGTTACACACAGGCAGCTTAAGTTACCTCACAGAGTTGTGAAGACAAGGGGGGCTAGCCCACATCCATGCGTTACCACCTCTGAGCTCACTCAAAGAAGAGTGAGGTAACAATCTAAAACCATGCAAAATTCCATTACTGGAAGCCCGAGTCAAGCTTATACAGTTTTTGATCAGTGTATTTTAATTTTTGTTGTAAAGGTAAAGGTACCCCTACCCGTACGGGCCAGTCGTGTCCGACTCTAGGGTTGTGTGCCCATCTCACTTAAGAGGCTGGGGGCCAGCGCTGTCCGGAGACACTTCCAGGTCACGTGGCCAGCGTGACGAAGCTGCTCTGGTGAGCCGGCACCAGCGCAGCACACGGAAACGCCGTTTACCTTCCCGCTATAAAGCGGTACCTATTTATCTACTTGCACTTAGGAGTGCTTTTGAACTGCTAGGTGGGCAGGAGCTGGGACTGAAGACGGGAGCTCACCCCGCTGCGGGGATTCGAACCGCCGACCATGTGATCGGCAAGCCCTAGGCGCTGAGGTTTTACCCACAGCGCCACCCACGCTGTTGTTCTAATTTTTGTTGTAATCCTTACATTAACCCAGTAAAGTAAGCCAGAATTATCCCTATATTACAGATAGGGGTCAGAGATATACTAATTAATTCACAGAAGTGGCAACAGTCAAATCAGGAGCTTACCAATTCATGGCTCTATCTTTATATGCTACACTAACTTTGTAAAAGTGGGGCTAACAAGGTATATCATTCAATCTAGCTTTTCAAAGACACTATTGACAGAACATGCTAGGAAGTAAGCCCTTGAGATCAGAGCAAACATGCCCTGTTCACCCCACCTCATTGATGAAGGAAAGCCTCAGAGGGCAAAACCACACAGCAAAGGCGCCATTGGAAGGTTATGTTCAGATTGCCGTATGGCATCAAGGCAGCAAAGAGGAAGCCCAGCCTTCTTCCTACTGCTCTGACTGAGAAATAAGCTTACGGCCTGGCAGGAAGCCAGAGCACGGACAGAAGAAAGCCTGTATTAGACATGTTTGAAAAAGCAAGCTTACTCCTGCCAGCATAAACGTGGCCTTTTCCCTCCCCACTCCACAGAAAATGATAGGACATTCATTGTACAATTCCACTTTTTATGGCGGATGTTTAGAAAGGAGGGCCTTGTACAAGACTCTGCCAGCACTGACCATAGTTGGAATCCCCCCACCCCCCAAAATATTATGCCAAAGACTACATATATTGGGGGTTTGGTCTCAAACTGCTATTTTACACACTTTATATAAAATCTAGTGTTTTATATTTGGCAAAATTCTGCACTTTGGTAAGGAGGAGTGTGTCTGAAGAGGAGATGAGTATAGGGAAACATGAGCACTAATTAAAAGAAGGGCAATTCTTTATCTCTGAATATCAGACTTTTGAGAATATACAGTATCTGTCTATTTTCAATCTTGCCCTCACATACCTGAGGAACACACCTGGTCAAAGCAATCCTAGCCAAGTTATTCATATGCCGTTTAACTAAATAGGAAAAAACAAGTATATGCATAAAAAGAGTTAAGAAAAACAGTGTTTTAAATAGCGTATATGCATGTCACAACAGCAACCATCTTAGAAGAGCCACCATCTTTTCTTGTGAGAAGAAAAAGGGATCATTTCTTGTAAGATGGCATTTACAACCTATATTTTTTCACTACTTCTATTACAATACTTTTAATTCTGGTGCCTGATTAATGGGGGGACATCAATAACAAGGTGTTTTTTAATCAATTAAATAAAGGTAAAGGTAAAGGGACCCCTGACCATTAGGTCCAGTTGTGGCCGACTCTGGGGTTGCGGCTCTCATCTCGCTTTATTGGCCGAGGAAGCCGGCATACAGCTACCGGGTCATGTGGCCAGCATGACTAAACCGCTTCTGGCGAACCAGAGCAGCGCACGGAAATGCCGTTTACCTTCCCGCCGGAGCGGTACCTATTTATCTACTTGCACTTTGAGGTGCTTTTGAACTGCTAGGTTGGCAGGAGCAGGGACCAAGCAACGGGAGCTCACCCCGTTGCGGGGATTTGAACCACCGACCTTCTGATTGGCAAGTCCTAGGCTCTGTGGTTTAACCCACAGCGCCACCCGCGTCCCAATCAATTAAATACTGCAGACCTAATCAGAAACCTAATCATATTTTCCATTAAAGTTTGAACCCTAGTTGTGAAGGTTTTTGTTTTGTTTTTTAACCAAAAGATTCATAGGAATAAACAAAAAATAAAAAATAAAAATTGTCCAGTAGCACCTTAGAGACCAACTAAGTTTGTTCCTGCATGCACACCAAAGCTTATACCAAGAACAAACTTCACTGGTCTTATTAACGGAGAAATCTGAGGGCTCCCTTGGACAAGAAAACAAGGACACCAGCCAGGAATACCAGAGCAAAACAGCAGCCAGTAGGCTTGGTCTTTATTGAAGACTGTTGTGACAGGACTCCCACCTGCCACAAGGTGGAACAAGATGGAAGCCCCAAACAAAAGAGCCCCCAAACTTTTATTAGCTGCTAATCCCCATGTCATACACCCCAAACTACATCACTCATACATCACGGTTACATTATGAAAGGGGAGGTCTGGTGGCAGTAATCTGAGCATGCTGGACCCTGCCCCATGGTTCTCCTTGCCCTCCACCAAACACCCATCAAGTGTAACAAAAAATATATTTACATTTCCCTGTTTCCCAGCCAAGTTAATTACACCCTTTTGTCTTCATCTGGGTTTGTTATTTCTGGAATGGCTACCTGTCTGGCACTCAGGTATCAGGATGCCAGGGATTATCACTCAGGCAGAGGGGCTGCTGAGTAGCTGAGCTCACATGTCTATATGAATTTCTGAAGTTTTCCCAGTGAGCCAGTACATAGATACATTTATCAGTGAATTGTTACATTTGGTATCATGCAGCAAAGGCCCTTTGAATAGATAGGAAGAAACTGATGAAGTGTTTCGTGGGGACAAATCACAAAAGTCACAAAAGAGATTGTGCTGATTTTGGTAGTGGGCTGCATGTGCATGATATCTGCTGGAGGGGCAACCCCCCCCCAACCTATACATAAATTCCTGCAACAGTCTCTAGGGTGCTACTGGACAAGTTTTTAATTTTTTAAAATATATTTTGACTGCGTCAGACCAACACAGCTACCTACCTGAATCTAGAACCATAGGAATAAACAATTCATGTTACCTCTCTTGATGGATACTGAATGTGGCATGTGGTACAACTAAGCTCAGAAAAACCCAGTAGCACCCCACCTCCTAAAATATCCTTGCTCTGGACATGGATTCTGGGTGCCCTTAAAGCCTCTCTTGAAGTTCTATCCCACATACACACTTCCTGAATTGCTGCCCATAAAGGGACAACTCCGTACTCTGCTGCTCTATCTAAATACTCAAATTTCCCACCCAGCGCTGCTGAAGTTTTCAACAAGAAGAATAGAACAAGAACAAAGCTTTACCTAGTCTAAGCTACCTTCATGGGCATAGCAGGCTGAATGGAAAACCGAGGTTTGGAGGTGATGAACTGGAGGAGAGGAGGCCACCTTGCAGCCATCTTGACTATTAGTGACACAACCAGGAGCATGGCAATTGTCCTGGGGAAGGCAGCATCTGTCTTGATCAGGAGACCAGTTGTGAACTAGAGTATCCCATATCTCCAGACAAAAGTGGCGGTTGAAAGCATAAGCAAAAACACTGAAAATGAGGCTTTTCCAAGCATTTAGATCTGTCTAAATGAGCCATAAGCTGCTGGTAAAACACAGCTTCATTCTATTTGTTACAATTGAGTGGGTCTTATAGAAGCTGAAGGGGAAAATTAATTTTTCCATCTCTTGAGAATGCCAAGTAACAGACATGGGTCAAGGGTTGCGGGCAGTCACCATTTTCACAGACTTTACTCAAACCCATGTTTATAATAGCAAACCACTGTGGCTAATCACATGTTCTGTTTGTTTCTTAAATGTATCTGTCACGTCTTAACAATATTCTCATCTCGCTTTCATCTTTGGACCAGATGATGTAGTTATTCTGGGCTGGATCCAGAGTTAAGTGTGCTAATGGGACCGGTGGAAATCTACTTTCCACCACCTCCTACATCTGGCAGTCCCTGCTTACCCACGCATGCAACACAGGGACTCAAGGGAATTTGGTGAACGGGATGGGCTGTGGTGTGGGGGCAGCCTCAAAATGGTTGGAGGCAACTTTCTTGAACAGGATCTTGCCACATACTTTCGCCTGCACTTATGTATAACTTCTACTCCTTTCCAAAAATTCCTAACCCTGACTTGCTCCCAAGTCTTCCCCCTCCCTAAGCCTTTTCAGAAAGCTTCTGAAGCAGCTTTCTTGACCCAAATATTTCCATGCCATCTCTTTTTATGATCTCCATTACTTTGCACTGCAAACTTAGTTTTGAAGATTTTCATCTTCCTGTTCTTTTGCTATTGGCACTGTTGATCTTTCCCTTTCATGTCCTCTTCTGAAATACTTGCTGCTTTCAGAGCTTTTCTTGAATCACAGCCACTAGTTAATCCATATATCCTTCTTGCTATCCCATGACTTTTGCATTATCCATCTATGCTTAAAATTACCAACATTCTAGCACTGAGCACATCACTTTGTGGACTGTGTCACTGTTGCAATCCCTTCGGTGCCATGTTAAGACATATTTATTTGCCCAGGCCTTAAGTTAGTTTTATTGCCTTGCCTCTACTTGCTTTACAGCAGGAAAGGAGGAACTTTTTGGGATGGAGGGCCACATTACCCCACTGAAAAGCTGTCAGAGGCCACATTTCAATAGTGGGTAAAGCCAGACCTATACATAATCATACATCACTGACACGCTCACACAGATTAAATTCTACTTCCCGTGGAAAGACACATATATTAAATTCTTAGTAACTGCACTCAGGTTACATCTTCCCCTTTCTCCTAAGACTTTTAAAAAACCAATCTTGTAAGAATGAAAGCTTTCCTTTTACCTGTCAAAAAAGTTCAGCGATCCCAGAAGAATACAATGTACAGCTGAATAGCAAACCTTGCCTTAAGGTAAAGGTAAAGAGACCCCTGACAATTAGGTCCAGTCGTGACCGACTCTGTGGTTGCGGCGCTCATCTCGCTTTATTGGCCGAGGGAGTCGGCGTACAGCTTCCGGATCATGTGGCCAGCATGACTAAGCCGCTTCTGGCGAACCAGAGCAGCGCACGGAAACGCCGTTTACCTTCCCGCCGGAGCGGTACCTATTTATCTACTTGCACTTTGAAGTGCTTTCGAACTGCTAGGTGGGCAGGAGCAGGGACCGAGCAACAGGAGCTCACCCCGTCACGGGGATTCGAACCGCTGACCTTCTGATCAGCAAGTCCTAGGCTCTGTGGTTTAACCCACAGCGCCACCCGTGTCCCTCAAACCTTGCCTTACAACTATTCAAAGTCTCAAACTTCAAAATGAAATTGCATACCAAAAATTGCATGTAAACAATTGCAAAATGTATGGAGAACTTTTTGCATATTAGCAAAGTGTAAGCTCAAGTCTTCATGTAGCTAGAGTTTCTTACTTCCTACAGCAGATCTCCTTGCACAGGAAGAAGTTGCAATTTCACATCTTGCAAAGGAGGTTGTAAAGAAAGTCTCTCCCCCACCTCCCAATGCAATGGTACACTCTCCCTCTCTCTCTGGTTACCTCTTCCCCTCCCGCCCCAAGCTGATTGCACAGATCAGCTGTTTAACATGAAACAGCTTGATGGGGAGGAAATGCAGCTCCAAGCTGAAGAAGTGATGGGTGAGAGGGGACAGAGAAGGCCAGAATAAGTCCAACTGCAGGCCAAATCTGGACTGGAGACTCCCCTCCCCTGTGCTATAGTTTCATTTTGTTATGAAGGATGTGGGATATGATGTTTATACTACTATATTTATATTATTGTATACCACACTGGAATTTGTCAGGATAAAGTTCAGAATTTTTGAAAAATAAAATAGGTCACCTATCATGCTGTTGGCACTAGCTTCCTAATGAATAACAAATTCCATTCTCTCAGAGTCACTGACAAGGGTTTAGAAGGATACTTTGAAAGGATGGACTAATTAGGATTAATACCTCCACAGGTATCAGCTCAGCTTCTTTCCTTGTGTCTCTTGCCTGCCACAGTCAACAACTAAATTGCATTGAGATTTCCAGATACATACTGCCCCTTGAAATATACTTTTCACTTGCAGCTATACACAAACAGCTTTACAGAGTAGAAGGGCAAAGTAATGTGAACACCAGCAACTTACGCATTGCAATACGGCTTCTTCTCATAGCCCTTGTAGTTTTTCATGTTGAGAGTCATCTTGCAGACCTCGCAGTGGAAACATGCTTTATGCCAAAACTGGGAAAACATGAGAAACAAGTGTTAATGTAGAAAGTTTTATAGTGGGCTACTTCTTCCTAGCTGGAAAATGTTATTCCCAGCAATGGGTATTAGCTTCTAGAAATTACAATCAAGCATGCTGCAAGAAGACTCTTTCTAGTATCCTGCAGCACTGTCTCCTCCAGAGCTTTTCAAACTTCAGGTAAAACACTTTTTAGATATGCATCATTTCGCAACACAGAAACACAGTTTTACTAGCAAACCAGAGGTTAAACTAACCCCTTTCCTGCCCTGGGAGCGTTCATGCAACACAGCTACATGCTGCAGCCGACACACTGACGTGTCATGACACACAGTTTGGAAAGCTCTGGTCTGCTCCATTATGAAGGTCTGTTTAGACAAATGCTTGACCAGAGAGCATTTCAACAGCATTTATTCAACCCAAAAACACACTGTGTTTAAAGTTTAAAGACAGGCTAGGGAAAACATTCCTTTGTATTCAGTCAATGACCTATTTGTTTTTCAACAAACAAGCATTAGCAGTTTATACAATGTGGTCAGCGCTAACCAAAATTGTATTATATTGGCACATGATGAGCCTTAGGAAATATTTCCAACTCATCACCTGACTGCAAGTTCTCTCCCCACCCTCCCCCAACAGGAAGTTGCCATATGTGGCCTTAGCACAGAAATCTAATCCTGATACGCTGAGGAAGGTCTCCTTTCACAGTAACTCTGAAACCACTGTAGTAGGCTTTCCATATGGTCTTGAAAGATAGCTCATCATGCAAGATTGATGCTAAAGCAGCCTTGATTCCCAGATGCTCCTCTAAATGAAATATTTTATGTCTTATAAAAAGCAGACTAGGAGAAAAGCTCCACACTGAGAACAGGTAACACAGAATTGTCAACCAGCAACTATTCTGGTAATAAGTAGAAATACAGATTTCCACAACCGCATGGTGAGCTGGAGATCTCTTATAGCCAAGCAGCATGCCAGTTTGACTACAAGATTCTGGATTTTGAGAGCAAGAGCAGAGATGCCTCTACATTTTGAAAATCTATGCTAATTTCTCCCACTTTCCACGGCTTGGAAGTGCAATTACTCACCTCTGTCAAACAAGCTAAGCAAACTATCAGAAAGTCACTTGTTTTATCTTAAACACATTCTAAATTCTACAAACCATTCTGGACAGTTCTGAAACTTATTCAGCACTAACAGATTAGGGGAAGGGAATATGTGGACTATTGTGGGAAATAATGCACATGTTCAGGAGTGGCACATCATCTAAATGATGAAAGGGATGTAATTATTTTCAAAAGTTCACATGCTCTGAGAAAATGAACGAGATCACAAGTATTTTACAATATCCTTCCAAAACATATTTTGTGAATGTTTGCGATCATGCAGAAAAGTCAATGGTTCAGAAACAAAATTATCTTAAAAGACCCAGACTGGGATATTAAGAAGAAAAAAGTTGAAACATATTTCTAAAGGTGGAGAGCAAGAAGTCTGAGCAATAATGCCTCTCTATGCCCCCTTCCTAGAAGCATGAAAAATAGAGATATGTCCATAGGTATGTACAAGAAGGGGCTTCTAAGCCAACACACTATCAAAAACCTCACAGGGACTTCTTTTTGGCTTTACTTTTCATCTGTAAGAGCTAAAAAAACTTGACTTGAACAAACTTCTGTAGAAACTATCAGATACCATGCAAAGTGAAGTTTATATTTTATGATGTGATTGTACCTAGTTAAGTTGCTCTGTCCACAGGTTCTACCAGCTGACCTGTACTTCCTTCATGTGCAAAAATTTCAGCTTTTAAAAGAAATATTATAATAAGCAAATGCCAGAATTCTATTTAATGACCAAGATCATTAAATGACCAAGACGAGGTTTGCTAGTCTTGTAAAACCAACATTTAGTGGTGGCTGCATTATATTGAAAATACGGTATGGTGTGAATGAGAGAGTACCACACCCAATACTTAAACATGCCCACAACCTTGCATGAGATGACTCAGTATTCGAGCAAAGCAAGCCTGTCTCACTTTGATCGCCCAGGGCAATAGATTTGCACCTTCACCTATGGCTGATGGCCAATTCCTCTTGCTGAAACGAATTTCTGTATTGTGCTCAACAGGCCCCTCTGGTTGCTAACAGGCAAAACTTGTTATTAAACTCTTCCTGTTATGTAACCTCTAGCAGTTTCTAATGCACATATATGAAACCTTAAGATTTTCAGACTCGTTTATGTTTACACATATTTAAAACTGCATTAGCAATAGAGAGCAAGGGTCACTGCATTCCTGGAATGTCTGCCAAGTTTTGTACCCCAGACTGGCAGACTTTTTAGTATAAGTAAATAGTTTAAGATTTGACAAAATCAGCTGTACCCATTTTTTTGTAGTCTATTGCAACAATTCAGACTTTGGGCAATAACAGGTCTTTCATTACCAAAAGGATGCAGGGTTGCAGAGAGCCTTAAATAACTTTTCTAAACCACAACATTTCCACCTTCAGTATGTATGCAGACTTTAGGCTGTCTAAAAACTGCATCTAAGCACATAATAACCAAGGAGCATGCAACTCCAATACTGCCCCAAGACAAAAAGCTACTCAACCTTTAACATTAGCATTCTGTCAAGTATGTATGCATCGTTTGCAATCACATACAAGCTTATCCCTGGGTAATAGCTATGTGGCTTAAACTTTACCTTAAACATGAAATGGAAAACTGAAACTAGTGTAGTGTGGGGCGGTGCTCACACATTACTTCAGCTTAACAGAGATGCTTTAAATCCTCAACAGCTTCTGTCTGCATATAGTTTAAAATTCAACCACCACCCCCAGTCACAGAGGAAGCAAATGCTTGAAGAAATACAGCTAGTCAGCATTAAAATGTTCCTCTCACCCTCACCTTTTTGAAACTTGGAAATTATACCCAAAATTAAGTCACCAAGATCACAGAATACTTGTGTGGAATACCAGTACTGTAAGTTGAAGCTACTTGAGACAATATCTGGAAAGTTGATAGGATAGCGGTCTGCACACTAAGGAAAACCAGTAAACTTAAGACAAATCTACATTTCACCATCACCTGCCATTTGGATCCATATATGGTTATATGGAAGTTAACCTTAACTCTTCAGAAATGCTGTCTCCTTACATAGCTGGCAACTTTCCCCCCTTTTTAAGAGAAATTCCCTTATTCCAAATAGGATTCCTCGCAAGAAAAAGGAAAAGTTGACAGCTATGGTCTCCTTAACGGCAGCCTGGCACTCATTTTATATGCAATGCAACTCCTATGACCTACTGCTTTGAAATTAGAACACACGGATGTATGCCTTGAGTTCTGATGCTGACCAAGGGAGCCAGTGTGCCAGTTTCTGCATTTGCTGAAGCACAGAGATCTAAAACAGCAGTTCTGAACTTAGCGTTCAGGCTCAATTCCACACCAGTTCTATCAGCATTTTGTCAAAGCCATGCAAATCCCCACTATGAGATAAACACTACCGAACAGTGGACAGTGATGTATGTGGGGGGATAAAATCTCTTCTTTTGTGAAGGTGGGACAGTTTCTTTCCTCCTCTTATTTCCCCATAAACATTCTTCTCTGAAACACTGGCTCAATTATTATTATCAGCAAGCACTAGTACAACTTGCTCTGAATGAAAACTAGACCAGTGACTATTCTGCATGTCAAATTATACCCCTTCACTGCATTCAATAAAAGGGGTTTTTTGCTTTCTATTGTTCACACCAGGAAACTCAGCAGGAACTTCAGCAACACACAGTTGGATTAAAAGACACTCCTCTACCACCTCAGAACACAAATATCTAATCAGTAGCTATAGCTTGTGGAAATATTGTCCGCTCTTTCCAAAAGAGGCACAATGTGTGGAGCTGGAAAACTCCAAATGCCTCACTAAGGCACCTAGGAATATGAAATTTTTAAAAGTCCAGAATGTGTATGGAGGTGAGGGGGTACAATATAATCCTGATGAACCTGTAAACAAACCATGTGCTGCACAATTTGGAAATATACAAGACACACATAGCACAGTGCCTATAACCCAGGACTTCTGATTCTTTCTCTCCCTTTTAAAAACAACCCCTTCTTCTCAAAACATCCATCTTTAAGACTGTAGGAATATTTTGCATCACCCCATCTGCATTTTGTATTAATCTAGTTAAAAAAGCACACATTTTTACAGGACAGTCAGCAGGCTTATTTCTTTCAACCTATGCCTGCAGCATTCCTTGATAAAGCAGGAAGTGGATGTGATTTTTTCTTTAAACAGAGAAGAAAGGAACGCAGGTGATATAAACCCTCTTCTGCATGTAATTGACTATCCTGACACACACACCCTTTAAGGTCTGATACTAGAGAACATGGCTTGGCAAAAAGCACCTGGGTTCAGAGGCTATAAGGAGGTAAGTGGTGCACTTTTGTGAGAATTCAAGTTTCCTTCATCCACATGCCCCTTTTGCTTTAAATATCCAAACCAGATTAGGATTTAAATGAATCTAGTTTAAAGTGAATTAAAAGGTATACTGACAGACTACTGCAAAGTGATGGTGGGATATGCCTACCACAGAGCTGTAGCTACAGGGCAGGTGGGCTGGCTAGTCACATTTTTTTGCCAGGGTGAAGGCTCCAGAGGGGCACCATTGAGGCTCCCAGCCTGTATGTGTGCCAAACTGGGTCTTTGACCTGGCTGAAATAAAGCCTAGTTTTGCCCCTACCTACCACTCTGAAGAGAAAATGGATGCAGTTACACAGCTAAGTTCACTTTGGACTGGGAACAAGGAATGGGGGGGGGAGGAAGTTGAATTTCTTGAATTTGGAGTGATGTGATTGAGATATATGCATTTTTCGGACACATTTTTCTAAGTCTTACAAAATTTTGTTGGAGAAATAATTAGTGTAACTAAGACTAATTACACTTATTAAGAACTACTAATTATTCTGGTATTGACAATCATTCGCAAAACTAAATCTGGTCTCTCTTCAGTCTTGGAATATGGCATAAAAGATTAAAAAACTTAAACACAAACAGCAGCAGCGAAAAGGAGTAAGCCTGCCCTTTAAATAAATCTATAAAACCAATTCTAAGTTTTTAAACTCTGAAACACTGCTGAACAATCCATCTGGAGGGAGGAGGCAAGGGAACAGAATCTAAATGTAAAGCAGATGATAGCTTGTTAGTCCCTTTTCATTTTGTCTGTTGAGACACCCAGCTGTGTTTGTAACTGCGGAAAATAAAAAGCACTAGAAGTTCTCTTTGTTACTGGCTTTATCAGAAACTAGTTTAAGAACATTACAGAAAAAAAGTTGAGGTGATGTGGCACTTACACTGCTTCTTAAAATGGGGTTCACTCAAGCAGCTGAGAACAGCTCAGAAATTCCTGTCTTTTAACCTTAGCAGTCAAAACTGGAATAACTGGAATACCTCCAACATCCCATTCAGTTGTTCCATAGATTTTTTTAATGGAGAAATTGAGAAGGTGCTTTTCTCCAATATTGCCATACAGCCACCTCTTATTGGACAGAAGACTTGGTAGAAATGCTATAAGCTATAGCTTGCTTATTTCCCAATCTAATTCACCATCAAATAAGGAAAAAGGGAAACAAGGGAAAAGATAGGGGAAAGCTAGACTGCAGATTTGTTTAGGTTACCTCAATGCTCACACCCTTCAGATAAAGGGGAAGACTGTAGTATTTGAGGGAGAGGGCTTGGGGAGTACTAACAGTCACTACTGATAGGAAGAAAAGCAATCTAAGAGAGTGCCAGATGAATGATCTAAGAATGCATCTCCTTTGGTGATTTGCTGTGTTGACAGCACATGCTCTTTGCCTTTTCCCATATGTGTCCCCTAAAGCCAGATTCTTTCTCAAAAGGCAGACTGTTGTGATTCAAGCTATCTACTGGTATCTAAATATCCACAGTCTTATTCCACTGTTTTAGGAAATGGGAGCTGTCAAACCTACCAAGACTAGGAGTGAGACTACTTACTTGCTCTCTTGTGTACACACACACTCTCTCATACACATACCTAGTCTAAGGTTACCAGATTTTTTTCAATGAATCGGGGGCACTTTTCAACTTCAATGGATTTCGCATGAGGACTGATTTTGTAAATCCGGGGACTGTCCCCGGGAAACAGGGACGTCTGGTAACTTTAACCTAATCACTCCCAAACTATATCTTAACCACCACTTCTGACCAAATCTCTGCATTCCTCAAGTTATTTCAAGCTTTGTCTACTACTAGCAACCCCGGAGGGGGGTGGGGTGAATCTGCTGCCACAGATCACAGCCCTCTTTAAACATTCCCCATACTGTCTCCCTGCAAAGCTGCAAACCATTACTACTGTGCACCCCATGGCATGAAACATTTGAATTTCAGCAGCTGCTAAACCCAGGTTGCTCCTCATCACACCTTGCAGGCAATACACCACACTCTCTAATACCTTTTATATCCTCCTCAACACCTTTCAAAGTTGCCTCCTTGTCATTACTAGCACCCTCTGGGCATCCACAGAAAGCCTCCTCCAATTCACCAGCCAAGAAACTCATTCTCGGGATGGGTGGGGAGGACGGAAGAGAAGGGGATCTGCTCCCTAAGACAGGGGAAAATCCCTGCACTCGTTCCTTTCAGTGAACAACCTGTTATTGTCACCTTTCTGGGTTGGGTGTGTGCGTGTGAGTGAGCGTGTATTACATACATATACTGTATACACACACCCCCCTTTCCTCCAGGCTCTCTGCTTATCTGCCATGCCCTTTGGCCTACACTCCAATCACCAACCCCCCACCCGCCAAATAGCAACTCTTCCCCCCCCTTCTCCCTTTTTATTCAGCCCCTTAGTCTCCCATTCCCAACCCCTCTGACCCCCCCTCCGCCATTCATAAACCGCCCCCCTTCCTTTTGTGCCTTACACCCTCCTCCCGCCCCCCCCAGACCATAGACTCTCCCCTCCCACCAATTCCTCACTTTGGGGACTGCCCACTCGACCGTCTTCCCCAAGAGACCTCTACACTCCCCGACATACACCTACAGGCTCCCCGCGACCCACCACACCCCTAGATCCCCCCCCTCTTTTTTGCTGGGGTCGTTTCCCCTCTTCCGCCTCACCCACCACCCTCCCTGTTTCCCCACTGCTCCTGCTCTCCCCTTCCCCAGCTCAGCTTGAGACACGCCCCAAGAGCCTGATTTCAACCCCCCCAAGCCCGCCCCACAAACGCAAGTGTGTGTGTGTTAGGGGGAACCAGCACCCCCAGTTCAGTTTGCCCTCAGCCCCTCCGCTGATTCGCAGCCCCGCCCGCTCAACGGTCGTCGCCGCCGCCGCCGCCCTCTCCTCACCCCGGCAGCAGCACCCACCTTGTCGAGGCAGTTCACCTTCTCGGTCGGGTACACGATCTTGCCGCAGCGGGCACAGCTGGGGTTCATGGCGGCCGAGGCGAGGAGGAAAGCGTGTGTGTGTGTGTGGAGGGAGGGGAGAGAAATGCCTGCGCGTGTGAGGAAGGGAGGGAACCAGGGGAAAAAAAATAGGGGTGAGGGGAGAGAGACCCCCGCGGAAGGCGGCGGCGGTGGGAGTTGGCCCCGGCTGCCTGGAAAACTGCGCCCGTGGCGAGGCTTGTAACGCAGAAGCGAGCGGGAGGAGGAAGAGGGCGTGAGGGAAAGAGAGAGAGAGAGGAAGGAAAAGAAGCCGCCTCGGCAACGGCTGGAAACGACTGAGGGGAGGGGCGCGGCCAGCCAGCCAGCCAGCCCAGTCAGTCAGTCAGTCGCTCCCTCACGCGCCTCCGCCCTCGACGCGCGCGCGCACCAGCCAACCGTGGGGGCGGCGAGGGAATGGCGCGCGGGGTTGCGGCGCGTGCGTGCGTGAGTGGCCTGAAGCAACGGCCAGACTAAACGAACACACAAAAAAAAGAAAAAAGGCGGGCGGGCGGCGAGTCGCGAGAGGGAGGAATAACCCGAAAAGGAGGCTAATGTCTGTCAGGAGCTTATGTAGGGGTGGCGGCGGCGGGGATGACGGTGGTGTCTCTCCCCCCCCCCCCCATCTCCTTATGGTTCCCCACCACAGCCGGGCTCTTTGGAGAATTAAATCTTAATTCCATGTCGTCAGGACTTTATTGAGTCGTATCTTCTTCCTCTTTCCCGCTGCCGCCGCCGCCAAGTAAGCTGCGTGGAACTCATGGCTCCTGAGGAGAAATGGCCTATAGAATGTAGCGCCTGTCAAAAGGTCGGGTCTGTGGTCGTCCCGACCCTCCGCCGCCGCCGCCCAACGTGCGCAGTGCGGGTTTACTGCCGAGTAAAACATGCCTAGGGCGCTAGGCTGTAAAAGGTGAAATACGGCCAAACACACCCTCAGGCGGAGTCGGGCGTTTGTTTCTCTGTGGTGGCAGCGTTTTTGAAATAATGGTCCGCTCTCTGCTTCCTACCACCACCACCACCGCGCCTCTTTTCCCTGGCGGCCTTCACGACATCGATCTCTACCTTTCTCACTTTCCTCCCCTGAAGAAGGAGGTCGGAGATGAATTTCCAGCAGGTGTTACTTTGCGGGACATGCTATACCTGTTGAAATGGCCGCCTCTTCTAGGAAAGGCACCACCCTGTCGTCTTGAGTTGCTGCTGTCTGCCCAGGGCTTTTAAAAGCAGGGGAGAAAGAAGAGAAGAGAAGAACGGCTATGTTTGACTAGGTCATTTTATTCTGGACTTGCTCAGTCAGTTGCCCTGGGAATGCGCTGAACAGGGGGGTACAAAATGCCAAAAGGTTAACAACTAAGCAATAGGAAAGTCTGCACCTGTTGAATGCCTGCCTGTTGTGCAGCTTTCTGGAAATGCAAGAAATGTTGCCGGTGCAGCCTTTATTTCTCAAGGCTGGCACATGTCCTCAGCCCAGTATTATTGAATTGACAAGACGGAAGATGCCTATACATGAATTGGTTTTATGTGTGTAGATCAGTGCACGCTGACCAACGCACATTATACCATGTTTATGGAAGACAATCTTACTTGGCTACGAGTGATCGCCAAAGAAGAAAGATACCTGAAGGAGCGTCTCCACTCCCATCATTCAGCCCAGACAACTGAAGTCCAGCTCCAAGCGTCTTCTGGCGGTTCCCTCCCTGCGAGAAGTGAAGTTACAGGGAATTAGGCAGAGGGCCTTCTTGGTAGTGGCTCCTTTCCTGTGGAACACCCTCCCCATCAGATTTCAAGGAAATAAGTAACCATACAACCTTTAGAAGACATCTGAAGGCAGCCCTGTATAGGGAAGTTTTTAAGGCTTGATGTTTTTATTATGTTTTTAGATATGCTGTAAGCCACCCAGAGTGGCTGGGTATAAATAAGATGATGATGATGATGATGATGATGTCGTCGTCAGTGGGCCCTGTGTTGTCTGCTGTGACTCTCCATGGTCTGAGCCTGAGGGCTTTCACACTCCTGAAATCCTTTTATATCAGAGGTGAGGAGCCTATGGCCCAACATCAAATATGGGGCTGGCAGAGATGTGCTGCTTTCCCTGCTTGGTAAATATATCCCCGCCCCGCCCCGACACCTAGGGGCAAACTTTGATAGGTAGGTGAGCATAGCCACCTGGCAATCACCTGATGTAATTTTGCATTGCAAGGAATTAGTGAGGCATATTCCTTTGTAGGCAGGCACCCTGGAAGACAAGTTGGGTAGAAGGGGCTAGGGACCACCCCAACATTGGCCAGAGGGGTGAGTTCCATTGTGGGAAAACCAGTTGTAAGTAATAAAGAAAAGGGAGAGTTGCAGCCCACCTTCTAGCACCCAGACTGCCCCTTCTTACTTGTGGGATCATAGTTTTGCTGTGGAACGAGGAACCACAGACCAAGAAAAGCGGGCAGGACAAGCCCAGAAAAGTGAGCCTCTAGTTCTACAAGCCTCTAATAATAAATGAATCATGTCTTTTCAGAACAGTTGGGATGTCTTTTGCAATTTATTTTTAATTTAGTGTTGAACTTTCTGTCTGTCACCAGTGTTCCAATATACCAAGTTTGCAAATCTTTTATCTCCCCTTTTCCTGTCCTATCAATATCTCTTGAAAGCATCACTGCTCCACATAGTTTAATTATTAATGTGTTTAAAGGTCTATCTACACTAGGTGTCCGAGGCAACTAAAAAACAACAAAACAAAAAATTTCAATATAATAAAAAATGTACAAAAGATGTACAAAAAAGTGCAGGGGAAATCATTGGCTAAACCTAAGACCAGAGCTACCAATCCAATAGCAAGGAAATAATCGGGCCAACAGCTTATCTATGGAAGAAGGGGTGTATTTATTTATTTATTTATTTATTCCATTTCCTCTTTCTCACTCTTAAGAACATAAGAAGAGTCCTGCTGAATAAGGCCAATGACCCATCTAGTCCAGCATCCTGTTCTCACTGCCTGTGGGAAACCAGTGAGTAGGACCCAAGCACAATAATATACTCCCTTCCAGTGGTTTCCAGCAACTGCTGTTCAGAGGAGTACTGCCACTGACCTTGGAGGCAGAGCCGAGCCATCATGACTAGCAGCTATTGAGAGCCTTTTCCTCCATGAGTTTGTCTAGCCCTCTTTTAAAGCCATCCAAGTTGGTAGCCATCACTGCCTGCTGTGGGAGCAAGCTCCATCATTTAATTATTTGCTGCATGAAGAAGTACTTTCATTTATCTGTCACGAATCTTCCAACGTTCAGCCTCCTTGGATGTCCGTGAGTTCTAGTATTATGAGAGAGGGAGAAAAACTTTTCTCCACCTGCTTTTTCCATGCCATGCATCAATTTATAAATTTCTATGAACTATAAAGCCCCAAATGCTGCCAACTTTCCTCATAGGGGATTCTTCACCATAAGGATTCCAGAGTGGGTTTACAATAATATAATAAAACTGTATTCAAATCAGTTAAAACCGTTCACAGCAGAGAAATAAAAGGAGGGTCCTATCAATATATCTCAGCTGTCAAAGGTCAGAGTTAAGAGGTAGTTCTTTAGCATATGAGAAAAGCTATTCATAAATGTGCCAGATGTACCTCTGTTGGGAAGGAACTTTACAACTTAGGAACTGATGCAGAACCATCTTCTGGGTTACCTACCCCACACCCAAAAGTCCTAGGGCAGTGGAGCTACCAAGAGGGCCCCATCTGCCAATCTTAGCACTGAAGAAGTTCTTTAGGGAAGCAGTCTTCCAGATATATGTGGTCTAAGTCATTTAGGGCTGTAAACACTAATGTGAGCAACCGTGAATTGAACTGGCTGTCTTCACCTACTGCAGAAAACAAGACTTCAGTAGAAGGTTGGCTCCAAAAGAAAAGAAAAAAACCAGGCTAATTATGGTAGGTAGGGGGCATATTCCAGGAATCTCAGTACATGGAGATGATTAACCTCTTCCCATCTACGCTTCCTCCCCTGTAAATGACCACATCACACACCCATTATTAGGCTTGAAACAAGCTTTCTATGTTAGGTTTCCTCATTAGGGTCTGAACTGGGGACCCTGCAGTTACAATTTGTGTTCAGTAAAACTTGCACTTAGCACAGATCTGGAGCCAGGCTATAACTTGGTTGGCCCTGAGTTCCAGTCTAGTTTTACTGTGCAAGTGTTTTCAAATCCACTTCAATGCCTCTTGACATGAAAGCATAGACGCCTGGAATCACAAATGGAAAAAGACTGTTAGGAAAATTCTCTAGCCAGTTGGTTGTGTACTGGATCCATCTTGGGTTTTTTTGCTTAAAGAAATTAAACCACCCAACAATTTACAATCAATAATACAAAACATATGATGCCATCAGCAAATGTTGGACATTAGCACCCCCTGGTGTTACATCTTGGTAACGTCAAAAGAAATATTTGTGGTTGTGAAACATCTTTAGCAACAACATACTGTTTTTACACATAAAAACAAATAATAGAAGTATTTCCTGGAGAAGGAAGGCATCTGCTATGTCAAATCATTTTGTGCTTCTTCCATCCCCAGTCTCCAAACAGACCTAGGTTTCCCAGTCGTACAATACAGTCCTGTGTGTGTTATACTATTATTCCTTACATTTACATTTATACAGTGGTACCTTGGGTTACATACGCTTCAGGTTACAGACTCTGCTAACCCAGAAATAGTACCTCGGGTTAAGAACTTTGCTTCAGGGTGAGAACAGAAATCGTGCTCCGGCAGCGTGGCAGCAGCAGGAGGCCCCATTAGCGAAAGTGGTGCTTCAGGTTAAGAACAGTTTCAGGTTATGAACGGACCTCCGGAACAAATTAAGTTCTTAACCTGAGGTACCACTGTATTCCATCCCCTCTTAAGGAGTTCAAGGCAATACACATGATTATTCCCACCATATACTCACAAAACAAACCTATGGTGTAGGTTACGCCAAGATACAGTACATGGCCCAGGATCACCCAGTGAGCTTCATTGCTAAACAGGGATTTGTACCTGGGCCTTCCCAGTTCTAGTCTCACATGCTAGCTACTGCACTAGATTCAGTGGCTTTAATGTTGTTTACTCTCAAATAAGTGTGCATGATATCACTGTAGCCTTAAGGTGTGTTTCTGGGTTTTTAACAGCTGTACGGCAGGAAGGGATTTGGCTAGTGTGGTTTTACCTGCCAGTAAAAGTAATATGCTTAGATCCCTACATGTGTTCCCCATCGTAATGGCTATTCACTCAGCACTGTGTTTAGTCTTTGCACCTTCAACAGGTATCAGAAAACAAATAATGTAACTTTTCATTTAAGGCAAAGTTTCTAGACCTCATGACAGTAGAGAAAAGCTTGGAAATGCGTAAGTTGTATCTGCTGCTGAAATTTCAAGGGTGGGTGTTTGGGGACGTCTTCTCCTATGGCTACTACTTCCTCTCCTTTATGTGTTTTACAGAAGCAGTTCCCTCTGTTCTCAGTTCCAATTTTGAACTGTTTTCAAGACATGCACGCGCGCGCGCACACACACACACACACACAGTGTGTGTAATGTGGGCGTACCCACAATCTTTTGACTCTAGTGGGATAAAAATATATTTCCTCTGAAACACATCTCCATAAAATGCTTATCTGCTATCCAGCCAAAAACTTATTTATTAGTAGGATGGGTATTTTGCTTCTGTTCATACAAGCTTAGTGTTCTTTGTAATTTAATTTATTTATTCTCTTACATTTATATACCAACTTTCCTCTAAGGAGCTCAAAGTAGCACACATGTTTTCTCCCTTTCTCAATCTAATCCTCACAAAAACCCTGCAAAGTTGGCTATGCTGAGTTCTGTGATTGGCCCAAGGTCATGGCTGAGCAGGGATTTGAACCCCAGTCTCTCAAACCCTGGCCTAGATTGACACTTTACACCACACTGGCTCTGTTTGTTTTTGTTTGTTTCTTAGGCAAAAGGTGGGTAAGGGTAAAGGATTCCGCTTCCCATAAGAGATTCCTGCCCTCTTAGAATCAAGGGCTGCTCAGCCCACCTACCCCTGACAACAGGACAAAAACAACAACAGGGTTTTCTGCTCTGAAAACAAATACCATAATGCTAGCTACTGTGCTGTTGACAGCAGCCTGCTTCTCTGGGTCATTGCTTGTGCCCCGGGAGTGCCCAGGGCAACAGTTCCATCAAGAAAGAAGCTGAACTGCTACTCTGCCAAGAGTGGGACAGTACAACTGTGTTATTCTCCCAACCCAGAGGTCACTGGATCAAAACTGCTTCTGGTTTCTGGTGCCAGCTTTCTGCTTTACTGTGAAATCTCACAAAGCAAATAGTGGCCCTTCTTCTGGCTATTCAAACTGTCCCCTCCCACCACCGTCCATTTTAAAAGAACAAATTTTTGCCTTTCTCTGGAAACAAGGCACAGAGTGGAGCAAGGGCAAACAGCTTCCTGCTCTGTCAGCACAATGACCCAGCCGGGCACTTTCGTGTATTGTCAGCAGACTTGAAGGAGGAAATTCTAATTTCGTTAGAATGACAGGGCATGGCAAAACAACAGGGAAGACGAATCTATAGAATTAAAGAGATCTCATGGAAGTTAAGGTTCCCAGAAAACTGAACAGAGCTTATTGCAGTTCTCGCTCTTCTTGCTTTGTGCAGAGTGCAAATGTGTCTACATACCCTCCAACATTTAAAAGTTTGAGGAGAGCTGTGGCTCAGTGGTAGAGCAGCTGCTTGATATACATGCAGAAGGTCCCTGTGAGGTTGGGAGAGGGCCCTGTCTTAAATCCTGGAGAAGCTGCTCCCTGTCAGTATCAACCATACTAAGCTAGATGGACTGATGATCTGACTTTGGTACAAGGTAGCTTCCCATGTTCTTTCCTAAGAGTCTGAAGCCTTTCCCCCTTAGTGTCTTCCACACAATCACACTGAGGGAGAGATTTGGGGTGCACCCCTGCCCCTGCCCCCTGCTGTTGCATCTCCCACTGCCCTGTGGGTGGGGGCGAGGAATGTCTGTAAAGAGGAACCTTGCTGAACATAGCAGACTCGACCTACGATGTGCACAATCAGTTTCCCCAAAGGGTCAGCCAAAATCTACCCTCCTGTAACTTAAGCCCATTAGAGTAAATGCTCCCTTTCTGGGTCAGCAGAGTACAGGTTTGACTTATTCTATGTGACAGCCATTCCCTGCTCCAGACCAAATGTACCCTGTTTTTCTTCACCCTTTCCTAACTGTGTGTTGTGTGCTTCTGACCACATTCTCTTAAGTTGTCTACATCCTTAAAGTGTTGCATTCAGAATTGAATGCAGTATTCCAGATGAGATCACTTCAATAATCTGTCCTCTGTTGATTTAATAAACCTCGGCGTTTGCTCTTTAGGTTAAATATATTCTTGCAAAAATCAACTCGAGTCTTGCAGATCCTTAAAGCCTCAACAAAACTCTTATGGCATAAACTACTTTACAAATGTCAATAAAGAGTATTGCCATTGACAATTCAGAGCTTAAATGTATGCAAAACGAACACGACATTTCAAAACAGGAATTGGTGTTAAAACAATCAGCGCTGCTGAGTAAATTCAGTGGAACAAGAAACCGTTGTCTGTATTCAGATCTAAATTATTCAACTTATTGAGAAGCTGGAGTTGTAATTTTGCAGTTTCATGCTGGAATTTCCATTTGAAGTTCCTCCAGAAATGTATTTCAGCAGTTGCAGGATGGAATATGACAAGCTATGTACTACGTGGCAAGGTATTGTTCATGTACAGTAATTTAGTTGTGTGTCAACTAGAGACATGATGGATTTGTTTTGTGAGATATGTATCTTACCTTTCCACCAAGTGGTGTCCAAGGTGGTTGTTCCCCTGTGCAGCTGTCCTCCTACTCAGAGACTAAATAGTTAGAGAGACCAGAAGAATAAAAACTCTAGTAATTCACACAAATTGTAGTAAAGCAACACCCTAACGCAAAATGCACAGACATAGACACATATGTACACACATACAAACCAGAAGGTGGTCATTAAAACCACTTGTAACAGAAAGAACATGAACCCGAGTTAGCTTATTTCCTCCTCTCTCCGAATCCATTTTCCTTTTGTGTCAAGGCTTTTAAAAATTATAAGCTCAAGGATTGGGGCTGTCCTTTTTTTAGTGGTTAGTCATGGTGGGAGCCTTTTCTGGCTGAAAGGTGAAATAAAGATAATTTAAATAAATAAACAAAATAAGTTGCCTTCTGGTTTGAAGGATATATTCTAAGTATCATCTGTCTCAAACCTTTCCTTTTAGGTGAAGGTTGTTGGACACCTGTATATACAGATGTTCTCCAACCAGGGATACTCTTACACCAGGAATATTCTCATACGTTGAGAGAGGTAAATCACAGATATTTGCAAGCTGCTCTGGGAGCTCTATTTCTGATAAATAATGTGTGTGTGTGCGTGCGAGCGCGCACGTGCACACACACACACACACACACAAAATGCAGCAGAGGAACGCATCCATAGCTTTGGAATTGTCACCATGTACAAAAAGGGGTGGGGGACATAATGACAACCAAAACCATCTCAATTCCTGAAGCAGGATGGGTTTTAATGGGTTGGAGGGATAAATTGCAATTAATATATCCTCTCCTGCCCATTAAAACCCATCCCACAAAGGTTATGGGCTCAGTACTGTGTAGGAATACAGATTTTGTATTTTGTAGAGATTTTTTGAAGTTGTTGCCTGAGTCTTTCTAAAGTGGGGTGAGAAGGAGGAGGAGGAAGCCAGATTACTTCTGGACTTGATCAAAAACCTAATTCCTGTGCTTTTAATTTTGGAACTCTGCACAACTTGTCACACAGGTGTGAGCCTGGCGGGATAGACTGCAATTAATATATCATCTATTAAAACCTATCCTGCACCTTAGGCGTTTTCTCTCTTTTAAAACGAACGAATCGAAAACGCAGGAACCCCACAAGAAAATCCCCTCTTTTCTGCGCGCCGCCGAGGGAGGAGGGGAATCAGGCGAAAATGGCTCTCAGGACTGAAAACCGAAAGCTACTTTCGCAATCACGTGGCGCTGCGGAGAAGGGCGAAGAGGCTCCGTTTTGCGGCACGCCGGAGAGGAAGAAGTAGTCTGGACGGGGGTCTCGGAACAAAAGCGATTCTGACAGGTGGGTGCTTGGTTGCGGGGTGCAACGAGGGGCTCCCTCCCCCGCACTCCGAAAGGAGATCCTTCCTGGACTTCCGCATTCCAGATCCCAAGCGGGAGACTTTTCAAGCTGGCCAAGCCGCAAACCCCGTTTGGCAGGGATCCCGAAACGGCAGCTCAAGCCCCGTTGAGGCGCGTTTACTTGGAAGTAAATGCATGACTGCACGGAATTCAGCAACGCCGGTTTCGGTGGGACCGGCCTCTAGTTCCTATATTATTGGGTTACAGCCAAACCATGCAAACAGGCCCGTTGCGCGGGGCTTTTGCGGTCTTCCTTTCTTCTTGCTTATAGAATCATAGAATTTGTAGACTTGGGACCACGAGGGTCATCTAGTCCAACCCCTGCAATGAAGGGATCTTTGAGCTTAATCCAGCCCCGGACTCATGGGAGGAGGCGTTGCTGGGTTTGTTTCTGGCCTGATACAGTAAGGGGCTCTTTGTGTTCCTGAAGATCGGAAGCACTTTGAAAAGGCTTCTAAAAAGATCAAGGATCAAAGTAACGCGCTGTCTTTCTTCGTCTCTCTCAAACACACACACACACACACATACACACAATCGCTGTCAGCCACTCTCCATCAAGGACAAGCTCTAAGATAAAGGTAAAGGGACCCCTGACCGTTAGGTCCAGTTGTGCCCGACTCTGGGGTTGCGGCGCTCATCTCGCTTTACTGGCCGAGGGAGCCGGCTTACAGCTTCCGGGTCATGTGGCCAGCATGACTAAGCCGCTTCTGGTGAACCAGAGCAGCGCACGGAATCGCCGTTTACCTTCCCGCTGGAGCGGTACCTATTTATCTACTTGCACTTTGACGTGCTTTCAAACTGCTAGGTTGGCAGAAGCAGGGACCGAGCAACAGGAGCTCACCCCATCGCAGGGATTCGAACCGCCGACCTTCTGATCGGCAAGCCCTGGGCTCTGTGGTTTAACCACAGCACCACCCGCGTCCCCAAACTCCCCACCCGACCGCTTGAACATTGCTGAGGGACTTGGCGGACCACTTAATGATTTTTCTGCCTGTTGTAGCAAGTTGTATGCAGTGCTAGGGGCTGTGCGCTTTTGAATTGTGTTTTTGCAGGCACCACCACCTGAATGAAGCTCATGGTGGTCTGCAAACTAGAGTTTGGGGTCCCCTTCTAAAGCAAACAATCTCTCTCTCTCTCTCTCTCTCTCTCTCTCTCACACACACACACACACACACAGCTTTTCTCTTCCTACAGCCTTGCAGCTGTGTTGCAGTGACTCATTATCCTGCCACTCCCTTCTCTCCCGCCATCAGATTTCATTGTGACATCCTCCCCTTTACTCTCCTGCTCCCACAGTTCCCCCATGGGTACTCAAAGACCTCTCATCGTGCCCTGGCTAATAGAACAGTTGGACGCCCGGCGGTACCCGGGGCTGTCATGGCTGAACCCAGAACGGACCCTGTTCCGAGTGCCGTGGAAACACGGCTCACGGCAGAATATTTGCGACGAGGATTTCCAGCTCTTTGAGGTAATCTTGTAGTGTTTCCTTTGGTGTGTGTCCCACATCGCATCCCACCTTCCTCAACCTGATGCCCTTCAGCTGTTTTGAACTACAACTCCCATCGTCCCAAGACATGCTGGTTGGGCTGCTGGGAGTTGTAGTTCAAAATGTCTTCAGGGCGTCAAGTTGGGGAAAGCTGGGGAAGAGGTTTCCTTCGTGTTTTAACTGTAACGTTCTGGAATAGCTGTGGGAGGTGGGCGGGATGAATGGGGTTCAAGGGAGAGCAAAACAAATTATTACTACAGTGGTACCTCGGGTTACAGACGCCTCAGGTTACAGACTCCGCTAACCCAGAAATAGTACCTCGGGTTAAGAACTTTACCTCAGGATGAGAACAGAAATCGCATGGCGGCAGTGGGAGGCCCCATTAGCTAAAGTGGTACCTCAGGTTTAGAACAGTTTCAGGTTAAGAACGGACCTCCAGAACGAATTAAGTTCTTAACCCGAGGTACCACTGTATTATTATTTACTGAACGAAGCAGCAGACGCTAGCTTGGTGTCAAGAAGGTTTCTGCCCTTCCTTCCCCAATGATCTTGCGTTGGCTTCCCCTCTGCCTTGCACCATCCACAAAGAGAGATAGGATACTGGATCCCACAGGGCATTCGCTTCCCTCCCAAGATTTACTTTCAAAATATTTGGTGAGGACGCCTCTGAGGATGGTTCAGAAACTTCAGCTAGTGCAGAATTCAGATTGCTCACCGGAGCAAGACGGTTTGAGCATATTACACTGATCCTGGTCTGACTGCACTGGCTACCAATTACCGTATTTTTCGCTCTATAGGACGCACCGGACCACAAGACGCACTTAGTTTTTAGAGGGGGAAATCAAGAAAAAAAATATTATTTCCCTCCCCAGCCCCAAAGAGCAGCAGACAGGCTGCACGCAGCCTGTCCGCTTCTCCCAGAGCTTCTCGGGGCTGTGGGGGAAGTCCGGGTTTCCCCCCAGCCCCAAAGAGCAAAGAAGCCAAGACAGCGAGCGGGATGGCTTCTGCCATAGGCGCGCAACCTCTCCAGCCGGGAGCTAAACCTCTCCAGCGCAGCTAAAGAAGCGTGGCTAAAGAAGCCAAGGCAGCGAGCGCGATCCATCCCGCTCGCTGCCTTGGCTTCCTCTTTAGCCTTGTGCAACCTCTCCCAGCTGGAGAGGCTGCGCGCGGCTATGGCAATTCCCCCACCTCCCGCAAAAGCCCACAGGAGCCGCACACCCTTTAAGGAGCGCACGGCTCCTGTGGGCTTTTCTACGAGGGAGAAGGGACTGACTGGCTGTGTCAGTCCCTTCTCCCTCCTGGGGAAAAGCCCGCGAGAGCCACGCGAAGCTTGTGTGCGGCTCTTGGGGGCTTTTCCTGCCTGCCTCCCCCCTGCATTTGCTCCATAGGACACACAGACTTTTCCCCTTAGTTTTTAAGAGGGAGAAAGTGCGTCCTATGGAGCGAAAAATAAGGAAGTTTCTGGGCCCAATTCAAAGTGCTGCTTTTGACCTATAAAGCCTTAAACGGCTCAGGACTGCAATGCCTCAAGGACCGCCTCTTTCCATATGAACCTACCCAGACCCTGAGATCATCTTCTGTGGCCCTCCTTCGTGTGCCCCCTCCCTGAGAGGTCCGGAGGGTGGCAACACGAGAACGGGGCCTTCTCTGCAGTGGCTCCCCCTCTGTGGAATGCTCTCCCCAGGGAATTCGCCTAGCGCCTTCATTATACACCTTTAGGCACCAAGCAAAAACATTCAATTTTAACCAGACCTTTGGTTGATCTGATTTAAAAAAAAAATTGGGGGGGGGCGCTATTGTTTTTATTTTTATTAGGTATTTTGTGGTTTTATATCTTGATTTTATTCTGTGAAGCGCCTTTATACCCCCGGGTATATAAATTCAATCAATAATAATAATAATAATTTGTGTAAAAGGTTATGGGATTTCAGCAGGAAATTACGGGATAACCACTGATTGGAAACGAAGCAGTGTGTGACTTCCCTGGGCCACATCATGAACACAAATCACTCAGAATGTGCAGTAAAATCTGGAGGGACCTTCAGTTTTGTGGCAGGTCAGAGAGTCCTGGGGGCGGCTGACCTAAATCCATCTGTCAAGATGATACAAGGGTTGAAGGAGGGAAAGAGTTGACCATGAGCCTTTCAGATAGACTGTCTTTATGGGTGAGCAGGGTGCTATAGCTGGGCTTAGAAGTCTGCTGTGTGGGGGTATGAAACTTCTGTAAAGGTAAAGGGACCCCTGACCATTAGGTCCAGTCGTGGCCCACTCTGGGGTTGCGGCGCTCATCTCGCTTTACTGGCCGAGGGAGCCGGCGTACAGCTTCCAGGTCACATGGCCAGCATGACTAAGCCGCTTCTGGCAAACCAGAGCAGTGCACAGAAATGCCGTTTACCTTCTTGCTGGAGCAGTACCTATTTATCTACTTGCACAGGCATGCTTTCAAACTGCTAGGTTGGCAGGAGCAGGGACCGAGCAACGGGAGCTCACCCCGTTGTGGGGATTCGAAACGCCAATCTTCTGATTGGCAAGTCCTAGGCTCTGTGGTTTAACCCACAGCGCCACCCACACCCCTGTGAAATCTCCCTACCTAACTGCTTTCTTTCCAGGACTGGGCCATTGCCAGAGGCCGCCATCGCCCAGGCATTGACCAGCGGATGCCCTCCGAGTGGAAAAGGAACTTCCGCTCAGCCCTGAACCGGAAGGAGGGGATCCGCATGTTTCAGGATAACAGCACAGACTCCGAAGACCCCCACAAGGTGTTTGAAATCCTGCATGCCCCAAGTAGGTAGATCGGACAGAACAGAGGGCTTCCAATGGGGATCACTAGGCAAAAGATGCGAGAAGGAGCCAAGGATCAGACCAAGAATCTCCTCTTTTTGTAATCTTGTAGATCTGAATGACTCTGCCCAGGGGGCAGCAGTCGGTGATGTTTCACCTACCCTGTCTGGGAGCACGGGATTGTACGGAGGCAGTTCTTCCTCTTCTCAGGTCAGTGCTTCTACTTTCCTCCCTGTCCCAGTCCCTGCAGCCATGGGATGGGGAAGTGGAAAGAAGAAGCAGAGCAGCCTGTAGGGGAGACACCAGGGGGAGGAGGACAGGGAAAGAGGAATAAACAGTCTCTGTCCTGTCCTTCAGGGCGATACCCTGGAGAGCATGCTGAGTTCCCTGGAATATTGCAGCCCCGCAGAAGGTGAGTGATCCAGGATACTGGAAAGGGATTGGTTCGGATGCTGCAGGAAATAGGTGAGGTATAAATGCATCAAATAAATGAATAAATATAATAAAAACATGGAGAAGAAATGAAGGGGAAATTCTAAATCAAGCCACGTTCAACACTCAGGCCACCAAGCTTAGTTTACTTAGTTTTGCTTATTTTATATATAGATGCTCACTTTTCTCGGAGACATCTGAACAGAGAATCTTGGGGGCCGGTGACCATATGCATCATGGAAGTAGTCTGTCCCCCCCTACTCCAAAAAAACACACCCTGGCACCCTTCTTCTGCAGCTGCTCTCATATTAACTTTTGACACAGCTCCATCATTAGAGAGAACATGTAAGATTGTGTTCCATCTTTCTGCTGAGCAGCGTTACACTTCTTGTCTTTTTGAGTCAGCACTGGGATGGAGCTGGGAATGGTAAGCTGTACTCCCCCTCCAAAGGTTGCTAGACTATAACACCCATCATGCTTAGCTATTGCCGTGCTGGCAGGGGCTGGTGGGAACTGGAGTCCAACAACTGCTAGAGGGCCACAGGTTCCCCACTCTGTAGTCAAGTAATTAGGGGTTTCACATACCATTTTAATCTGGTTTTCACTGCATAGTTTTGTGCATATGTATTTTTTCTTTTTGATTCAGCTGTCCCGAGCCTGTGCTCCATGTATCAGATGGGATGTAGAGAAGAAAGTTGTGAGAGTGCTGCTGGTGAATGAAATTCTCTTTTCTACCTCCCACCCCACACCTAGAATCTGTTTTCTTTCCAGATCTGGAAAGAGGAGTCCTGCATTCCAGCCCTATATTGCCCCATTCCCTCCAAAACCACAACCAAAGAACCTTTGACCATTAGTAGCTTCTGCCGTAATGTACCAGGCATTTCTAATGCCCCAGAAATTCCAGAATTTTGGCATTCTCAGGCATTCATTCTAGATCCACCTCTTTCTGTGTGCGCCTGCCGAGTATCAAATTTTCTTTTTTTGTTGTTGTTCTTCTGAAATACCTTGTTTTTGCTGCCAGGAGCAGAGAATCTAGCTTGCATTGGAGGCCTGCCCCCATTCAGCTTGGATATGAATCTACCTGTAATCGCAGAGCCACAGCTGGATCAGATACTGGGAGCTGATACGTTTGGTGAGCTTCTTGGATCTAGAGGAAATATTGTCAGGGCCAAGCCGAGATTGCAGCCATTATCCCTTTCATCTAGTGTGGGAGGAACCAAAGGTAGATCTTCTATGTGCTTTGTGGTAGATCGGCAAGGCTTCCCGACTCCCAGTTGCTGAACAGCAACAAAAAACAGTTCCCATCTCCTTAGGAACAATCTAGTAGATTTTTGTTCTGAAAGTAGCGGGAATTGCGGCGTTGTCAGGCTCCCTCTCTCTGCCAGTCTAGCAGTTTGAAAGCATGCCAGTTTATGTCGATAAATAGGTACCCAGCTCTACCTCTCTTTCAAATCAGAACCAGTGAAGGTCCTGTGTGAGTGTCTGGAGGCGGTTGGAGGATGGATGGTGGCTAACAGATTGAGGTTGAATCCTGACAAGAGAGAAGTACTGTTTTTGGGGGACAGGAGGTGGGCGGATGTAGAGGACTCCCTGGTCCTGAATGGGGTAACTGTGCCCCTGAAATACCAGGTGCGCAGCCTGGAAGTAATTTTAGACTCACAGCTGTCCATGGAGGCACAGGTCAATTCTGTGTCCTGGGCAGCTGTTTACCAGCTCCATCTGGTACGCAGGCTGAGACCTCGCCAGAGTGGTGCATGCTCTGGTTATCTCTCGCTTGGACTACTGCAATGCACTCTATGGGGGGCTACCTTTGAAGGTGACCCAGAAACTACAACTAATCCAGAATGTAGCAGCTAGACTGGTGACTGGGAGCGGCTGCTGAGACCACCGGTCTTGAAAGACCTACATTGGCTCCCAGTATGTTTCTGAGCACAATTCAAAGTGTTGGTGCTGACCTTTAAAGCCCTAAACAGCCTCGGTCCAGTATATCTGAAGGAGCGTCTCCACCCCCATTGTTCTACCCAGACACTGAGGTCCAGCACTGAGGGCCTTCTGGCAGTTCCCTCACTGCAAGAAGCCAAGTTACAGGGAACCAGGCAGAGGGCCTTCTTGGTAGTGGCACCCGCCCTGTGCAACGCCCTCCCACCAGATGTCAAAGAGAACTACTACCACCAGACTTTTAGAAGACATCTGAAGGCAGCCCTGTTTAGGGAAGCTTTTAATGTTTGATGCATTACTGTATTTTAATATTTTGTTGGAAGCCACCCAGAGTGGCTGGGGAAGCCCAGCCGGATGGGTGGGGTATAAATAAATAATTATTATTCTTACTGCTGCAGCAGGAAGGTAAATGGCATTTCTGTGCGCTCTGGTTTCCGTCACAGTGTCCCATTGCACCAGAAGCAGTTCAGTCATGCTGGCCACATGACCCGGAAAGCTGTCTGTGGACAAACACCGGCTCCCTCGGCCCAAAAGCAAGATGATCGCCGCAACCCCATAGTCGCCTTTGACTGGACTTAACCGTCCAGGGGTCCTTTACCTTTTTTTACCTCTCTCTCGAGTCTGTTTTTGTGTCTGTGTTGGGTATCAAGTGCTTGCTTTTTTCTCTCCAACCATGTTTAGCAGTAGCAGCAGAGAATCCCGCTTTCTGTGGAGGCCTGCCCCCATCCGAGTTGAATCTAGTTCCACCCACAACTGCAGCAACTCCCCTGCAGAACCTCTTGAGTAGCTATACTTTCGGTGAGCCCCTTTCGATCTAAAAGAAGTATCTGGTCCCCTTGGTGCTGCTGTGCTTTTAAGTACCGTATTTTTCGCTCTATAACACGCACCCGACCATAACATGCACATAGTTTTTAGAGGAGGAAAATCCGTAGGCATGCCACCCGTAGGCATTTCCTCCATAACACGCACAGACATTTCCCCTTACTTTCTAGGAGGAAAAAAGTGAGTGTTATGGTGCAAAAAATACGGTAGTAGAAATCAGGGTGTAAAGTAGCAGGTGGAGAACTCCTTTGGCTCGGTGGGCCAGATCTTTATTCCCACCCACCCACCTAGGCCAACTTTGACATCAGATGATTGGCAGGCGGGGGGAACCATCTGACAAGTTGTGAAGATAAAATCGATTGGCTTGTTGTTTAATACAGTGGTACCTCGAGTTAAGTACTTAATTCGTTCCGGAGGTCCGTACTTAACCTGAAACTGTTCTTAACCTGAAGCACCACTTTAGCTAATGGGGCCTCCTGCTGCTGCCATGCCGCCGGAGCACGATTCCTGTTCTCATCCTGAAGCAAAGTTCTTAACCCGAGGTACTATTTCTGAGTTAGCGGAGTCTGTAACCTGAAGCGTATGTAACCCGAGGTACCACTGTATATATTTAGCCCAGTGAAAATAGCTTGGAAGCTGGAGCTGATAGCCATCATCCGTCTCGCTCATGATCTCTCCCCCCGATGAAGGAAACCCTTAGTGCTCGTATATTTTGCCAATCAGGTTGAGCTTATAACCCAAAACCTTTCCCTCCCATGTTGTTTTTGCTGCATTGGCATCACCAAAGTGACCTTCCTGGGGCAGAAGTGCCCAACCTCACAGGGCTGTTGTGAGGATTATAGGAGTGGGGAGCTATGTAGACCACCTTGTGCTCCTTAGAGGAAAGGTGGGATATAAATGCATTAATGAATGAACAATATCAGTTGGGGAAGATAGTCTGCAGTCCCTATTGCACATAGCTGGGAGTGAATGCAATGCCACATACAGTCATACCTCTTGTCACGTTTGCTTCAGGTTAAATCTTTTCAGGTTGCGTCCCGCGAGTTACTTCCGGGTTTCGCCACTCGCGCATGCGCAGCTGCTCAAAATGATGTCACGCGCATGCGCAGAAGCGGCGAATTGCGATCCACACACGCACAGACGCTCAACCAGAGGTACCACTGTACTTTGGAGGACTTACGTATAAGACTGTGCTGTTACACTGAATGGGTGGTTTCTCTGGAAGAGGTTTGGCAATTAAGCGGAAATTTGCTGCTCTCTTTTTTCAGCGGTCGTTCCAGAATGATACTGGCTGCTGCACGAGCAGAGCAATAAGTCGCTCTCCTCCTGGGGGAACAGCAAAGGCTGTGTCTCCTGCCGCTGGGAGACAGGAAGAGTGGGTGGTGTTTTGCACCTGGCTCCCCCAAACTATCCCTCTCTCCTCCTCAGGGTCAGATTTCGAGGTCCGAGTCTACTATCGGGGTCGGCTGGTCCTCGCCGACGTGTTCAAGAACATGCGAGGCCTGTGCTTCGTGCCTCCAGGCTCCCAGGGCTGCTACCGTGATTTGGCAGACGTGGTCCTGCCTGACCCAGTCTGCTTGAACGACAGCCTGCAAGTGACCTACACTCAGCGCCTTCTGCGAGGCGTGGCTCCGGGGGTGGTTCTCCGTATCGAGGGTATGACTCTGTGTGGCATGCGCCAAGGCCATTGCCATGTGTCCTGGAGCCACTCAGAGATGCCTGAAGACGAGACGACTCACGGGGTTCTACCGAAGGAACAGTTGGGTCCCATTTACAGTGTGCAGCAGTTTGTGCAAGGTATGCAAGGGCTATGTTGCCTGTCCCATAAGGGCTCCTGGGTAAGGGTTTGTGTCTTAAGGGCTCACCCTCGCTGTTAAGACAACTTTTGCAACAAGTTTTGATTCTCTTTCCACCACTGCTAGAGGGACAGGCACTCACATGCCAACTGAAATACAAGTAAATGGTTGTGCCTTCAGGACAGCGATGGGGCTCCCCAGATGTTCATAGACTCCTAGTCCTCCTGGGCTGATGTAGTGGGGAAAACATTGAAAGCAACTTATTACAGTGGTTCTGGGATGCGGGTGGTGCTGTGGTCTAATCCACTGAGCCTCGGAAGGCCGGCTGTTTGGATCCCCGTGACAGTGTCAGCTCCCGTTGCTCGGTCCCAGCTCCTGCCAACTTAGCAGTTCGAAAGCACGCCAGTGCAAGTAGATAAATAGGTACCACTGTGGCAGGAAGGTAAACGGCGTTTCCGTGCGCTCTGGTTTCCATCACGGTGTCCTGTTGTGCCAGAAGCGGTTTAGTGCTGCTGGCCACATGACCCGAAAAGCTGTCTGTGGACAGACACCATCTCCCGCGGCCTGAAAAGCGAGATGAGCGCTGCAACCCTAGTTGCTTTTGACTGGACTTAACCACTCAGGGGTCCTTTACCTTTTTACATTGGTTCTGTTCTTACCTTCAAGGTTGTGTTGCGAGAGTGCCATTGGATGAACGCTCCTCAGCCCCATGGCACTTGGGCTGCAGGGTTCTGTCCTCTCCCCTGTACTATTTTAGCATCTTTACCAGGGTGGTCTAACATGCAGCCTTTTTGGTGGACCTTGGCAACATTCGATACCCCTCCACAGCCCTCGTGCCGAGTTAAAGGCCACAGAAATAGTAATCAGCATGCAGCTACCAGTTGAGGAACTGACAGGGCTTTAGAATATGAAGGAAATGCTCTCCTCCCTTTCTCCCCAGACCTGGTTGGATATATGGAAGGCAAACAGGGATCCCCTAAGTACACCTTGTGGTTATGCTTTGGGGAAGATTGGCCAGACACCCGCCGGCCCTGGAAGAAAAAACTGCTCATGGTGGAAGTAAGTACTTCTGTCCCTTTCCATGCTTTGCTTAAGCACCGTCCAATATGCTGCTCTCTTTTCCGCAGCTCAGAAGCAAATATCTACAAGTGCTGCCTCCAACTGATTTAACACAGCTGATTCGCTGCAACCAGGGTTGCTCATGCATGGTTTGAAAAGTGGGGTATACTTTTAGTCTGTTATTGGGGGGCATCTATGAGCTGGGGTGGAAGGAAGACCTGGAGATTAATTCTGCCACAGTCATTGCTTGGAACATGTCCTCCTGCACCATCTTCCTCCTGTTTATTCCAAACCTGGTGTGCATCTGAGGTACTCACAAAAAGGCTATCCCATCATACTTTGACCCAGGCATAAAGATAACTAAAGCAGATATCGTTAACGCACCTTGAGAAGCTTTACCACAGGCTTCCTCAACCTCTGCCCTCCAGATGCTTTTGGCCTACAACTCCCATGATCCCTAGCTAGCAGGACCAGTGGTCAGGGATGATGGGAATTGTAGTCTCAAAAAACGTCTTGGAGGGCCAAGGTTGAGGAAGCCTGTTTTACCACTTAGGACAGAGCAATGTTGACATGAGCAATTAAAGTTCCTTTGTCTGAGGATTCACTATGGGACCTGTGGACCTCCAGATGTTGTTTGACTACAGTCCCCATCAGCCACAGGCAACAAAAGCCAGTGGTCAGGGATGATAGGATTTGTAGTCCAGCAACATCTGGAGGACTACAGGTTTCCCCTCCCTGCTTTATTGTGTATGAGAGAAGAGGGAAATAAGGATATTGGCTAGGGTGATACATGCATCATTTTTGAATCAAAGCACATAAGAAAATCTTTACAACTGTCTTATACACAGGCGGGATTATGTAAAACTAAGATTGACTGACTGTGATTTCTTGAATTGAGTAATAGGTCCATTAAGTCTTGTAAGTATCTTAAAAATCAAAGCCTCAGACTCCCTCTGCTTAAGCTAGAGAATAAGATTATTCAGTGGTAAGGGTAAAAGCAGTGATGTCATGCAAACCAGCTTGGGGGTGTGGGAGAACTGGAATTGGGAGTCCTAACAAACATGCGAAGGACCACAGGTCCCATCTGTTAGGACTCCCAATTCCAGTTCTCCCACACCCCCTGCAACAGATAGTTTACATCATCTACAGCTTTCATAGGGACTTACCTTTTTGCAAAATTGGATACCTGATCAACTGTGGGTACTTCTTTAGCTGATAAATATGTACAGTGGTGCCTCGGTTTAAGAACAATTTGGTTCACAAGCTCCACAAAACCGGAAATAGTGTCTTGGTTTCAGAACTTTACCTCAGTCTAAGAATGGAATCCGAACGGTGGAAGGCCTCATTAGCGAAAGCGTACCTTTGTTTAAGAATGGCTTTGGTTTAAGAACGGACTTCCGGAACAGATTAAGTTCATAAACTTGTATATATACAGTGGTACCTCGGGTTAAGAACTTAATTCGTTCCAGAGGTCTGTTCTTAACCTGAAACGGTTCTAAATCTGAGGCGTGCTTTCCCTAATGGGGCCTCCTGCTGCCGCTGGCACGCGATTTCCGTTTTTATCCTGGGGCAAAGTTCTTAACCTGGAGCAACCACTTCCTGGTTAGCAGAGTTTGTAACCCGAAGTGTCTGTAACCTGAAGTGTCTGTAACCCAAGGTACCACTGTATGTCCATTAATCAGCAAAACTTTGTAGCCAAAGTCTGTTTTCACTGCAGTGGGCAGAGCGGTTCCCTCTAAGGTAGCCTAGCCCTCCCTCCTTTTATGTAGCCCTGGGGATAAAGTGGGAAAATGCTATAGTCTCTGCCCTGCCACACACGGTAGGCAGTTCTAAGAACTAAATGAACGGAACACAAGTAGCAGCAACTGTTTTGTTCTCGTTCTCTCCCCACTTCCCTTTTTACAGGTCATCCTTAAGACACTGGAAGGTCTCTACGAGTTGAGCCAGTCCAGCGGGGCCTCCTCATTAAAGGGAGCAGAGCCGGACCTAAGGATATCGGATTCGCTGCAAGGATCCTTTCTGAACCAACTGAGAGAATGGCGAGAGAAGATGGAGGTGCAGTTTAATTAGCTGCGCAAAACTTTTATCCCCCTTCTTTCAGAGATAGCTGCAGATTTGGGTCCTCTTCCTCAGAGAGCTTTCAGGGTTTCTCTTACACAGCAGAATCAACACTCCTCTTTGCCAGTCCTGAGAAAGGGGCATTCCGGCAGCCCCTTTGGTGGAGATGGTCGCTGCTCACTTGCACAAACCTTCCACTGAGACAGCTGGCAGCCGTTGTTGGTTTCTATTAGCATCCCTGCATGCAGAGGATATTCAAGAGTTTTTTGGGGGGGTTCGTTTGGGTTTTTTTGCTTCATCCATTCTTGTTCATATCGTTCGCTGGTTTTGTCGTAGGCGTCACAACCACAATCAGCAGCTGAACATGGCGAAAACACTCCTCTTTAACTAGGTCTTTGGCTGTTAAACACACTCTGCCTTTTAAAATGTGAGGGTTTTTTCTTTATTATTATGTTATGCACTTTGTGTTTTTATGTTGTAAACCACCCTGTGATCTTTAGGTGAAAGCCGGTATATAAATTTAAGAAATAATAATAATGGCAAAAACTGGATTTGTCATCTCTGAGTGTCCCAATTATGCTTAAGATTTAATGTTACTTTTTACTGCTGCTTGTTTGCAATCTTAGTGTGTTTTTTTATCTCACTTTTTAATCCACAGTAATTCTGATGCAGGCTTGCTGTTTTTCTTAAAAATCATTAGATGCATCCAGTCCTTTCTTTTGATGGTGCTAAGACGGTAGCAAGTTTTTGCCAATTCTCACCCTGTTTGCCCTAATATAACTCTAATCGGTCTCCTGCCTTTTTCCTTATTTCAGTCCTCAGCTCTGCTAATCATCTTGTTATCTATAAACTTATTTTAAAGTCTCCTCCTTCCTCTTGACATTATTCCTTTCTCGCCATTTCTCCTTACATGATTTCACTCCTTAGTCCACTCATTGATCCGAGTACTTTTACTAGAACAAGATTTAATTAAAAATATCATCTTCTGGTTATGTCCCCTCCCTTTTTCCTATTGTCTGCAGTCATTTGTTCTGGTTGTGTTCACACGCCTCTAAACCACGGTTTGTTCAATAAACACAAGAGTAGTTTTACAGACAAGCAACAACTGGTTTCGTCAAAGTGTGACTTGTTTTCCAGCTGTTTTTGTCTTGTTTTTCTATAGTGCCTGGGGTGGAGCTGCCAAACAAACCATATTTAAGACTGCTGGGTGCAGGTATTATGCCATACCATAGTTTGAACAAACCAGTTTGTAAGCCAACAAAATCCCCCAATTGTCTCACATTATGGTTGCCAGAAAACAAACCATGGTTAGTCTGCTGGGTTGGGTTTGGATGTTCAAACTAAGTATGCTGAGCAAACCATGGCTCAGCATTATGTGTGAACCAGGCCGCTGGCTTCTAACTCCCTACCTCTGCCTCTCTGGTTTCTTCTTTTAGAAAGCCAATTTATTCTGGACTGCATTTCCTTCCAACAGGCCATTACAGGTTTGACTATACAGTACTTCCTCTCGGTTTCTTCCCTCCCTTCACTTCCTAATGATGCTGGTTAGATTTCAAAGTGTGACCCTGCGAAGCAGAGAATGATTTTTCTAAAATGTGCAGCACATAGTAATTTTGGGCACTTCATAAATAAAACTCAGAAGACTATGTACACACCATTTCAACCCCTAACCTGCCATGATTTTGAAGGCAAGAGCAGCAAAGAGTTGGAAGGATTCAATACAAGAAAAGCCCCGCAGGATCGGATCAGAGGTCCAGCAACTAGTACTGGGAAGGAACTATCTTGCCTCTGAACCTGGAAACGCCACGCAGCCATCACGATCAGTTACCATTGACACACTGATCCTTCTAATCCCCCTTTTAAAGCCACCTAAGCCAGCGGCTGTCTCATCTTGTGGCAGCGAATCCCATGAATCATTATACACTGTGTGGCACTTTCTCTCATCTGCTCTGAAACAACCTGCCAGTTCCTTTCACTGGATGACCAAAACTTTGACTATTTCATGGGGGAGAAAAACTTCAACCTGCTTTCTCTGCAATATGCTTGATGCAGTAAGCCTCTATTAGGTCTCTTCACCCCCAGCTGATTAAGTTTTTTCCTAAACTGAAAAGCCCCAAACATTTGTGCTGCGCCCTTACAGAAAAGGTGCTGCAGCTAATCCGAGCTGGAGTCCCAAGTGCCCGAGGGGTGTGAGTTCAGACAAAGTCCACATCTGTCCCCGACAGCATTTCCCATTTTTGCTCTCTTACCATAGCACCTTTCCCACTAACCAGTGTCAGCCCCTGCAGGGTTAGCTGAAGCACCCACCCTACCAACTCGGCTGCTCCTGCAGCCCTTTCAGCAAGAACCTCGCTGAGCAAATTAACTCAGGTTCTCTGGGCTCAAGGCTGCCGCCCCATTCTTACTCTCAACTTTTCCAATTCATAGCCTGGGGCAGGAAGTCAAAGTAACAACAACAGCAGCAGCAGTAGCAGCAACAACATAATCTTAGAAAACTGCCCCACCTTCTTCAAAATGAGAATTTTGTTTGCCAGCAGCTGTTTGTGGGGGTTGTTTAGAAGACTCCTTTACCAATGTTATACTGGATTCTCAGAAGGGCTGTTACGTAGACTTCCTTCTCCTTGCAGTCCCTTGCAAGTTTCTTCCTTACATTCTCCTCCCACCCCTTTTCAGCAGCAGTCTGATCCACCAGTGGTTGTATATACTACAACTCCCAGCATCCCTAGCAAGCAGGACCAATGGTCAGGGTGATGGGAATTGCAGTCCAAAACACACACACACAAAAACCCCAGCTGGAGACCCTGGTTTGGGAAACCCTGGTTTATACACTTCCTCCTGGGATAGCCAATGTAGTGCTCTCCTACTTTCTCTCTTCATCCTCAGCCATTTGTCACACTGGTAGGGGATATTGGGAACTGTAGTTCTCCCAATACCTCTACTACATTAGCTACCCCTGTAATTACCCCACCCCTCAGGTGTTTCTTGGGCAATCTGACCCTGGGCATCCTCGGGGGATGGCAACATCAATGACCAAAAGGGTACAGTCGCCCAACTACAGCAAGGGGAGGGGTAAAGCGAAGCTGTGGCCCTCCAGATTTTGCCAGACACCTCCCATCCCTGACCATGCCGGCAGGGGCGGATGGAATTTGGAGTCCAGCAACAACTGGAGGGCCACAGCCCCCAGCCCCCATTACTATACGATGTGATCGGGTTCAACTAAGTACCAGGCCTGGGTGATGCACTGATATATCACCCGGGGCCAGACCGCAACGGTGCCTTCACCCAGCAGTATATCGCAGGTGAAACCTCTGCCATTCCTGAGCTCCTCCGCCATGCAGAAGAACAAGCTGCGACAGCCGCAGCCCCACAAGGCGCTGGGGTGAAGCTGCCTCAGCTCCCTCAGCGGGAGAGGCAGCAGTTTCACCGCAGGGACGTGGCCGATGCAGCTTGTTCCTCCCTCCGCTTTGCAACACCGTGGTGTATCAGTGTATCATGATGTTTGGCTGGCGGTGCATCACAATGTTGAAAAGCTGGTATCGCCCCAGCCCTAGGCGATGTGTCATATTGATTTCACTGGTAGTTATGAGATAGGGATGATGAAGAAGAAGAAGTAGTAGTAGTAGTAGTAGTAGTTTGGATTTGATATCCCGCTTTATCACTACCCAAAGGATTCTCAAAGTGGCTAACATTCTCCTTTCCCTTCCTCCCCCACAACAAACACTCTGTGAGGTGAGTGGGGCTGAGAGACTTCAGGAATGTGACTAGCCCAAGGTCACCCAGCAGCTGCATGTGGAGGAGCTGGGAAGCGAACCCGGTTCACCAGATTACGAGTCTACCGCTCTTAATCACTACACCACACTGGATGAGCCCAAAGAATCAACATTAGGCCCTGCAGGAGGAATTCAGAAAATGGGAATGCCAGAAAAAGAAAAGGCTGAAGAGCTGATCCAGACTGCTAGGCCTACTCTAACGTGACTGCTGAAACAGGGGTGCAGAGATGCAGTTGCCCCTCAGAACAGGGCGGGGAGAGGGTTGCCATCTGCAAATCAAGATTTTGCCCAATGCCTCAAGCACCCTTTAAAGAATAAAAAAACCAAAGCAGTTCTTCCACAAGGTAGTTGTAGCAACAAATGTGATCCATCTGCGTTCTGCAAAAAAAAAGTACAGAGACACGCACACACCCCTCACTAAAGGACCACAGAGACAGAGCTCGGTTTAGATGGCTAAATGCAGTTTTATGAAGAGAAAGAGGTGGGGGAGGGGAAGAGTATGGCAGACGAACTTACAACTGGGGGGAGGATGAGGGATGTGCTACCCGCCCAGTGTGGCAGGAAGCTGCCATCTACAGGCCGGCCACGGTACTGCTCTTTCATGACTCCTGACGGGAGGGAGGGCAAGAATAAAACCGTCAAATTAAAAACATGCTAAATGAGTAAAAACTAAGGTGGGTGGGGTGGGGGGGAATAACATCCACCCATTTTATCATGGGGGTGGTGGGGTCTGGAGAGTGATGAAACTAAAAATTAGTTTCCCATACTCTCATCTGTATTTACAGGGTAAAACACAAGTCGCTTTGTGGCTAAAACTGTTGAGTGTTGAGGGGCAGGTAGCAGATGCACAAGACCCGCAATCTCCAAATGCCACCCCTCCCCAAACAAAGCGGGTCGCCCCAACTCCTCCCTTCCACACGCCCCACACACAGGAAAGGGGGCCGGGGGAGGGGGGCCCAGCCAAGCCTATTTGCATAAAGAAGGGCCATTCTTTTTGATATTTTTTTCCCCTTGGTGGTCAAGAGGGGGGAGGGAAATCAGAGCGGGGGCATGGGCAAGCCAGACTTGTCCAGCCCCGCTATCTCCTTGGGGGGGCCTGGCTCCTCATCCATCTTGCGCCCGTGTTTTCGAAAGTACTTGTATCGCTGGACGTACGCCTTCACTAGGTTGTTCACTTTGACAGGGTTGATTTCGCCGCTCTTGCTGTGGCAGATCTAGAGGAGGATTGGAGGAGGACAAAACAAACGTCAACACCTTTCCCCCTCTCACCGTGGGCCTCCCCACTTCCAAGTCTCCCGCGTGACCCCAGGAGCCTCTTTCACCTTGTGGACGGCTTTACGCAGGATGTCTTTGTATTCTTCCTTGGTGATCTCCTTCTTCTGGTAATAGGGCTTGATGGCCAGCTTCACTTCCTCCACTGCTCGTTCCTGTGTGTGGAGCTTTTTCAGGTACTGCAGTGGAGCAGAGGCAGGAGAGTCAGCTGAAGCCGGGGCGGGGGGGCAGGCGCAAGGTGAAGTAAAGCTAGTTCTAAGGTATGTTGAGTGGGATGTGGGTGGCGCTGTGGGTTAAACCACAGAGCCTAGGACTTGCCGATCAGAAGGTCGGCGGTTCGAATCCCCGCAACAGGGTGAGCTTCCCTTGCTCGGTCCCTGCTCCTGCCAACCTAGCAGTTCGAAAGAACATCAAAGTGCAAGTAGATAAATAGGTACCACTCCGGCGGGAAGGTAAACGGCGTTTCCGTGTGCTGCTGTGGTTCACCAGAAGCGGCTTAGTCATGCTGGCCACATGACCCGGAAGCTGTACGCCAGCTCCCTCGGCCAATAAAGCGAGATGAGTGCCGCAACCCCAGAGTCGGCCACGATTGGACCTAACGGTCAGGGGTCCCTTTATCTTTAAGGTATGTCGATGGCATGGCATAGGTGTGAGAAGTGGCAGCCCTGGGCTGATCAAGCCCCACTTCTATGTTGCTTGCAAGCAACGGTTCATTAGCCGAAACGGATACCTCTGTAAGAACGTCCTTTCTCTTCCCCTAGGAAACTGTTTGACCCCCTCCATAGATGCTTTAAAGCACCTGTCCAATACCAGGATTATGGACCGTGGTCCACTGCTGAATATCTAGGGGAGGGCTTTAACTCAGTGGTGCAGCATCTGCTTTCAATGCATGCAGAAGGTCCCAGGGTTCAATCCCTGTCACCTCCACGTAAGGCTGGGAGAGATCTCTGCTGCCAATCCTGAACTAGATGAGCCAATGGTCTGACTTGGCCTAAGGCAGATTCTCACGTCCCTGGTGATTTTAGGGCTGGGCAACTGGCCCCAATCTGTGCTGCTTAGTGCAGAAGTAAGGAGCCTGTGGCCCTCCTGATGTTTCATGACTCTGAAACTTCTGACATTCTGCAAGTAAGTTGGCCAGCAAGAAATCACTCAGAGCTAACTCTTTCTTAGCAAAACAGGAGCTGCACAGGAGTATTGGGCCTAATTAGCAAGCAACTTACCTCTGGTAGGTCTTACCCCTATGAGGCAGTTTTGGAGACTGAAGAAACCTGCACCTTCCCACAGCTGCCTAAGTCTCCTCCTCTGCAAGGTCCTTCCCAGTCTGAGACTACACCAATGCACCTGCCTTTGCTCCTCCCACTTTATGCCTCTCCTGGTCCTGGGAGACCAGGGGGAGGGGAGCTTGTCAAAGCAGAAGAGGGAGACACCCTGGCTTCTTCACCAGTCCGACTAATCTCTGCCCTCCCTCCTCTCCTGCTTTTGCCTCTGTTTCTGCTTCTGGGCTTCTTTCTGTCACAGACTCTCCCTGCTCACTAAACCGTTACCCCTTCAGTTTTTGACCCCTCCTCTTCCCAGTCGTCTTCCTCTGGCTGCTCATTGGCGTGGCACCACCGCTCCCTGGGCTCTCAGCCTTCTTCCCTTGGGGGTTCCCCAGCTGGTACATCCCATCCTTCTTCTGTGTCCAGCCAGTCCATGACACAAACCCAGCTGGCATGGACAATGGTAGTTAGGGATGATGGGCGCTGGAGCCCAGCAGCTTCTGGAGGGCACTAGGCTGGGGAAGGCTTGCCTTAAAGCACCAGCTGCTTCATTCCAAAAACAACCCCAGCTCTTACCTTGTCGCTGTCTCCGCGCCCTTCAGAGCTGGTGCTCCCCAGATCGGTGCCGGAGGAAGAGGCAAATATGGCTGCCGAGGGAGGGCCTGACGAAGCCTGGCTCAACGTCCCGGGCAAGACTCCGGTGGGAGTGGTGGGGGTGGAGCCGCAGCCTCCGAGAGGCAGGGAGCTCTGGAGCAGGTAGGAGACGGGCGGTACAGCCAAGTGCGAGGCAGGCGGGTGGGCCGGTGGTGCTGGTGGCTGAGGGGGGCCCAAGGAGGCAGCAGGCTTGGTGTGGGTCAGGATCTGGTAGGAGAAAGGAGGAGGAGATGGTTAAGACGGCATGTCATTGGCCTTCCATTTCTCCAAACTCAAGAGCTAGATGTTGGGATGCCACCCAGAAGCAATCAGGTAACTGGATAGGTATACCTGGCTGTGGATGGGACAGGGCGACCTGTCAATCTCCCTTCCCTAAAAGATACCCCCGTTGGGTGCAACTGCACATTGCAAAATCAGTAAGCAGGGCTGATGCTCTCTGTAAGAGCTTAGAGGAAGCTACACCTACCGGTGGCAGTTGAGGGAATAGTTACACAAGGCCTTGGGGAACCTCTCTTTTGCTAAGGGCTGCATTTCTTCGGGGGCAATGCGTCAGGCCCCCAAGCCAAAGTGTGTGGGGCCAGCTCACACTTGCCAGAGGTCTCAATGTGTTGATTGCAGAGGGCTTTCCCCACTTCTCCTCCTATTCATTTTGGCTCCTCCTACCACCATTTTCCTCTATTGCCTTCTTTCTTTCCCTTCGGGGCTCCCCCCAACCTCATGAAATTGGGCCTAGAATCATGTGTGCCTCACTCTTAGTGAGATAAACCCAACTCCCTTTACACAGGGAATCTGCATTGCCAGATTCCCTCCGCTAGCCATGCGCCCTGCTACAGCCACAAACACAACCTCCCCAAAGCTGATTTGTCCTCTCAGCCCAAACTGGGCATTGGAGACGCGTTCAGTGGGTCCTACAATGACAGCTAAACACCGGCATCACCACTCGAGCAGAACTTTCAAAGCAATACGACTTCCTCAGTGTCTTTGGATGGCTTTCAATTCAAGAAAAACAGAAAATGACCAGACTTGATTTGGAGGAAGAGAAACTGGCTGCTGAATGTGGTGTAACAGCTGTACAGCTCTGAAACACCGCGTGATTATGAGAGGAAGAGCTAGTTGTCACTGATGCCGGGTGGGGGGGAACCCCAAACAACACATTCTGAGATTGGACAGAATTTACAACCCAATCGCCTCTGTGTATTCAGAAAGCAAACCCAACTTTGCTTGCTGGGGTTTGTTTCCAGGTAAGTGGGCACAGGGCTAGAGTGTCTGTTTAGTAATGCTTGTTTATTCAAATGGGTGATATGTTCACATCATCTCATTTTGCATATACCATGCTTTTTTTTTTTGCTTTTTTAAAAAAGCAGATTTGCATTAAATTTGGGAACTAGTCTATCAAAGAGTAGAGGGGCAGAGGGAGGCCAGGAAGGACATGGCAGCCAGCTTGGGAGATGCAGAACCAGTTGTTATCCTAGGAGAGATGAAGCCCCCATCTCTGGAGAAGATCAAGCCCTCACTGTATGCAAGTCCTTTACCAGAAAACACCCACATACATCTAAGCTTGTCCCTGCTACCATGAGAACCAGGAATCTAATAATAATAATAATTTTATTTTTAAAAGTAAGAGGCAACACTCACGAGTGCCAGCTTCTGTGCTAGACAGCACACCTTGCTTTCGCGAGAGTACACAGTGCTCTGGGCTTTGACGCAACCCTTAAAGTGTGCAATGGTCATCTTTGCCTTGCCTTCCAAGAAGTTTGCACTTCGTCCCGTTTGTGTTATCAAGTCAGCCCCACAACCTTCCACCTCCTGCCCTTCCCTCCCACATGGCTAAAAAGGAGTTTCACATGCATTCCCAGAAATACAGTTGCCACAGCCAGATCTCTTGGTTGAATTTGAGGTTTTTGTACTGAAAATACTCGTTGTGGCTGTAACTCGAGTGCCAAAACCCTGTGATATTTGGGTAGACCAATCTCCGTTATCTACACAATGAAAATGAATTGCAACAGCGGTTTTAACCGTTTCAAACCTGCTCCGTACCTGATTGGTTGCTTGAATAAGCTCCTGGGCTTTTGCCCTGCTTGCAAGGTTGGCCTCTTCCATCTTGAAAAGCAGGGCAGTCACTAGGTTAAGAAACAAGAGGCTCAGAAACGGTTTGCCAAACGGGCATGGGGTGGGGGTGGAGAAGGGAGTGCAGGCAGACAGTTAAGAGGTTCCTCACCCCTGATATACAGACGCCCAAGTCCCCCTTATCAAACAGGGGGATGGTCTGCTCTATAATTCTATTCTCTCTCCCCTCCCTGCCCACTCAGCATGGAAAAACAGCACCGGGCTGGGGAGAAATAAACTTGTAACTGAGATGGGGCTAAACATCCTATCACTGCCCAAATTCGATCCCACCCCCAGGTGCTCTTTAAAATATGCAGATCTCCTACAACAACTATAGTTAAGACCTTATCACTGCTCTGCGCAGTTTAAAAACACAGATGCACTGAAAAATGAAAGCAAATCTACAAGAAGGGCTGTGCTCCTTGGCTCCGACTGTTAGCAGAGCTGGGAAGGTTCTGCTCCAAGGAACACAAGTTCCAGGTGCCTTTAGGGCAAAATGGCACACACTCAGAGGCATGTACTTTCCTAATGTGATTTCTCATGCTGGTAAGGTTCAGGTTTTTAATGCCTTGGGAACTTTTGGTCGCACAAGTTATGGCTGAAGAGAACTACTTCATAACCCCCACCCCACCCCCAGTACTCTGAATTTTTGCCCTTCACTGGATGAGCAGTGCAGAATTTCAGGCTTTTATCGACAGCCCCAAGAAACAAAATGAAAAGGTTGTGAAGACTGCGGCTGCATTCAATGTTTTGTGCGTGGACAGTGAAGTTTTGCAGTGACCTGGACTTAACACTGGTTTAATCCTTCAAGACACAGCAGTCTTTGAATATCTGGAGGTCTGTCATGCAGAAAACAGCAGACTTGGGCCCTTGGTCGCTCCAGAGGCTCAGAACCAACAGGTGAGAATTGGGAGGGAAGCAGCTATCAGCTGGACATTATGCTGATAGCGGTCCAAAATTGGAAAAGGCTTGCCTTGGGAGGCGGCAAACACTCCTTTGGTGGAGGTATTTAAGCAGCTCTTGGTGGGCACCTGCCAGGGATTCTGCACTTGCATCATGCGCTGAGCAGAGGGGCGGAAGAGGTGAACTCTGAGATCTCTTCCAATTGTATGGGCACACAAAGGGGGCTCTACCTTCTAGGCAAGGACAGGGACAGCTTCCATAAGGCAAAGATCCATCAAGGAAAAAAATCAATGCCATTATGGCACGCAGGCAATACAGGGGTCTGCAGAGCCGTATTTCAGATTCATACTAGAACCACCAACGGAAGTGCTTTGGTAAACGGGAGAAGAGGGAAGGGATATCTGGCCCTCGAGACATTTTCAAAATGTGTTGATATGTTTCTGCTTCATTAGGATTTTGTTGTTTTGCATTGTGTTGTGTTTTAGCTTTGCTTTAGTTTTTCAGTTTCACTCTGTGTGTGTGTGTGTGTGTTAAAAAAGACCAATGAGCAGGGCTCCACAAAAGCACTCCCTCCCCCCTGCCCTGGCCCCATCCCAATACCTACATGCCAACACGCCACTGGTGCAGTCCACCCCACCCTGCAGGTTCCATGACATGGGGGCCGGTGGCTGGGGCAAGCTGCGAGGTGGGTGAGGGGGTGGCTGCAGCGGCTGTTCCTCTTTGGTCTCGGACAAGCTGTCGGCTTCCGGCTCGTCTGCTGGCACCCTGGGGGGCTCGACGGGGGGCTCTTCAGGAAGGAAGGAGACATCGGGCGTCTTGCAGCTGCTGTCCACTGTCTGGGAGTCAGGCGTGAGCTCCTGGCCGGGGGCCAAGGGCTGCGGGCTGGGTGGTTTGGCGGTGACCTCCGATTTCTCCGAACCAGACCACGAGGGCTCCTCCTTGACCCTCAAGGGGCTGCTCGCGCCTTGACTGCAGCTGTCGGCTTTGGATTTCTTCAGCCCAGTCTTCACCTTGAGCTTCTTCTTCTTCTTGGGCTCTGAGGCACCCTTCGGCTTGATGCCCTTCAGCTTCTTCACGCCAATCTTGGCCTTCAGCCCTTTGACTTTCTTGGGCTTGAAGCCTGGCTCCTTGACGTCGGCCATCTCTCCCTGGCCTGCTGCCGAGGCCCCAACCATCAGCACCTTCTCCTCCGACTTGAGGAAAGGAGAGCGGCTCTCCTTGTCGCGGCTGAACTTCACACCAATGGAACCCACCTCCTTGACCGACGTGGTGCTGCTGACCCCTTCGCGGATCAAAACAGCCACCTTGGACTGGAGCTTCACCTTCCGGCCGGAGCCCAACTTGCCACTTTCCTTGTGGCTTCCAGCTTTGATCTTTTTCCCAGTCTTGTCCCGATCCGGCCGGGCCTTTTTCTCCACTTTGGGCAACTCCTGCTGTTCAGAACAGGGTGGTCCCTCCTTCAACTTTTTTTTGTACTTATCGCGGGCACCTGGGCGCTCCCCCAGGTAGGCCCTCTTGCGCTCTTTCTCCTTAGGCACCTTCTGCTTGATGTCCTCCTCCGGCCGCTTGTCCTTGCGGGACAGGACCACGTCCTCCTTGGCCGCTAGCCGCCCCCCGCCCGATTTGGATTCCTCTGCGGGCTCGCGGTCCGAGAAGCAAGCATCGAAGCTCAGCCCTTCGGAATCGTAAAGGACTTCCCGCTTAGCTCTCTCTGGCGTCTCCAAGAGCCCTTCCATTTTCTCCTGCTGGTTGACCGTGATGGTCCTCTTGATGGTGAAGAGATCGTTGTCGTTGAGGTCCTGGATCGATGGGGGCACCACAGTCCGTGCATCTCTACGGCGTTCCATCAGGACCTTCTCAGATTTGGGCTCCTCCTGCAGGTGCACCTCCCGTTCCTTGTCCTTGGACAACCGATGGGAAGGGTGCTTCTCCCGCGAGTGAGACCGGGAGCGTTTCTTCTTCTTCCTGCCGCCATCCCCCCGATGTTTCTCTTTGTGCCTGCTGCGATGGGCACGGCTGCTGCTGCGCGACCGAGAGCGCCGGCCGCGGCGCTTCTCCTTCGACCTCCTGCTCTTGCGCCGCTCGGCGGAGGTATGGGAGGAGCCAACCGCAGACAAGCTGGTGCTGATCGACGGCGACCAGGACCGGGAGGCTCGGTGATGTGAGCGGGACCGCGAAGCCCTGTGGTGCGAATGCCGGCGCTCCTTGGATTTCGAGCGCGATTTGGATTTCTTCTTGGGATTCCACGGGGAGACGTAGGCCTCCTTGGTTTTTGAGGCCTTGCGCTCGCGAGACCTTTTGCGCTCCCTTTTTGATTTCTTGCAGGAGCCGGAGCTCGATCCGGAGTGAGACTTGGAAGCAGGGCGCTTGGGGGCTGGCGGAGGCGGCGGTGGCGGAGGCAGGGGCGAGGGGGCCCGATGATAGCGCTCTCGTCGCTGGGTCAGAATCTTTCTCCTCAGGTCCACGCCCTTCCAACGGGGGTCAGGCTGGCTCTCGCTGAAGTCGATCTGTAGGGCTCCCTCGTCATCTGAGTCGGCGTGCAGCGACAGGAAGTCGTCTCCTTCGACCACCCGCAGGGTGCGCTGTTCGGCAGGCCGGCACCTGCTCCGGAAAAGTCGAATGGGGCTATAGCGCTCATCCTCTGGCTGGACAATCTCGCCTTCCTCAATTTCCGAGTCGCCGCCACCACTCCCGTCCCACTCCATGGATGACCGGCGTCCGGCCCGATGATGCCCGCCTCCTTTGGATGTCTTCTCGCCACTCCTCAGCTTGGCGTTTCCAACAGTCACCACCTCCAGGGACACTTTCCCTTCCAGCTGTGGCTTGGTTTCAGCATCCAAGCGTCCTTTGGGGGCCAAGTCTACCACAAAGACCCGGCGGCGTGGCTCAGGGGCTTTAGCTTCCACCTGCTCTGAAGGAAGCTCCTCAGGCAGAGTGGAATCGGCACCCGGGGGCTCTTTGCCCTCGGGAAGCTCAGCAGAGCAGGCTGCCTCCGTTTCGTAATCCCTGCCGGCTTCCACCTCTGGCTCAGAATCTTCCTGCCCTTTGTCCGAGCTGGGGAAATCTTGGCTCAGGCTGTTTTCGTCGTAGATCCCAGCCAATGTTTCTGAGATGCGACTGATGCTGTGGGACATGTCCGGAGGGTGTTGGTCGTTGTCGTCTTCATCGTCGTCCTCATCTTCGTCATCCTCCTCGTGCGAAGGGGTGCTGATGGAGGAACTGGGGTTAGAGCCCGTGGGGTCAAAGGGGTCGTACTTCTGGTCATGCCGCCCACCCTCTGCCTCTTTGTGGGGAGAGTCGCCAAAGGCAAAATCACCATTGAGGTTATCCTCATCGGTCGGGTGGAAGGGATCATAAATATCTAAGTCCGGGGAGCGCATTGGGGGGCAGGGGTTTGAAGAGTCGCCGCCACCTTCGCCTGGCAGGCCCTGGTGGCAGGAGATTGAGGATGACGATGAAGAGCAGGATGATGAAGAAGAGGTGCTGGAATCGGCCTTGTCCAAGGAGTTGGCGGGAGGTGGCTGGGAACGCTGCTGGGATTCAGATTCCCGGCTGGCGGCACTCTGCGGGCGCTGCTGCCCCCCGCTGGATACCCCCATGCCAGTACCCAGAGTCATGCCCAAGCAAGGTGAAGGAGAAGTCCTGTCTGCTTTAGGGGACTGCGAAACTTGGCTCCTGGCTAAAAGAGAAGTCCAAGGAGCCAGGTCCATTACAGGCAGAGTTCTGTGTGAGTCCAGAGGATAAGGCTGCTCTGAAAGGGAATGGTGGCCAAGGGGACAGGCGTTGCTTCCTCTCCAGCAAGGTGCAGATAATCCAAGGCAGGCTGCAGGGAGCAAAAATGGAAATGGTTAGGCGTGCACCCAAATTTGGAAGACGACGGGAATTTTATCACATTCCACAACTGGTGCTTCACAGGAGTCAGGGTTCCGGTATTTCCAATTCTGCTGCTATCGACTGGGTATAAGCCTCAGATGGCATACAGTACTCCATTAGCCAGTACAGGCATCCAGCTCTGGAGCTGCCTAAAGCTGTAGCCAGCAACCTCAGAGTCTCAGTCCAAATCTCAAGCTACAGAGACCTGGGTTTCCACCAGCTGCAGGATTTATCCTCACCATATGTGGGCTCAAGGTCCAAGGTCAGCAGAAAGGGAGAGGTACCATTGCAGAAGCCTGCCAGCAGCTCATATTGGGGCAGGATTGAGCAGCAGGGGTGGGGATCCCCTGAAAAATGAGTATCTTTGTGGGTCCTGGGCCCTAAGAGAAACTGTGCTGAAGCACTTGAAATAGAAGATCTTCTATCAGCACATACGCAATTATGAATGGGCTGGGGGAAGAGACCCAACACTGAAAAGAAACCGTTTTACTACCCTACCGCCAAGTACGGCAGCCCGTTTCCCCCTGCTATGTATAAGATGGCAGGCTCTGGAACTTGCTGAATGGCACCGCCACCCTGGATCTTGTTAATACATCCTGCCTGACCCCCTCTCTATGGTTTACCATATAATGTAGTTTCCATCCTAGAGAGTCACGCCTGCATCCCTTTCCTCATCTGTCTCATTTTTTCTCGCATTTGTGCAGACACCCACCAGACTTCTGCATCCTCCAAGACAGATTTCTTCTCAAGATGCCAGACAAGGCACCCACATCCCCCAGCCGCACCTCAGCCACCAGCTCCACTTCTTCCATATCTTCATCCCCGCTGTTGAAAGAGACAAAAAACAGAATTAGGAAGCGGGTCCCGCACCGGCGACCCAGGGATCCCAATTTCCAGCAGGGCATTCTAAGCCAGCCTTTTCCCAACCTGTTGCCCCCTAGATATTGGACTCCAGTTCCTGCCAGCATGGGCAATGATCAGAAATAAGGGAAGCATTATTGTGGTCTGCACTAAACTCCACTGACGTGGAGGCATAATTCATGGCATTTCGGTTCCATGTACCTTAGAAATTTGTGTCATTCCCTCTGGTCCACTGTGATCCCTAAGCTCTGCTTGACAGTGTCTAAATCCTTGAGGGGACCTGGGTCATGATCCAGCAGCTTCTCCCCCTTAGCTGGGCTCCCTTTCCACAGGGGACTGCACAGAAGTAGCAGTCAATACTATTCTATTTGCCAGGGCAGTAGCTCATGAGAGCCCCTTTTCTGCTACAAAGCCATTTGGCTTTTGCAATTTCCCCTCCTTCTGCAACTGCACTCAGATTTAATTCCCAAGTTCCTAAAAAGGATACTTTGATACGTGCATTTTACTGCTTGATGCACTTCTGAATTTAATTTGCCTACAGGCTTGTGTTCCTAAAAGCCTCGTTATTACCGTTATCCTGCCAGCTGTGCAGCTCCGATGTTTTACAGAACTTCTACTGAATGGTAGAATTTCAGAGCTTTTACTGTGAAGCTCCAGACTGTAGCCACAAGAATGTGCACTTGTCCTCCCTGAGATAGTTGCCCTATGGGAGTCCCACTTACTAAACTGCCTGAGTTCCTACGGAGCTCTCTACTCCCTGCGGCAAATGGTAAGTCCACTCCAGGTAGTCACAGACCCCAGCCAAGTCAGGCACCACACCAGAAGAAGGAGCCTCAAGGACCTGGAGGAAGGAATAGGAAAATAAACAAGTGCTGAATAATCGGGACCCTCTGGTTATATATGCTAAGGAAGAATTAGGCAATGCTGGGATTGTCATGGGGTGATAGCCAACAAAGTCATTTTCAGAGCAGACTTATATTGTTAAAAAAACAGTGGATGCAAGTTGTTTAAGTTCACTGACCTAATGGGTCTACTTTGAAAATGAATAATGTTACTTATCATCCACATATTTTATGCCCTTTTGAATGGCATGAATTACATGATAAAGAGTAAATTAGCAGGAATCGTGTGCATCTTGTCTCCAGTGAAAGTACCGATTTACCAAATATAACAATCGGAACTGAACATGGGGCTGGTAATGCCAAGGTTGCAGGTTTGATCCCTGTATGGGACACCTGCCATATTCCTGCATTGCAGGGGGGTGGACTAGATGACCCTCAGGGTACCTTCCAACTCTATACAGTTCTATGAAGTCAAAATGTACTGAGTTTATCAACTATACAGTGGTACCTTGGGTTAAGTACTTAATTCGTTCCAGAGGTCAGTTCTTAACCTGAAACTGTTCTTAACCTGAAGAACCACTTTAGCTAATGGGGCCTCCTGTTGCTGCCACGCCACCGGAGCATGATTTCTGTTTTCATCCTGAAGCAAAGTTCTTAACCCGAGGTACTATTTCTGGGTTAGCGGAGTCTGTAACCTGAAGCATATGTAACCCGAGGTACCACTGTACTTTGTAGTCAAATCATATTCTCACTTTGTAATATTTTCTCTTTTTAACAGAATTTTTTATTTTTTAGTTTTTTGTATTCTTGAATAATGATGATGATTACAAGAGCCCAGAAGGTAACAGAAGCTGGCATCAACACACAGGCCAAGACCTCCAATTCCTCCTCTAAAGAATGCTGAGGAAAGAACACCATGACAGGCCCACATTCACAACAGAAAACCCACAACTGTTCACAGATGAACACTCATCATCATCATTTTATTTGTATGCCACCTTTCCACAGTTGAAACTAGGCTCAAGGCGGCTTACAACATGACAATATTTACATAATTACAAACATAACAGAAGTCATAAACAAATAAAACACATCAAAAAGTATACAACCTAATTGGAGACAATCCAGATAAATCACAAGATCTAAAACTAAAGATACAGTTCAACAAGAATATCAATAACAGCAACAGCTCTCTCAACGCCCCTTAAACAATACTCCAGCCCAAGAATCTGCTCAACTTTTGTAGCTGGAGTCAGTCAGCACTCCACTCTCCCAGGCCAGATGGGAACGGGTCAGTAAGGCAGGGGGCAGGTCATCCAGGGCTCACAGCCAAGATGGTGTCATTTAAAACAACACAGATAAAAATTAAAAAGAATTTAAAAGAGGAGCCCTTGGTGCTAAGCAGCAGCAGCAGTCCTTAAGACCCTGTCAGGCCCTGCCCCAAGCCAGATGGAAAGAGGCAAGGGTGGGGCCCTTCAGGCCCTCAGCAGGCCCCATCACCAAAGAAAGGAGGTGAGCACACCATTCCCCAGAATTTATTTGCCCGGTAAGACCAAACCCATGTGTAGTTGACCCCAGTGCATTAGGAATCTCCAGCAGTCACACTGTTGTGGTGTAGTGGTTAAGAGCGGTAGTCTCGTAATCTGGGGAACCGGGTTCGCGTCTCTGCTCCTCCACATGCAGCTGCTAGGTGACCTTGGGCCAGTCACACTTCTCTGAAGTCTCTCAGCCCCACTCAGCTCACAGAGTGTTTGTTGTGGGGGAGGAAGGGAAAGGAGAATGTTAGCCGCTTTGAGACTCCTTAAAGGGAGTGAAAGGCGGGATATCAAATCCAAACTGTTTGGGCCCTTACACAGATCTGCAGCAGAACACGCAAGCTTTCCAATGTTAACACATTATAATAGGGATGCAGTGTTTGCCAACATACCTCACCCATTGTGGCATTCCTATCACAGGCCAGCGCAGGGTCCCCAGTTCCCAGCCAGGTACCTCCGAGTCCTTCGGATCTGGAGCTCTTGCACCATTTCCTCCGGCTTGTGTGCTTGCATTCAGCATCTGAAAAAAAAGAGGCAATGACAGCAAGAGGGACCCACTAGAAAGGTATGACATGCCTGCTTTGCAGGGATCTAGTGCTCCAAAAAGCAGCTGCACATGAACTATACAGGGAGCTGAAGTCTGCCATTACACAGCCCAAAGACTGGATGACTTCATTCTTTCGCTTTGCAAATTCTCATTTAAAAAAGAGTCCATACCCCAGACTGCTTATCACAAATAGTGAACGACCACAAATCTTAAGAGGATGCACTCTTTGTTTATGAGCACATGAAATGCCTTGCTAGATCAAATCAATATCTTGTCCACGAGATCCACCAGAAATGGGATAGTGGCTCACCTGTAGGCCACAATCAAACTTCTACCTCAGTACTAAAGAGTCATGCACTGGGAATCCTTAGATCTTAGCTCGGTCATGAACTTGCTGGGCAAAGTAAAGATAAAGGGACCCCTGACCATTAGGTCCAGTCGTGGCCGACTCTGGGGTTGCAGCGCTCATCTCGCTTTATTGACTGAGGGAGCCGGCGTTCAGCTTCCAGGTCATGTGGCCAGCATGACTAAGCCGCTTCTGGCCAACCAGAGCAGCGCACAGAAACGCCGTTTACCTTCCGGGGGGCCACTAGGGGGCGCATTGGAAGATGGCCGACAATACCATCTCTCCGACCCACACGGGGTAATTAAGAGGCTGTTATGGGAGTAGGCAGCCTCCCTTGTTGCCCCAAGGAAATGGGGAACACTGCCCTTGCCTGCTGTGCCCTCACCCCCTAATTCGAAAGAAGGGGGTGAGGGCCCTAGGCAGAATGCCCCCGTGTGGACATCGGCTCTCCTGGACGCTGTCTCTGATCGCACACTAGTTGCAGCAATTTGGAATAATTAATTACCAAAGAAGCAAATGCACATATTTCAAGTGAAGAAGGGGAGTGAAGTCTGCTAATTTAAGTGACCTCTGCGAAAGACGACGACGGGCTGGAGAAACAGGAATATTTTACGATGAAGATACACCAAAGGCGGGGTATGTTGACAACGGGGCTGAATGGGGTGACGGGACCTTTTTTACCTTCCTTCTATGTGATTTACAAGAACCCCTCCTCATTAGAACCGTCGGTTGAACTGACCCAAGCAGGATGATTAAGGTCTGTGTGGAGATAAACTTTAACCAAAAGTATGCTTTATGGAGACCGAGAAGCAATAAGAGCTTTTGGGAATGGCGCAGCAATTAATTCGGAGTCGCCATCTTACCAAAGGATTTATAGCCGGGAGGAAGAACGGATTTGTTTTCAGACTGCATTCCTAGTGAATCTCCTCAGAGGTTTTGAGAAAGGAGGCAGATTGGTGAAGATTAATGACGCTAAGACTGTTTTGATGTATGGAAGTGATGTTATATGGAAAACGTCTGGATATGGCTACTGGATAAAAAAAAAATATCCACACAGGATTACAAACTGTTCTAACCAGCTTACGGAGACTATCAGAGGTCACAAAGAGAAAGGAAAAATATATGAAAATAACAACAAGAGATGTGGAAAAATAATAAGAAAGGACTGGATAGTACTGTGAACATCATAAGGTTAGATTTGTGGACACTAAAAGAGCAGTAAGAAGCAAGAAGTTGATTGGATCCCTTTGGAACTTGAAATATGGGTACCCCCAACAAAAATTTAAAATTCGGCTGTGTAATTTGGAATTTATGTAATTTGATTTGATTTGATTTGATGTGATTGGTCGGTTAATAAAAAATTATTCTTAAAAAAAGAAAGAAACGCCGTTTACCTTCCCGCCGGAGCGGTACCTATTTATCTACTTGCACTTTGACGTGCTTTCAAACTGCTAGGTTGGCAGGAGCAGGGACCGAGCCACAGGAGCTCACCCCGTTGCGGGGATTCGAACCGCCAACCTTCTGATCGGCAAGTTCTAGGCTCTGTGGTTTAACCCGCAGCGCCACCCGCGTCCCTAGAAATTGCTGGGTAGCCTGAGATAAATCAGTAACGGTTGGTATGAGGAGGACTTTGAGCATTTAGTCAAAAGCATTAACAAGGACTACTAAGATCACATGAAACTTCCTCTAGACCAGTGATGGCCAAACTTGGCCCTCCAGCTGTTTTGGGACTACAATTCCCATCATCCCTGACGACTGGTCCTGTTAGCTAGGGATGATGGGAGTCGTAGTCCCAAAAAACAGCTGGAGGGCCAAGTATGGCCATCACTGCTCTGACAGAGTCAAACCATTGGCCCATCTAACTCAGTACTGTCTTTTAACTGGCAGTGTTTCTACCTGAAGATGCCGGGGACTGAAACAGGGATCAGCTGCATGATGAGCCTCCCCCTTCAGTGCCCACCTCCTCTCGACTAGCTATGGATAACAGGTGTGCTCTTTTAAATCCTGCAGACACCAGCTCTAATTAAGAAATACCGACATAGATGTATGTGTATTTATATATTCTAGATCTCTTGCCAGTTTGTGCCTCTTGAAGGGAAAGATGCTGGTATTATTGGAAAGCTCAATGCTTCCTTGTCTTGAAGTCACTACAGGCACCGAGAAGCATCATTTCACAATTCTGAATATTTGCGTTGCCCTGGAAAACTAGGCACATGAAAAGAACCAGAATGCGGCAGCTAGACTGGTGAGTGGGAGCGGCTGCCAAGACCACATAACACCGGTCCTGAAAGACCTACATTGGCTCCCAGTATGTTTCCGAGCCCAATTCAAAGTGTTGGTGCTGACCTTTAAAGTCCTAAATGGACTCGGCCCAGTATACCTGAAGGAGCATCTCCACCCCCATCGTTCAGGCTGGGCACTGAAGTCCTGCTCCGAGGGCCTTCTGGTGGTTCCCTCCCTGCAAGAAGTGAGGTTACAGGGAAGCAGGCAGAGGGCCTCCTCAGTTATGGCTCCCTCCCTGTGGAACGCTCCCCCACCAGATGTCAAGGAAATAAACAACTATCTTACTTTTAGAAGACATCTGAAGGCAGCTCTGTTTAGGGAAGTTTTTAATGTTTGATGTTTTATCGTGTTTTTAATATTCTGTTGGGAGCTGCCCAGAGTGGCTGGGAAAACTCAGCCAGATGGGTGGGGTATAAATAATATATTGTTATTATTATTATTAGGCACATTAAGCACCTATAATTTAGTTCAGGTTTTTTATTGGTGAACATCAGGCACCTTGTGGATAGACTTTTTTTTTTAAGTAAATAAAGGAAACATGTGGCTTCAACTTAAGGGGAATGTGAATAGCTCAGTGGAAGAATACACCTGTTGGATGCTGGAAGTCCCTGGGTTCAATCCCTGGTGTCTCCAGGTAGGGCTGGGAGGGACCCTTGTCTGAAACTCTACCAATCAGAGCAGACAACACTGAGCTAAATGGGCAACTGATGCGACTTGGTAAAAGGCAACTTCTCGTTCTCCAACACTCCTCCCCACAAAAAGCCCACATCCCTCAAGCCTGGTCTGAGATCTGCTATGTTCACGTTGAATTGTGATGTTCACAGCAGAGGCGCCTACTCTTGAAAGTGCAACTAATCCACCCGACGAACCCATTGGTCCCCTCGCTCCTTGGTTTGCCTCTTGATTTTGAGTTACCTTTCTCACTGGCTGGATCCTGCAGTTCACCCGGCAGGCCGCTGCCCACAGCTTGCTGCAAAGCTTTCTGCAAGGACAAAAACAACAACAACCCTTAGCTCTTGCTGAGAAACATCCAGTACTGCAACTGCCAGAAGCCCAACTGAAAATGACCGGCTAGCTTTCATGGCGGACATTGGATGGGTTTGCACAGGGACAATCAATGGGGCAAGACTCAAAGGCTGATATGAAATCAAGACAGAAATCTTATACATGAGAACCTTGCAAAATAAAACAAAAACTGCCCAAGAACTTTGGAGATCTTGTTTCCAGCCTAAGCGCCACTTTAAGAAACGTCAGAACAATGATAACAAGCAAGCTATTACACTGCAATACTGGACGTAAAGCTCACAGTAAGGATGTAGTTAAATATACACATTGGGTGATGAATGGCTCATCATTAAAAAAGAACGATTCGCTAGAAACAGTGCAGGTTGTCAAAAATAAATCTTTCGTTGTCCAGAATTAATGTAACTGAGTATTTTTGATGACACCAATGTAAATATATTGTTTAAAAATGATTTATATATATGATCTTGGCAGTAAGAATAGGAACTGCAATTCAGTGGAATCATCTTGCACTGGATGCTTGGCATCACTGGCTGCAGATTATGACAAGGACTACAACATTCAGTTTTTATACGATTTGACATTCCTTTATGGCATATACAATGGAACCATCATTTTCAAGACAACAGGTCACAAGTCTGGCTACGTGATGATCTGATAACATTGATTGTCTTCACTTAGACTTTATTATTTCAACTCTTTCAAGTGCCTATTTTATAATTTTGTTTTTCGTCTTTTAATTTTTGCCCATAGTTATCCCTGCTCTCTGTTTTATATACATTATAATATAATAAAAACCTAACCCAAAAATTGAACCTGACGGAGATAGATGATTTTTATTCAAACCAGACCTGCAAATTGCCATGAATGTGGGGCAAGTAGAAACCACCCCTAAGAAGCCAACGTTGATCCAGAATTTCTCCTTTATAGCTTTGTAGCCAGGACTTTTAAAAATTAACCAAAATCCATTGCATGTGGTCTTCTCTGCACTCACATGTGCTTTCAGCACCCAAGACTGAGCCAATACCTTGAAGTTTGAACCCGAAGCCTTCTGCTTGGTTGTCACCGTCACCTGTCTCATTTATCTTGTGCCTATCCAATGATCCAAGATCACGGTCTCAGCTTAATTAGTTGTGCAAGTTTACAGCTGTAGGCTGTTTTTCCCCTTCCAGCTACATTCTTCTGCATGCCCCAAGGTCAAGCATCTTTTAATGTTTGCTCTTTATCTCTTAGGAGGAAAGGCTTCAAAAGATGCTTCCTGAATGCATGTTGGTTCCAGACTTCCCTGTCCCTAGGACATTTCTTTTAGAAGTAATTATTAATTAAGCGTATTAAATGCACAATGGGTGGCTGATAAAAGAGGAAATCTCACCAAGTTTCAAGATGAGGCTTATTTCCAAGTAAGCGCACAGAGGATAAAAATCTAACTACATGAACTTACGCATGTCTGCAAGCAAGTCTTCCAAAAGGTGAAGCCCTGATGCTTTTTTAAAAAGTGATATTTTATTGAAGAATTTTCAGCTATAAAGCATTAAAGTGATTCCAAAAGAAAAAAAATCCACAAAATTGTGCAAAGGGGAGGAGGGAGAGCATTATATGGATATATATGAAAAATACCCTGACCCACACATTAGTTTATAAATTTGATATTATTATCCTATTACTAATGTAAATATTAATAGTCTACTACATTTTGTATGTAGAGCCCCAATGCTTTAAATGAATCTCTTTTTCTACTAACTTCTGTTCTGACAAAAGTTAGACTCCGGGGGGGGGGGGGGATTAACCGCAGCAGAATTCTTATGAAGAAGAAAATATTGAGGTATCACACTACATATTGAAAGATTTTGTTCAGATGTTTTCCAGAAATGCTACTGCTTGTGAAGAACCTAAGAATTAGTGTGTGATATACTGCTGTGTTCTACTGGTACTATTTAATTTCATTAAAAAGGTCATACTACTTTGGGAATGTCACACATCCAAGAGCTTTGTCCAAGTTTCCATTTGGACACTAAAACAATATATAAACGCCCTGCTATACACACTTGCCTGGGGTAAGCACCAATGAAAATGGTTCAGACTTCCTTTCAATCATATACAAGATTGGATTGCACATATTATGTCTGGGCAAAAAAAATTTATTCATTTTTGGCAAGAGCTGCTTATTACATCGATGGGGAAATGTATCCAGTACAGTGGTGCCTCGCAAGACGAAAAGAATCCGTTCTGGGAGTCTCTTCGTCTAGCAGTTTTTTCGTCTTGCGAAGCAAGCCCATTGATAGGATTAGCGGATTAGCGCTTTTAGCGGCTTTTAGCAGCTTATCGGATAAGCAGATAAGCGGCTTAGCGACTTAGAAAAAGAGGGGGAAAAGGGGGGAAAAAACCCAGGAACTCGCAAGACATTTTCGTCTTGCGAAGCAAGCCCATAGCAGATTCGTTTTGTGAGGCACCTCCAAAACGGAAAACTCTTTCGTCTAGCGAGTTTTCCGTCTTGCGAGGCATTCGTCTTGCGGGGCACCACTGTATTTCTCTGTTTTTCAACTCCTTCTACCCTCCAAACCCAAAACAGTTGTTTTCTGAACCGTTATTTTTCAAGCTCTAAGACTAAGCGGAGCCTGTTTTGCTGAAAGCTGGTTAAGCAAGAAGCCACATGTGTGGGCTGGCGAGTTTTACAATCTCTGTATCCTTATCTGCAAGGCCAATTTTTTTTTAAATGCAATTCTACAGATTTTTCTTTCTTTCTGGAACGCCACACCAGCTGGCAGAACTAAACAAACAGTTCCACAGAACAATTGGCAAGCACCAAGAGAGAAGTTAAAAGAACAACGATGCGCAAGTGAGGGAGAGGTGGAAAAGAAAACGAAGAAATTATGGTTTCTGAAGTCAAATGTAGGACGGAATGAAAGAAAAAATATTTACTTCAAGTAAACTCTATATGGCAGTGATGTGTACTTTAAAAAAAAAAAAAGCACAGCAGCCTAAACATATTTCTGCAAGGAAAGCCTAATGATTGATTTATAATACTGTTAGAGAGGAAGCAATGACTGTGACACACATACAAAAAAACCATGTGCAACCAGAAAAACACTTCACGTATGGATAGAAAAAAATCATCCTGATACACGTATACAGGCAGTGACCATTTTAGGTGTGTTCAACTGTCCTGACGTGCAGGTGTTTTTGGAACCAGAAGAGGGGAGAACGGGGCAGAGCGGACTTATACAGAACCTCCATGCAAAATGGTCACTGCCTGTATTAGCTTCGTTTGGGTACTACAGTAAACCATGGTTTTATCATGGCAGGAATGAGCTGCAATAAGCTTCAAATCGCACTTCGCACACTCTACACACAACATCAGCAGGAGGAAACTGAACTGCTTTCACTGCCAAATAACCCCAGTTTAGGGTTTGGACATGACACTAAACGGGGGTTAATATTAACTATGATCTGTTGAAATAAGCCAGCTTCATAGCTTATGAAGCTACCTTGCTTTAACTAGCCACATTTAAACTTAACCTAACACTCAAGACACAATCCTGACTAACCTGGCTAACCGTAATCGAACACATAAGCTATTTCCTCCTTGTGTCTGCACCAGTGAAGAGAGGTGTAGAAGAAAAAGCATAAACCCAAAGCTTTTGCACATAACTATAAACCACTGTTTATCATTACATTTGAATCGGGCAATTGTATGACAACCCTTTGGAATTTGGTGTTTGGGTTACACAGGAGGCCACAATGGGAAAGGAAGTCTCCCAAAAACGCAAGTGTGCGCACGGTCCTTTTGGATCTCAGCCCATATGATGAATTTTCATGTTTAGGAATTGACACAAAAGTAAACGAAAAGTTTTATTTTCAGGTTAAAAAACTAAGCAAGTCTAGCAATGTATCCAAATACATGTAAGTAGACCTATGAAACTCTTTCCGTATTATGAAAGCAAGAGTCAACTTAAGAGACTGCTTTCTTGGGGAAGGTGAATCTTCTCATTGTGAGGCTGCCTCATTTTTCAGTATCCACTCTCTCTTTACTATTGCCCAGCAGACTTATTTCACATGGAAACTATTTTGTGCTGAGATACGTTGTGATCATAAAAAATTGGGGATGGGACTCCTATAGCACCTTGAAAACAGTAGAGGGAGGGGGGATAACGATATGAATTATGATTCTGCATGATAATGATTCTCATTTATCTACAGTGAGCCCATTCACAATGTCCATTAAACTTGTTTTCTGAACAAAACCACATCATTCAAGATCTCCAGCCTTGCTATCGTCCAGTATCTTTAACAAATGGCTGTTTGGCAGCTATCAAAAAAAGTGTGTGAACAGGTTGAGTGAGAGCTCTTGCTTTTTAAGAGGATGTTAGTCCCACATTCTCCGAACTTCATTTTCAGAGTCCTGTGGTTGTAGTTGACTGTGCAGAATAGGGAAGGGCCCTCCATACGCTGTTGGGACTACAATTCCCATCATGCTTGAGCACTGGCCATACTGACTAGGGCTGATGGGAGCTGGGGTCTCACTGCCCATTCCTGATCCAATGGCAGGAAGCCACTCAGTCCAATGCCAACTGTGTCACCTCTTCCAGATTGCCACAACCCCTTCTTGATGTATTTCAGTAACGCGCCATGTACATTTTTAATCAATATATCATTTCAGTACTTGCTACATGCCCATAAAGAGGTTGAACTGGAAAATACACTGGACTAACTTTTGTAAGAAGGAAGCAGGGGAGAGCATCTCCAAATGCCCAACTGGTTACTTTGCATACTTTAACTTAACTGTCCTGCTTTCGCAAACTCGTCTGTATCTACAAAGCAGCACAATGTGGAAATACAAATTAATCCTCTGAGCAAAACCACCACTAATGCCTCAAAATGGACCTATTATTTGTGCTCAACCTCAAGGAACCACAGGCTTCCCAGCAAGAACTACTCATTCGAAATATAAGTATTAAGCAATGCCTATGCCCATCACTCCAGCCCACAACCCCTTGAGAAACTGAGCAGTCATTACCAGAATGATAGCTTGGCCAGCACAGAGGGCACCCGATTGGTCCCAATCTGCATCGAGAGAAGGTTCACTGGCTGGCTTCTCGCCACCTCGTGCAGGATCCTCCCTTACTGGGGGGCGTCGATTCTCCTCCTCTTCCATGTCTGCAGGAGCTGCAAATCCTAGATATTGACGGAGTGAGACATTAGCGACTGACAATCCAGTTTCTGACCCTATCCTCTTCAGGTACAGCTTGTTCAACTAGACTAGATGAAATACAGTCCCTTTGCATAGAACTCTGAAATCTGGACACCCAGTCCGCAACAAGTCATCTCCCCATCCCACCCTCTCAATACCTCATGCTTCTCCAGAGAATTCAGGATTTGCAAGACTGCCAGCCCATGTTTCGATCCACCAGAGCCCTGCTTCTTTCACAGAAAACTCTGCCTGCACCCACTGCTGCAACATGGGATATAGGTCTCCACTGTCCATAATTCAGCTAAGCAACGAAGGGAAGAGGGGCTGGGATTGAGCAGGTAGCAACTGGCTTTCCGTAAAAATCATTTCAGTGTTCCAATTATGCTTTTCTAATTGTTGCCCAATGGAAGTAGCTAAAGCGCCATGGCAGCATATAAGCCATTTGCCTCACCTGAGGTTTGCATATTTAAATCAGTAAGACAGCACTTAAGTCAGGCTCAGCCAAAGAGGAAAGGCTTCTTACTGCACAGCCAGATCACAGTCTCCTGCCAGAACTCCCTTCGAGAAGGGAAATGTTCCAGGTTATTTTCTGAGCCAGCTTCAACACCAAGAAACCAGCTCGGTTTCATACCCTGTTTTGTGAACCAAATAGGTAATAAACATAATACTAAAAGAAGAGTGTCCCCGGGCATATCTAAAATTACTTTTGTTTGTGTGGAGCAGTGTACTCTCAAGTGAATATAGTGGGAGAAGAAAATATAGTGATTGCAGTGTCCTTAAGATCGACAATGATAATGTGCTAGAACCCCGCTCATTAGCTGATTTATAGTTCAATACATTTAAGCATTTGCTTATTTTAAAATAAAGTTGTCATTATACGTGTAGCCTGTTAGGAGCCCAGTATTCCAAGTTCCCTTCCATCTACACCGAGAATGGGGTGGTCGTCCAGTTATTGATGTACTCCAACTCACACAGGCCCAACCAGCATGGCAAGAGGTCAAGGATAAAGGGAGCTGTAGTTCACCAATATCTGAAAGGCCACATATTTCCCATCCCTGAGTCTGACTTTCACCTAATAAATTCCCCCACTTTCTAATCATCACAGACTACCCACACATAATTCTTATCTTCTCAGCTCAGAACACTAGTGCCTTCCCCACCATTCCTAGTCTTAAATTCTTTTCTAATTTCCTTTCTAATAAGAATGAACTTGAACAGCATCAGATGTTGAGGCTGTCCCAAGACATAGAAACTTTGGTAGAATGACCAGGATCCAGGTTCGAAACTAGTAGAATGTTGGTTTCTTTGGGAGATCTGCAAATCCTAGATATGTGGCGTGTGTGAAGGTACGTACAACCGTATTTTCTAGTCTTAAGTAGGTATGGATAAATGAGACTTTAAAAGACCTGTTAATCCTCAATCCCCTATTTACCTAAACAATTATTCCGTTAAATTGCACAATTTTGTGCTAGATTCTAAATACTAACAGACCCAAAAGACAGGTAAAATTATAAGCATAGAGAGTTAGAAGAAACCTTTCAGATCATCTGCCCAACCCTCTGCTTCAGACATTCTACATCTAAAAATTGCTATTAAGTTGCTTATCCAACATTTCCTTAAAAACCTTCCATCAATCCTCTGCCACCCACCTTCTCACCACATGGCACTGAAAAACCTTCCCATTCTCTTATTTTTCCATTTGGAACCTCACAATTCTTCTGTCATTTCACCCTGGACATGCCGTTCCATCAGCTTACCAACCAAGATCCCACAGCCCATTGATGACACCACATTTTGGGCAACCCACGAGCCTTCTGTGCTATCTTCAGCCACAAAAAGCACCCTTAACCATAGCCGCATCTCAGGTCCACAACTCCCATTATAGAATTTACCTGACCATCAACTGCTGCAGCTCAGGGATAAAGAGGCTATGTTTTGTGTGCAAAAGGTCCTAGGCTTCAGTCCTCGGCAACTCCAGTCCAAAAGTAACGGACAATGAGAAAAAAAATATCCCTGCCTACGATTCAAGAGACTCTCTCAAGAGGAGACGACACTATGTCAGGTGTCCAAACATTTCGTCCCGGAATGACGAGATAAATTCTATTTAGTCTAACTGATGCCTTCCAGTTCCCTTTCCCAGGGTCAAATCAGCTCCTCCTTACCCAAGTGACACAAGAAAGGACCTTGACTGCCACCAACAACCCCAAATGAACCCCCATCCGTCTCTAAGCCATACTAAAACAACCCCCCACAACCCCCCATCTTCTTCCATAGATTCCACATGCCTCAAATCCCTCTGCCCCACCGTTTCCCTCCATGTACAGCCCCAGAAGCAGGCGCACACCCCCTAGAATGCCCTCTTCCCCCTTTCCCAGGGGGTGCAAACAAAGCCCTATCCGCTGCCTGTATAGTGGGGATGGGAGGGTAGCGCCAAGCCCCACTGACCCCAGCAGCGCTTCTCCTCAGGTTAAGTGGGCGCAGGATGGATGCCGCCCCACACGCATCGCTTCCCCACAGATCTCCTCACAATACCCCCCCCCCCAAAATACTGTCTTAATACCGAAACAAGACAAGGTACGGGTCTGGGGGCCGCCACCCACCCCCACGACAGCTGCCCCTCCTTTAAGGCTTACGGGAATGGCCTCCAAGCCAAAATGAACCCACCCCACCCCCCGACCAACCCGCCGCCCCCCCCCGATCCCGCATCACGTCCTTAACGGGCGCGCTCCGAGGCCTTCTCCGCCCGTCACCGCTACTTTAAAACAACCGAACACCCCCATTATTATTATTATTATTACTGTATTATTTTTAAAAAGCCCTCGCCCCTGCATTGCGTACACTTAATATTCGCCCCCCCCCCGCACACAAACACACTCCGGCGCAAATAAATAAAATAAATATATGTATACAAACACACTTTTTTTTTGCACACATACATACACGCGCGCGCACCAGCCCCGCGAAAGACCCTTTGGCCGGCAGCCCCTCCCGAGCCATTGCCATAATTACCCAGCTCCACCGGGAAGCTAGGCCTTTCCGCCCGCCCACTTCAACACAAGAAGAGGAGGAGGAGGAAGAGGAGGAGGCGCGGCCGCTCCCGCCGCCGCCGCCGCCGACACTGTCCGGGCCCGGCCTCTGCGGCAGCCATTTTACTCCGCTCGGCTCCGCGGCGGGGAGGGCGGGGCCTCCGAGAGAGGGCGGCTCCCGTGGCATTCTGGGAGATGCAGTCCGCTCCCGGAGAGCCCCTTGTAGAACGCGGCGGCGCCCCGGACTCCAACGACCAGAATGCCTCGAGGCGGCATAGGAAAAGGGGGCGGGGTGGATAGGGAGCGCGCAGGGCGTGATGGGGGATGTAGTTTGCGAGCCGCGCCGCTGACGGGGCCTTGTATGGAGTGGAGGCCGCTCCCCGCAGTGCGAGGGCCGAGGGGCTGCAGTCTTAGCTGAGCGGGGCCGTGGGTGGGAGAGACTGTTTTTGTCCCATGATGCAGTGTAATTTCATGTGAGTCAGGAATCTTCTGGACAGGATCCTGGAGGTGCCTGGGATTGAACCTGAGTTATTTGCTAGTGAAATACAGCCCTTTCTCATATCTGTCCCTTAAAAAAGCTCTTATTTCCACTTCCTTCCCTAACAGCCCAATCCCTCCAACTGCATGACCCTTGATTCTATGTTGCTTGCAAGATCTGCTTGCATGTGATTATTTTGCATGTGACTTTTGATTATTATTATTTTTTAAATGTGGTTTTTCAACAAGATGCCGTTGCTTTCTGCGTGTGCATGTGTGTTTAATTACATATAAACACATCTCTAGCGATACGCCCACAGCACTCGGTGAATCGGAAGTGAAGGAAAGGGGCTTAAGGCGGCATGATCTGCACTTTGATCACGGTTCGCGTTCTCCAGACGCCTCTCCCTGACAGGCAGCCGTTCCCCCGACGCGGGGAATGCATTTCCACGCTTGCGCCGCTTTTCTGCCCCACCGCCTTAAGTTTCGTTGCAGGACTTTGCAAGCATCTGTTCTGCACCCAGAAAAGCGACCGAATGCAAAACAGGGTTCAGAATAAAATCAGTGTTCTGTCCGCTTAAAATGATCCCAGAGCAGAAAAGACACGGGAGCTCATCGATTTACAAAAAAGCCGACACACGACACGCGTGATCTTCGTGGCACGAATCGGATTTAACGCCCACACTTGGTGTGCCAGCTTTTATGACCTCTGGTACTTCTGTTATCTTCCTAACTTATAGCATTTCATTGGGGGGAAAATCAAAATACTTCTATTCCAACCATCAAGGGGGCAGCATGCAAGGTCCTTTGGGGCCCAAAATAAGCCTTTTTTCCCCCTCCCGCAACGGTGGAGGATGGAAGGTGTCTCAGGGCATCGGTATCTCAAAGCACTGCAAGGAAAAGGGAGCTCGGTTCCGTTTGTTTACATCGGCTCCGATATAGTGTGCGGCATCCTTTGCCCCCACCCCGCACATGGAGGGGAAATCTAACGGGAGCCGGAAGTGAGAGCTGCCTGAGGCGCTTGGCTTTTTCTACATCTCTTAGGGACAGACGCCTCACTTCCTCGAACGTAGGCATGGAGGGGGTTGGACTTCCGGCACTGGACCAGCCCGTTTCCGAGCTCGAGTCGCAACGGGTCTGTGGAGCAGGAGTTCCAGGCGCCCCTGCCCTGTCCCATAATGCTTTGCGACGGGCTCTTCCTTGGGGAGTTGCGGGAGATGGAATCTTTCTGGGTGGGGCGAGTCCCGTTCGCAGCGGCAATGTCGTATCCATAGAGATAAGGGCATGTCGTCATGGGAGGGAAACGCCACTCCTTAATGACATCACGGGCGCGCTGAGAGATGGAGTTTGACCCGCGATTCACCGAGTGCTGTGGGCGTATCGCTAGAGATGTGTTTATATGTAGTTAAAACACATGCACACGGCAGAAAGCGGTGGGATCTGGTTGAAATATCACATTTCAAAAATAATAATAATCAAAAGTCGCATGTAAAATAATCACATGCAGGCAGATCTTGCAAGCAACATAGAATCAAGGGTCACAGAATCAAGGGTCATGCAGTTGGAGGGAATGGGCTGTTAGTGAAGGAAGTGGAAATAAGAGCTTTTTTAAGGGCCAGATATGAGAAAGGGCTAGGGACGTGGGTGGCGCTGTGGGTTAAACCACAGAGCCTAGGATTTGCCGATCAGAAGGTCGGCGGTTCGAATCTGGCCACATGACCCAGAAGCTGTATGCCGGCTCCCTCGGCCAATAAAGCAAGATGAGTGCTGCAACCCCAGAGTCGGTCACTACTGGACCTAATGGTCAGGGGTCCCTTTACCTTTATGAGAAAGGGCTGTATTTCACTAGCAAATAACTCAGGTTCAATCCCAGGCACCTCCAGGATCCTGTCAAGAAGATTCCTGACTCACATGAAATTACACTGCATCATGGGACAAAAACAGTCTTTGCTTTTGGACTGGATCCTTCGGGTGCCCGTTTGATAACTGGAGGCTATGACTATGATGTCAGATTTTGGGATTTTGCTGGAATGGATGCATCTCTTCAAGCTTTTCGATATTTGCAACCATGTGAATGCCACCAGATCAAGTCTCTGCAGTATAGCAGCACAGGGGATGTTATTCTTGCAACTCCCAAGCCAAAGTCCTTGACAGAGATGGCTTTCCTGTAATGGAGTGTGTAAAAGGAGACCAGCACATCGTAGACATGGCAAACACCAAGGGCCACACAGCAATGCTGAATTCAGTATGTTGGCAAAAATAAAGGAGGAATTCCTCCCAAAATAAAGGAGGAATTTTTTACATGTTCCAATGATGGGTTCCTAATCAGGATCAAATGATCCCAGGATCAAGTGATCCTAGGCCATCAAAAGATCCCAGACAGAAGCTGATGTGTTCTAAAACTTGTGCTCATATGCTTGAATTGTGAGACTAACGTGGTTGAGAAGGAAATGGCGAAGCGTCCCTGAAACAGACCTGTTTTGTTTTTGTTTTGACAGTTAAGGGTTAGAATTGAGAGACGTAGCAACTAGTTAAAAAGGGGGGGAAAGAAATCTGGGTCCAAGCACAGCTGTTGCAGTGTACACGTGTCGGTCACTTTTGAACTTGGTGTAATCCCACCTGCTTTTGCTCTAGTGGTAATAATATGCTTATTCTGTATTAAATTAAAATGCAAAATAATAATAATAATCAAGGGTCATCGAGTCCAACCACCTACAGGGTATGGATGCTAAAGCAGCCATGACAGATGGCCATCCAACCTCTGCTTAAAAAGCTCCAAGGAAGGGGAGTCCAGCTCCTCCTGAGGGAGTCCATTCCACTCTTCAACAGTTCTTGCAGTCAGAAAGTTTCCCCTGTTACTTAGATGTAATCCCCTTCCTTGTAACTTGAAGCTACCCTCCAGAGCAGCAGAAAACAAGTTTGCTCCATCTTCCATGTGACAGCCCTTTTAAGGTATTTGAAGATGGCTATCTTATCTCCTCTCAGTCTCCTCTTTTTCAGGCTAAACATCCCTCAATCACTCCCTCAACTGCTCCTCATAAGGCTTGGTTTCCAGACCCCAATTCAAATTCTCAAACCTTGATTGGCACATATGCAGGATTCCATTGGGTTCGGTACAGTAAAAGCACTCATCAAAACCTGCAAATAACACTAAAGTTAATGTTATATGACGAATCCTCATTGCATGTTGTAGAAACCTGATTTCCTGACCCTTAGTCATCTTAGTCGCCCTCCTCTGCACACGTTCCAGCTTGTCAATATCCTTCTTAAATTATGGTGCTCAGAAGTAGTCCTGTCGAGTGTAGTCTTCTCTAGATGATTTCTGGGCAATGCTTGACATGGTGCTGGCGGTTGTTTAATTTACCAACCACATTTGTATGGCCTCCTATCAATGCACATTTTCGGGGAAATTCATAACAAAGAATAAAAATACAATCCTAAAATACAATGAAGACAGGAGTGCCTGGCGTGCTCTGGTCCATGGGGTCACGAAGAGTTGGACACGACTAAACGACTGAACAACAACAACAAATACAGTACAGTGGTACCTCGGGTTACAGACACTTCAGATTACTCACGCTTCAGGTTACAGACTCTGCTAACCTAGAAATAGTACCTCGGGTTAAGAACTTTGCTTCAGGATGAGAACAGAAATCGCGCAACGGCGGCAGCGGGAGGCCCCATTACCTAAAGTGGTGCTTCAGGTTAGGAACTGACCTCCAGAATGAATTAAATTCTTAACCCAAGGTAAGGTAAAGGTAAAACGACCCCTGACCATTAGGTCCAGTCGTGGCTGACTCTGGGGTTGTGGCGCTCATCTCACTTTATTGGCCGAGGGAGCCAGCATACAGCTTCCGGGTCATGTGGCCAGCAGGACTAAGCCACTTCTGGCGAACCAGAGCAGCACACGGAAAAGCCGTTTACCTTCCCGCCAGAGCGTTACCTATTTATCTACTTGCACTTTCATGTGCTTTCAAACTGCTAAGTTGGCAGAAGCAGGAACCGAGCAACGGGAGCTCACCCCGTTGCGGGGATTCGAACCGCCGACCTTCTGATCGGTAAGTCCTAGGCTCTGTGGTTTAACCCACAGTGCCACCCGCGTCCAAGGTACTACTGTACAAAGATTAAAATGCAGCTTTAAAAACAAAACAAAAAACCCTTTCATTTCTCACAGCAAAAAAAAAAGAAAAAGAAAAGAAAAGAAAAGAAAGAATGAAGCCAGTTAGCAGCTCGGATTATAAAAGTGATACTTAATTTCAGACCTTGAAAGCTTGCTTTAAATAATGCAGGATGTAGAAAGGCCTGGGTGAATAAAATGGTAAAGCTAGCAAGCAAAATAAGTCCATAGAGGAGTCATTAGGCAACCCACAGTAGAAAGGCTTATTCCACTGCCAGGACACCACAACTGATAAGGCCCTCAGCTTCAGACATTGGCAATTCTTGGCTTTTCTAGAATTAAACATGTCTTCTGTTTCTGGCTGCTGCAGCTACCGAGCTGAGGTTCATAGCTAGCTGCTTTATAGACACAACAGATGCATACTTTACAGCTTTCCCTATACATCAACAACAGTCCCTGTTTTATTGTATCATTGATAAAATATTGCTCCACATTCTTCGGCCTTTGGTGGTGATGAAGGAAATGTGCTTTTAAAAAGGTGTTGCCCTTTGTACTAATGAAC